CTTTGAGAGGTGGGCACGCAATGCAAGATACAGATAATGTATCAGAGAGATCTATCGTTGAAGCACAGTTGAAGTATAGTTGATACAGTGTATGATCTTGTTGATCAAGGTCACCCTAATAAATTTAATTTTAAAAAAATAAAAAGAAGAAGAAATGCTTGAGGAGACTGAACTAAGTGAATCCTGGACTGTTTACCAGATTTGCCTTTTAGCAGCCATTCATTCAACATTTAATTCCTGAGTGTTTCCAGAGTGCATGCCCCAGCCTGCAAGACACTGGGGACATAGAGCGAGAAACACAGTCCCTGCCTTCCAGAAACCCACAGGCCAGCAGGTGCCGCTGACATGTAGAGTCATTTAACCCCACTTCATAACAATTCCATGAAAATGCTGGGCATGGGGACATGGATCAGAAGTCACTGGGAAGCATTTTTCTCAGAAAGAGTTTAAGATGGAACTTAATTCTAATGTACTTCAACTGAGGCTCCTAGAACTGTTTTAAAATTTGCTTTTAATGAGACTCGATTATAAAAGGGCTGCGGAGAGCAGACGGAAGCTAAGCGCGCACTTGAGGAAAGCCTCCGGAGATGTGATGGGTCCACGTGGGCCAGTGCATCGCCAGAGCCCTAGCGGGGGCTTCGTGGGGGAGAGGGCTCACATGCCACCCCCAAAGTGGGCATTACAGCGCCCAGGCTTTTTACATGTACTTCTCAGCCCCGGGAACTTCCCTCAGGCACTGTCACGGAGTGTCATTTGGCTGAGCAGTTTCAGCAAGCACAACCCCAGGAAAGCCTAAGGCAGTTGGAGGACCTGGGACAGGGCCGCCTGGAAAGGCTTCTGTGGGCTCCTCGCGCCACTCGTCGGGTCTGCGCATCAGGGAAGGCGGTGATGGACCCAAGGAAATACTGCGGACCAGTACAGGCGGGAAGGACCCTACGCGACACGTTGGGGGAGGGGGGTGGAAAGACAGAGATGGACCCAACAGCCACACATGGCGTCTGTGACACAGGAAGGGCCCCGTAAAGCAACCGCTTCACCTGGGTCCATCAAAGCGAAGGGGCACGTGGGGAGCGCGTGGAAGACACGTGCCGCAGGGGGCGCCATCGACCGCGCCGCGCATGCGCACACTCGGCGGGGATGGCGCGCGCGCAGCAGCATGGACTGCTCTTGGGGCGCAGAGACTGGAGGCGGCGACTGGGTGAGGCAAGACCGCTGTGGAGGTTTGGGTGGAAGTCACGTTGGGTTCACGGGCACAGTCATACCTGGGCCGGGCCAGTGTCCATTGGGAAAAAGGACAGCCCCGCAGGCCGGGACCCCAGAGGTTGGAGGGGACTGTCCTGGGGTTCCTGGGGGGAAGCCCTAGGGCCTCCGGCGAGGCTGGTTATGGGAGCAGGGGATGCATATGAGGGCTGGACTCCTTTAGATCCCTCAGCCGGCGGGAAACCTGAGCCCTTCCGCACCCCGCTGGGCCTGGGCACAAACCGCAGGCAGGTCCTGACCCAGGACCTCTAGGCTGGCGTCCCCTGTGCTGCTGACCCCACCCGGGGGCAAGGGACCAGAAGATGCCGGGAGGGAGGGGTGAGTGCTTAGGGATCAGCTCCTCATGCTTTTCCCTGGAGGTTTTAGCAAGATACCCCATGAGCAGGTGGGGGACCTCTGGAAAAGAGGCGTGGCAGCAGGTCGGGGGCCAGTTAGGTGCTGTCAAGGGCAGGGGTTGTTGAATGATGTCCCTTAGAAGCGCATGACATAGGGACAGGTAGGAGTGGTGGGTGGTGTGGGACTCCAGGTGACTTCCGTGTTAGTGAGGGGATTGAGTGCGTGGGGTTCGAGGACCTCCTTGGTGCTTGGTTTCCCCTCCAAGGTGTTCAAATGGTGGTTTCCAGGCTTGATCCCTGGCATCTTGAGCGCTCCCACAGCCCCTGCGGGCAGGCTAGGTGCTGCTAGGCTGAGCGAGAGGGCTGCCTCCTTTCCCAGTGCCTCACGGGACACAGAAGAGAAAATGCTCTTGGCACCGGTGGCGGGTCCAGGCAGGATGCTCTTGGCTTGATGAGTGACAGCTGGGGAGACAGGCGAGCCGACGGCAGCCCGACACAGGTCAGGGCTGCGGCAGTCCACCCTGTGAGTCGCTGCATTTCAGAAATACCTTCCACTGTTCTCCATTTAGCATTTTTGGACTCTCGCATGCATATGCTGTAGAGATATTTTGTTTTGTTTTTCCCTGAAGGTCTTACCTTTAAGACATTTTTTTTTTTTATTCTTTGGAATATTCCAGGACAGATGTCATAGAGTGTTTCTTTGGTAATCCCCTCATAACGTTTTCTAGATCAAAACAAGCTTATCTAGTTTTTCTTTTGATTGCTATGACAGTGAAAGACACAAGTAGCCCATTAGGGTAATAATAGTGACCATTTGTAGGGTGCCTCTCTGCATTGCTCAATGCACCTTCCTTCTGTTCTCTCACCCCTAAGATAAGCGTTGTGACCCCCATTGGCTCACATCCCAGACCACAGGACGAGGAGATCCTGGTCGGTCTCACCCAACTTCCATGCTCTTCCTCCTCACAATTTCAGCTGATGCCGGCAGCAAAAGCTGTTTCCTAAAGAGTGGCAATCAGCAGCAAAGAGTGGAAATGAATTTTGGCACTGGGCTTCTGCTTTGGTTTTGTTTCTCACCCAGTTGGCACTCCAAGCCAGGTGCAAATCATCAGTCACAGAAGGACGGTGAGGACAAGGAGGAAGAGCCGAGATGTGCGGTGCACTCTTGCTTTGCCCCTTGAGTGCTTGGGTCACTCAGTTTGGATACATCTTTATGAAAGGGGTCATGGCACTCCAGGAATCTAGGGCACCGGCTGCAGAGTCTGGGCCTTAGGAGACCCGAGGTTCTAGCTGAGTGGCCGCAGGCTATTAATGTAGCCTTCGCGCCCTTCAGCTGCTCACTATACCAGAGAAGGTGACCAGGGGCCTGGCGCTGAGCCTAACATTCCATACAGCTCAAGGGTGCACGCAGCAACGTCCATCTCCAGACCAGCCACTCAGACCCTGTACATTGTAGCACTGAAAGCTGTAGTGGCCAAAACCTCTTTCCCCGTCTCCAAATGGACCCTCCCTTCTGACAAACAGGCAGCAATTGCTCCAACCACCCCTTGGAGTTGTTTTCTGTGTCGCTCAAGTTCACGAAAATCAGGTGCCTTTTCTTTCCACAAATGAGGCGCTCCATGCACAAGGGCCTCTTGCATGTGAAGTGTGAATTCTGCTTCAGAGTCTTCCATCCACTGCACTGGCGAGGAGCACTGTGATGATGCAGAAAATCAGTAGGCGGTGATTTGGGCTGTGGGATATAAATCTCCCCAGTCACAATAACAGGGGCCAGACGCAGTCCAGAACTGTGGACTCTCCCCCAAACCTGAAGGGTTTGTTTCAAGGTGGATTTCCGTGGCCAAGGGTGTGACCCAGCTCTCGGTGTCTGCAGGAACACCTTTCCAGAGAAAGCCCCAAGTCCCCATAGATTATCTGCACAATCACACCTGGGGCCTCCAGGAGATTGTCAGAGAAACGATCCACAAGTAAGAGCTTCACAAATAGAATAACCTAGACCATTTCCAGAAGCGCTTCATCACACCAGTGAGTTTCCCCATGCTCCTTCCCTACGCTCCAAAGAAACCACTGTTCTATCCTCTCCCGCCATAAATTAGTGTCATCGGTTCTCGAACCTCATCTACTGGGGGGAAAACACAAATACATGGAGACTAAACAACATGCTACTAAACAATGAATGGATCAAAGAGGAAATCAAACAAGAAATCTAAACTACTTTGAGAGAAATGAAAGTGAAAATACAACTTTCTAAAATTAACGGAACACAGAAAAACAACTCTAAGAGGGAAGTTCATAGCTTTAAAGGCCTACTTAAAGAACCAGAAAATCTCAAATAATCTAAATTTACACCTACAGGAACTAGAAGTGGAAGAACAAAGCAAACCCAAAGTAAGTAGAAAGAAGGAAATAACAAAATTCAGAGTGGAAATAAAAAAGAGAGAGTACAAAAGCAAAAGAAAAGATCAGTGAAAGCAAGATAAATAAAATTGACAAACCTCTAGCCAGACTCATCAAAGAAAAAAGAGAGCCCAAATAAAATCAGAAATTAAAGAGATTCCAACTGGCACTACAGAAATACAAAGGATTATTAAACGACAGTAGGGACAATTAGGTGCAGACAAATGGGACAATCTAGAAAACAATGGATCGATTTCTAGAACCTTCTGAGACTGAACGAGGAAGAAACTGAAAATCTGATTAGACTGATTACTTAGCAATGAAATTGAGGCAGTAATCAAAAAACTCCCAATAAACAAAAGCCCTAGACCAAGCAGCTTCACATGTGATTTTTACCAAACATTCAAAGAAGAATTAACACCTATCCTTCTCAAACTATTTTTTAAAAAATTGAAGAGGGACACTCTTCAAATACCTGCCAGACCCAACCCTGCCACTCCCTGGCCTCTGAGTAAACAAGAAGCCCTGCAGAGCTGACACCAACCCTGGGGCCTAGGGATTGTCCTTGTTCCATTCTCCCTAATCACCAGCCTCCCCCGACCCCCCAGTAAAGAAAGTAGCAGGAGGCGGTGCACCCAGGCTGGGCTGTGATGAAGCAGTGTGCGAAGAAGCTGATCTGGGGGAAGCAAAGAGCCCTAGGGTGGTGGCCCAGGGCTCCTGGAGCTCAGTTTTGAAGTTTAAAAGACTCAAGTCCCATTTATCTTTGCAGCCATTTCCCCTTAGGAGACATTAAATTGGGGCCTGGGTCCACAAACCATTAAGAGGCGTAGTGTCCTCCCTTCAGAACAAACCCTGCGCATTCTGTCTGGTCCCCAGTCGCTGGGCAGAGAGCTCAGGGGCGGCAGCCAGGGAGCTCTGGGGCTCCACCCAGTGCGCATGCTGGGCAGCCAGGGCACTTCCCAGTCCACACCTGCCTGGCCCTGTGTCCGCCTTTTGCCTGCGTGCCACCTGCTCCAGAGCTAGTTGCCTGGCCCTCCTCCTGTCGTCCTCATAGCTGGTAGGAGGCCCCCAGCCGCCCAGGAGCCGCTGCCTACCTCCAGGAGGGCAGGCAGCAGCGCCTGGACGATGCGCTCAGTGGCTTTTGGTGAGTTGCAACCCCCACCACCAAAGGAGGAAAATGGGGACCCCAGTCAGGGCAGAGTCGCCCCTTGCAATTCCACCTATTGAGCCAGAGGGTGGGGCTGGCGCTGTGGCTGATCTTCTCTCAGATCTGGGACTGGGAATGCAGAAAGCGAGTCCAGCAGAGGTGAAAGGGGGGGTGCGCTCTGAGCAAGTACCCTACAGCGTTTCCTCGGGCTCCCCCTGCCTGTTTCCGCAGGCGCAGCTGGGATTCTTGGCAGGGGAATCAGCGAGTGTGACGTTTAGGCTGGAAAGCAGGTATTTGGTGAGCGCAGACAGAGCAGGACGCAAGGAGCTCCGAGGAGCCGGGCGGAGCAGGGGGTGGGGGTGCCTTTCCTGGGAGAGCAGGTGCCTGCAGGGGGGCCCTGGGCCTCCAGGGCCAGCGGGGCGCTGCTGCCTGCAGTGAGGGGCACTTGTGGACTCCACCTGGGGTTCCTCTGCTGAGGCAGGAGTCCTTAGGTGCATGTCCGATGAAGGGACAAGGCGGCGGCCCTTTTCAAGTCACTGGAGGACGTGGGTGGGTGAGAAGTGGGGACTCATTGACACGGAATGCCCCATTGTCGGAGTTTCTGACTGTCCTAGCAGCCTCTCTTTATCGGGCTGATTTTATTTTCTCCATTTATCAAACTACTTGAGACTGGGATGTTTGGCAGGAAAAAGGAAAAAGGGAAAGAAGAAAAGCAATTATTCCCTCAGTCATATTAACCCGCAAAGCCTGTCTTTCCAACGCTGGCCTCTGCCCTCTGTCACGTGCCTGCCTCTCTCTACAGGCGTCCTGGGGTTCAGGTGCAAACCGCCCGCCTCTGTCCCTTCCGAATCGGTTTTGCTATTTTCTTTCTGCCATCTGAGGAGTCGGGGGCCCTCCTGAAGTCAGGCAGCATGTCAGGACAAGAAGGGATAGTTCTCTTGGCCTCTGTAGAGGTCACCGCCCTGTCTCAGGTGGCAGGTCGTCAGCCACGAAGTGTTTGTGAGACCAGTACTTCCAGCGCTGGCATCTCTTGTGTGGTCCCACTCCAGAAAGTCCTACACACCGCCTTTCTCCATTCCCAAAGTGTAGGAAAGCCACATTGTAAGGCTTTTTTATTTATTGTGTGAAATACTCATGTTTCCTACAAAACCGTTCGTTTATGAACTGTTTTCGGGAATTTGGTGGATTGTAGGGTAAACGGGGGGAGGCATAGGCCTCACTTTTGGGAGGAGAAAACGCCTCCGTTGGGGTGCTGACTTTCATTACGGACGTCCCGGAAGAATTTTTCATTATTTCCATATTGCATACTTATCGTTTCTGTGGTCACTTAGTAGAAAATGCCGAATATTGTGAGATTGCCTTCCCACCCACAGCTTTTTCTCACCCCCAGCCTCATGATTCACTCGTGGGCTCTGAGGCTCCTTCGCCGACAGCTGTGCTATAGCACCAGGTATTTGTCTGGGGGTGTGCGGTTGGGAGCGACGTCAGGTATGCCAGCACGGAGCCATGACGCCTTTGATTTTGTGGGCTAAAGGTTTAACAGAGATCCTGAAAGCGGCGCTCCGGTGGCTGCACTCAAACACCAGGTCTGGCTCACGTGGCAGCTCACGGTTCAGGTTCAGTGGATAAAATAAGTCAAGCGGCCAACACCCATGATCTGTGATACACAGTCATCCTGGTTCCTCAACATGAGGGTGTCAGCGTGTCAGCCCTTGCAGGTGGGTTACCTGGCAAACCTGCTGTGGTGTTCAGGCTTGGCGTTGCCCAGCCCTTCCGCCATAAAGCCTCCGCCAACAGGACAGTGACGACAGTGGACACCGAGGCCAGTGGAGCCCGGAGTCACAAAACAGCCCAAAGTATGGTCCATCTCCCCCCTCAGCCCTCCTGGCCCCTCAGGGACATGAGGTGCAGGTGTGGCTGCCTCTGAGGTGAGAGCGTTCGGTTTGTGTTGGCCAGGCTGCCAATGACCAAAGCTTCCTCATTCCACCTCGTCTTTGTCTCTCCGGGTTGAAGGAAGTCCCAGCCTTCAGAAGGGCTCTCTTCAGGGCCCCTGGACTGGAGGGGTGGCGTCGCCCCGAGGCCTCCCTACCAGCAGTTGGTTTGAGGACTCTTCTCCCCACCAGTGGTAGTGTTCAGGGCCAGCCCGAGACCCCCGAGGGTCAGCAGGTGGGATGCAGGTAGGGCGCACACACACAGGCGCCCACACACCCACAGATGTGTGTGCGGGCATACGCGCACACACGCACACACCGCGTGTGACTGAGGGTCTCAAGGAGGAAGCTCACTGACTTCCTGGCTGTGCTCAGAGCCGGCCTTTGCCCTGAGGAAGAGGCACGTGGGAGGATGTGGGCCCATGGTGCCTTTCTTATCTTACAAGAAAGGGTTGGATTCTGGTTACACAATCACAGAAGGCTTCTGGACTCCTGGTCTTTGGGTACTTCTTCCCCCGCCTCACCTCTGAAGCTGCTGGGCTCACTGCCACCATGGTGGGTCCACCCAGGGCCCAGGAGCCATCTTAGCAATGTCCCTGGACTCCCACCTTTCCCAGGATGAATCCTCACCCCCACCCTCTCTGCAACCACCCGCAGGGACTGAGCTCCGGGTGCAGCTGCTTGGCCCAAGGGCAGGCTGGGACACAGCGCCCCGGTGCTGCCTGCCTGCTCCTTGTCCCTCACCTCATGGCTCCTAAGCCTGCTCCCTGTGGCATCCTGGATGCATCTGTGACTTGTGTCAGACCCGTGCGTGGGTCACACATGGCTCCCCACCAGCCAGTGCCCCACCTTCACTGCCGGACCTGCCCCCCCGTCCCTGGAGTGACTCCGGCTCTAGGTCGTGGCTCCTCCCAGCCACCAGGAAACCAGGCTGTCCCTAGCCTGGAGGTCATCGGCGACACCCCTCGCCCAGCCCACAGATACTGTACAGCCTTCCTAGGAGCCCTGAAAAGCACGCAGGGACGGGTGGTCCTTGCCTCGCAGCTGGAGACAAAACTGGGCCTTCCTTCCGCGTGGCTGTCCTTTACACATTTGAAAGGTAGCATCGTGCTCCCTTTTGGTTTTTTCCAAGCCAGTCTCTGGTTTGCCAACTTCCTTCTTCAAACGTGACACTTGGATAAAACAGTCCAGCTGTGACCCGGCACACACAGGACACAGTGGGCCATTGTTTCCGCCGAACCTAACACGACCAGCGCTGACTCAGGTTGCCAGCAGCTGCCTCTCCCAGCTCTCCCAGCGTGTGCCCCATGGCACTTTCTGGGACATCATGCGGAGCAGTGCACTGTCCTGCATGTGCAGGCGCAGTCCGGCAGGGAAGGGACCCTCGGGGAGCCACACCAACGGGGCGTGCGGGACGCTGCCTTGGCAGGGCCTGCACCGGCCGCAGATGCATGGCAGGCCGCACGGTCGTGGGGCCACGCAGTGTCAGGGAGCCTTGGAGAGGAGGGGCGGGAGGTGGGGGGACAGTGCAGGAGAGCACCCCGAGGCAGAGGGACAGACCCTCCAAAGCAGGGTAGCAGGAGGGGGCCCCGGCCACAGCAGGTCGGCGCGGCTGCAGCGCAGAGCCCCTGGGAATTGCAGCAGAGGGACCTCCATACTCAGGGTTCTCATTGTCACCTGTGGCTGCTTTTTCCCGCTTTGCAATGTCCCTTGAGTCCTAGAAATGGCAGTGGCCAAGTGGCCCAGGTCATTTGCATCAGGAAGCCCTCCCCGCATAACATTCTAACCACCTTGGGGACTGTGTGGTTCAGAAAGTAGGAAAAATTATTGATGCTGAAATGCGTACTTGCAAAACAAACAAATTTTCAAGTGGAAACAGGAGCATCCAGGTCCCCAAGCGTGACTGCCTAGGTGCACGAGCCTCACGGGCGCACAGACTCGATAAAGCCCAGCGGAGGAGGACCCATGAACGGCTGCGCTCCCGGGAGGGGGGCAGCAGGTGCGGGGAATAATGTCTCTGCGAGCTATTAAGGAGGTAGAATCAGAAAAACCGGGCAGCAGATTGCCTGGGAAGGGACACGGGGCTGTCCCCCAGGCCTCCGCGAACCTAGGATTGGATAACACCTTCTCCTTAGGCATTGAGGGCGACACCAGAGCCAGTCAACCCGACAGGTGATTTCCAGGCTTTTTTTGCTGTTGAAAACCTGGAGCGTCCCCGCAGGCTTGTCTCTGATGACAATGACAGGTTTGGGGACGTCTGCCAGTGTGAGGGGACAGTGGCAGTCTCACAGGGCACCAGGTGCAGGTCCTCAGCGCTGGTGCTGCAGCCCCGCCCTCTGAGGTCTGAGGCGCTTCCAGGAGCAGAGTCAGACCCAATGGTCACCAAGGGGATGGGCCACTTGCATCTTGTAGGCCCATGTCATACAGGTTGGCTCAAGAGGCCACTCAAGGAATCGATGACATGAGCATTCGAGGAGGTTCCAAGTCCCAAACCAGTAGCAAATATAAAAGCGTGGCCTTGAAAACATTCATTAGCTGCTTTGTGTCCTCGGCTTCTGTCTACCTCGAGTGCCTGGTCTCAGCAAAGCCAACTAAGTCATTGCGGTTGCTGGGCCCTTACCTTCCCCCGCCTCCTGGGAGTAGTCTCTCTTCAGAGCATCCTGCTGACGCCTGTGTGCGCAGGCATGGCAGGGGGTGGGGGGCAGGTGTTGCCACCCGATGGCACCTGCCCTGGGCATCCACATCCCATCTGTGTGTCCGCAGGCACTCTGAAGGCGGTGCTCTTCATCTGCGCGTCCGTGTGCGCCTGGTACTCCGGGGCCCTGCTGGCGCAGCTCATTCCAGACGTCCGCCTGTCCGGTGTTGCGTACCACCTCCGGAGCATCAGCGAGAGGCCAGTCCTCAAAGGTCAACGCTGGGTCCGGCAGACAGGCTGCTCTGCAGCGCCGCACAGCGGCGGGCCTTGGGCTCTGGCCACTTCATGGTGATGGGGAGGACCAGGAGGAGGAAGTATCTGCTCCTTTTGCTTGGGCACCAATCCAACCCTGGCTCCTCCCGTAGGAAACTCCCAGGCAGCTCATGATATTAGGGAAGCAGAGGAATTTTACGTGCAGGTTGTGTTAAGTGAAAATACGCGTTTGGAATACAACTCAAATTGGAAATTACAAAATAGCCATTAAAAATGGCACTGGATAATGTGTGGGGCGCTAAAGTCATAATCTGTACCCCTTTTCAAAATCTCATGGATAGCTATGCTGGTATCTTTTTAATACAGAAATAATTATACAAAATTAAACAAATACAAAAAACTGAGTAACAATAAAAATTTTTGGTAAAGCTATTCTTTATCGAATTGAATTACCTTTTAGAACAAACAAACAAAAAAAAACCCAACTTTGTCAGAATTGACTGTGACTGGGGTGTCGGCATTTGATAGTGTTTCCATGGTGAATTTGCCCAGAATCAGACAGGTGAACTGCAAACAGTCCAGGGCAGAGCCCAGCGCCCCGAGCGTCCTTGCCAGTTCAGGGCACGAGAGACCCCTCATTCTCCCCGTTTTTCCCCAAATCAGAACCCTGTCCCGGATAGGGCTTCCTCTCTGAACTGCTGCCGGCACGAGGCGTCTTAGAGGGGCCCATGTGCAAATACATCTGGCGAGCCACGGGCAGTGGTCCCCAGCTCTTAAAATCACTAGGCCCACAAAGCATCGTCTCCATTGTGTGCATTTGTTATTTTAAGACAAAAGCAGATTAAGTTAACTATGTGTCTTTAGGGGAATGTCTGAAGCTCCTAATCAAAACTGCGACTCCTTTCCTATTTCTGGCCCCCGCCCTCCTCTACTCACAACCTGGGGACGTGCGGGGGTGAGGTCCTGGGGCAGAGTGGCTGCGTTCATGGTCACACAGTGGACTCTTCTCGGTAAAGCCTTGCATGACCCTGGTATGTTCTTGTTCACTACAGCCCCAGTACCCAAAAGGCAAAAATGTGACCACTGGTCCCCGTGCCCGGTGAACACCTATGCCTACCGGTTGCTCAGCGGTGGGGGCAGGGACAAGTACGCCAAAATCTGCTTTGAAGATGAGCTGTAAGTGCCAGTGTGGAGAAGGAAAGCCTTTGTCTTAATGCTAGGGTGAAATGCAGTTTCCAGGTTCCGCATGGGACTGGGTCTACCGGGAGTTGGGGACAGGTGGGGGTGGCTGTCCCGGGAGCTGGCTCAGGCCCGTGCACGTCTGCAAGGGACCAGTGCAGAACAATGGCTGGGGCGGGGCCTCTGCCGAGACCTGACCGGCAGGGAGGGGCTACCCCCTGCCTGCTGAGAAAGGCATTCTTTCACTAACGTTTATTTACATTTCAGGCTCATAGGAGAAAAGGCTGGAAATGTTGGGAGAGGAATAAATATTGCCATTGTCAATTGTAAGTCCTTAAATGTTTTCTTTAAAACTTCTCTAAAAGCTCTGTGATTAGATTTTCAAAGGCACCCTGGGTTTTCAATGGTTTTTGCACTGGATCTAATCTAGGTTTTATTTTAATGCATTTTTCAAGGATGTATTTAATTATTTTCACAATGCCTCCCTGTACAGATTATCTATCATTCCTATAAAAAAGCCTGAAACCAAATATAGATTTTTTTTTTAAAAAAAGAAACAAACAAAAACAAAGGACTGACAGAGGCAGGGTGAAAACCATCCAAGCAGACCAGGGCCCACAGACTCCCCTGGACATGAGCCCCATTTTGCTCTCAGATTCCTGGTGGCCCAGTGACTAGGGCCTCAGGGGAAGCAAAATGTGGCCCCTGCTTAGGCCTGGGAAAAAACGTTCTGTCAGGATCTTCAGGATCTCCGGGATCGAGGGCCACTAGGGACCCCTGACGATAACCACCCTAGCAGGTTTGGGGAAGGGTTTTCCTACTGCGTCCCTGGAAGCAAGCTGAGCACACTGTCCAGGGACAGTGGGGCAGGAGGAACCCAAGGCGAAGGTGCCCCCTGTGATCGGGGGAGGGGAACCCCAAGTACGAAGCAGAAAGGGCTGAGGGGGGAACTCAGGCGTCTTTGTGGGAAGAGGTAGGGGGACAGGGAAGTGTAGCATCAGATCTTGTCGCCTGGACGGAAGTTGTAGAGCCGCTGAGGGGCCCTGTCTCTCCACCCCGCCTGGTCCCCGCAGTGAACCGCCCTCCCGGCCGGCCAGGCGGTGCCTTCAAAGGCTCTGTCCTCGTAGCTGCCAGGCTCACCCAAGGACACAGGGAAGACGCAGGCCCCGTTGAGAACTCTGGTGCCACAAACCCACTGCAAGTCCCAAGCGAACTTCCTTTTAAAAACTGTTCCTTTTATTTTCAGATACGACTGCGAAAGTCATAGCAACACAGTATTTTGATATGTATGAAGGTGGTAAGAAAATTCTTTCCTGTTACCATGTAAATGAATTATGAACCTAAGTGAAGATTTTTAAAAAATAAACAAAATGCCAAACATTCTTATTTTGTCTGCTGAGAAAATTGTCAGAAGTTCATGTTGAGTATTTTAGAATCACCATCCATAGGTCCTCTTAGTCTCCGAGTTCATGTAATACAGTTTAAAGGCATTTTCTAGAAAATTCCTTTTCTCTGGCCACACGTGTCCCGGATCTTTCCCTTTTGTCCCCTCATTGGATAATGGGAAAGAGACACCTTTAAATCAGATATGTGTAAAGTAGTGGCCCCAGCAGCCAGCCCTGACTATCACCGGCATCACCACCCCGTGTCTGGTGCCCAGGGGCTCGGCGCACCCCCCCTGGGGCCCTCGGGGCCCGCTCCCCTTCAGCGGCCTCTCCATTCTGGGCGCTGGGTCTTGGCGACAGTTGTCCGTCAGGATATACCAGCCCCTTTTATTTTTATTTAACACTGGGAGCTACTACCGTATTTTGCCATGTACAATGCACACCCATGTTTTTGTGTGCATCATACATGGGATTATTAGACCCATGGCATATATTCATTATACCCATGTATAATGCGCATCCTTATTTTCCCTTGAAAATTTGGGCAAAAGAATGTGCACTATACACGGCAACAATATGGTTAAAAAAACAAGTCTAGAAAGATAAGGAGAAGAGTAAGGACACGTGCCGGGGTGCCACTTCACGGGAATGAGGCAGTTTGCTCTGCAGACAACTTAAGCATAGCTGTGCACAGCAGGCCCTGGTGGTATGTCAAGGGGTCTGAGGCTCGCCTTTCTTTTCACCTGCAAGGCATAGACAGGCCTCTCGGCAAAGGCTGCCCCACGCAGAGGCTGGTCTGTATCCCCATCTTGGTTCTGCGCATGGTACCCGGAGCTGCCCCGACCTGAGACCCCCGTGCGTGGGTCAGGGCTGTGTCGGTCATCGCAGAGGGCGCTCCGCCTATGCTGCTGAAGTGGCTGCTGGTTTCAAGATCCATCAGCAGGATCTTTCCGATCTGAACGTGTCCTGACCTCAGCTGGCCCCACCCTGGAAGCCCAGCAACAGTTTACTAGTAAACTGTTTACTAGTAAAGAGCTAGCTTGCCATTTGTGGGGTCGAGAGAAGGGCTTTAGGAGTCAGAGGCTCGCAGGGGACAGAGTCACCAGGGGCAGAGGCGGCTCAGCACACAGGACAAGAGTCTCAGTTAATTGTGCTCCTAAAACTGGTTTGCGTTGACCCAACAGATAACTCTGGAGCCATGACAAAGTTTATTCAAGGCGCTCCTGTGAACTCCCTGCTCTTCATGGTGACCCACGATGACGGCAGCAGCCAGTGAGTGTGTGCAGCTCTGTCGCGGCAGCCAGGGCGGGCAGGGCAAGCTGGTGGGACACAGGGTGCCAGGCCTGGCCAGGGCCCCGCTGCGCCCTCGGGGAAACAGCAGGGCGCCAAGAGGCGAGACATCCCTTCAGGGAACAGGGATGGAAACGGGGCACAGCAGCCCGCGTTTCTGAAACCACGCCCAGCCAGTGGGGCTCCTAAGTGCTGGAAGCCAAGCATTATGTCCAGGTAGCACACAGAGCCCCCCCTGGCCACCCCTGGAATAGCACAGCCAGGAGGGCTACGCCCGCGGAGGCACTGACAGAGACGTGAAAGCATTGAATGGAAACATTTCTCTGTACGTGGAGCCAAAAAGGAAACCCACACGTGCATGCACACGCACAGATGCAGTGTTTTCCCTGGGGAGCAGCTGATCCCACCCAGGCTTCCTGCCCTGAGCCCTCCCAAGTGAAGGTGCGTCTTCTCTGCTGAGCTCCCAAGAACCTCAAAGCGCCACGCATTACTGTGAATTTCCAACACAGGGCTCCTGAATACAGCATTTCCCAGAGTACTTTAACCTCAGATTTTTTTTTTTTTTTTAAGATTTGTATTTATTTTTAGAGAGGGGAAGGAAGGAATAAAGAGAGGGAGAAAAACATTGATGTGTGAAAGATACATTGATTGGTTGCCTCTTGCAGGCCCCCGAATGGGGACCTGGCCCGCAACCCAAGCATGTGCCCTGACTGGGAATTGAACTGGAGACCTTTTCGGTTCACAGGCCGGCACTCTGTCCGCTGAGCCACTCCAGCTAGGGCAAGATTTTGTTTTTAACAGAACCTCTTACCAGATGGAAGTTTTTTGATGTATACTTGGAAAAACTCAGACTTAACTCAGTTTAGAAAATTCAAAGTTGTTACTTTTTTCCTTTTCCTTCCCTTCCTCCTTCTTTGGCTTCCTCTTCAGTTGCACCCTTGTACAATGGTAGTAATTTTTAGATTTTTTTTTTTTGATACTGGCTTTTCTGAATAGGAAACAGGTGGTTTTGGCCTTTGTTTTCATATTTCACAACACCTGCCATCTTAATCTTGCGGTCAGCGGAAGGAGGGCCAGCCAGGACCGGAAGTCGCATTGTCTGAGTGTGGGGGTATGACTGAACCCAACAACACCAGGGCTTTTCAGAGCTGAGAGTTTAAAGGCTGTGCCCCAAAATGAGTCTTAAAGAGGCCTGCGTGTTGCCACATGTTTAACTAGAAATCTGACATACTCAACCAGCATATAAACTCAGCCTGATTGCACCCCAGGAGATGGGTCGCTTTAGAAGCCCCTGTCCTAGGACAAGCACAGTGTGGAGCACAGGGGTCCCTGCATGAGATGTTCAGACACGTCCCCCTCTGTCCCCCAGACTGAAGGAAGACGCCAAGAAGGCTATAGAAGGACTGGGAAGCAAAGAAATCAGGAACATGCGGTTCAGGTCGAGCTGGGTGTTTCTCACAGCGAAAGGCTTTGCACTTCCTGCAGGAATTCAGAGAGAGAAGGTGAGTGGTTGTGTTGTTTTTTTAAGCATAGTTGGCATATGATGTTACCCAGGGTCCGGCAGAGAGCAATCCTGTTGAGTGCGGTTGGTAGGGCATGTGGATGTCTCGCACAAGATGGACAGCAATGTAAACATTTCACTTAAAATGCCATATGGTGTGTTTGAGTGTGATATTGTTATGTTACAGAATTGCATGCTTATGATTTTGTAGTAAAAGATTTTTATGTAATAAAAAGGGGGCGTTATTTGTGCCAGACCCTGTATTGGTTCCAGGTATGCAATACAAGGGATTCAACCTTTACATACCTCACGGTGTGATCACCACGCCAGGTCTGGAAACCATCTTTACCATGCAAACTTATCACACGGGGAGTGGTTTTTAAATGTCATTTCCCACAGATGGTTAGTATAGTTATGGGCTGTGATCTGAAAGGCTGCGCATCGGTTACAACTCCCTGTCTCTGAATACATCCCTGCCTAGAGCACGTGCCACACAGGGTGACGCAGAGATGTCCCCGGCCTGACCGCCCGCTTCTCCCTGGAGGGCTCCTCTTTCCTCGGCCTGGAAAACATCCCACCGTCCACTCAGTGGGTGCTTGATCCATCCTTCCAGGGAAAACCGTCTGCGCCAAGATGCTTGGAAACCTTCCCCCGCCCCCGACCTTAGATCAGCAGTAGAAAGGCACTTGGCTGAAATTTCAATTCTCAAATCTCTTTCAAAGTAGGAAATTCTGAATGGGCTATTGGAATTGATTTTTCAGTCGCGCCTCCGGGGCCCCGGCATGGGCGTCGCGCAGCACTCGCTGTTCAGGTGGCTGGGCGGCCATCCACGCCTGTGCTCCTGGAGCCTGTCTGTCTGGCAGGGCCAGCGCTCAGCGCTGGATAAGCACAGCTTTTGCTGTTGTCATCACCTTTTCATGATTGATTTGAAGTCCTTTTATTTCTCGAACTGAGGGAAACAGCAAGAGAATGAAGTTCTAATGTGTTAACTTGGTTGCCTGTGAAAACAACAGCTGACGGGTGTGGACATGTCACAGGATTTATAAGCTGGCACCTGGGACGAAGATGGTGCAGTCTCTTTCAGGCCGGCTGCCCTCCACAGTGGAAGGGGAGGGAGCTGGCCGCCGGCCAAGGAGCGAGACCTCCGACTCTTCCTTCAGAGAAGGGTCTTCTCTTCTTTCCATGAGACAGACACTCAGAGGAGGCAGAGGGTTGAATGTCCCCAGCGGGGGCCGCAGGTGGCTTCTGACCTCAGGCGAGGACATTCGATCCCAATGCCCTGCTTGCACTGTCTGGCCTAGGGATGGGCCTGGGAAGGAAGGCACACAGAAGCAGGTGGACCCCAGATGTGGAGGAGAAGGGGGCTGTGGGGCTGCGATTCCAGTGCGGCCGCACAACCAGTTAACTCGTGACGGATGCCCAAGGGAAGCCCTACAGCATCTCTGATGCCGCTGTGGTCGCCTTCCGGAAGCTCGGAATTCGTGGAAACTTTAGCGTGCATCTCAAAGAGCGTGTTTTCTCTGTGTAACTCCCATACCCCTCCACAGCCGGGGAGCCAGTCCTGGAGAACACATCAGGAGCGTTTACCTGCGGCCCCTGCCTAGACCTCTCATTACCAATGATCGGGTTTGGACACCCAGTGTACTTGAGACCTCATGGGCTTGTCCTAATGAGTGAGGCAGTCCCTAGACTCTGGGTGGTGGCTCTCCCTGGGCCACCCCTGCCTGGACCTGCGGGGTGTGAAGTGAGCCAGGCACGGCTGGGAGAGGGGGCTTGGTGTCCAGGGTCAGATTTGCCAGGGGCCACATGTGACCCTCAACAGCCACTTTGCCTGAGGCTTGATTTTTCTGATCTGTGTAATGAACTAAAAGCTAGGCAGTGTTTCAGTAGCTGCGATGTGGGTGTGCGCTCCTTTGACCCTTGGCCTTCCTCGGGCTGACTCTGTGAGGTGATACAGGACCTTCTCCTCCACCCCAGGTATGATCAGTATCGATCTGGCATCTTCCGGATCTCCAGCCTGTATCTTACCTAGCTGTGTGGCTTTAGGCAAGTTACCTAACCTCTCCGTGTCTCAGCGTCATTCCCTGTAAGAAAGGGATGACGACAGCTCCCCTATCACACGGGAATCGTTGAGGATTGAGGGAGAGCGCCGTGTGAGGCTCAGTGAGGAGCCACGCGTGGACTCCTGTAATTCAGAGCAACGGGGCCTTTCCCGAGCTTCCGCTGCTCTTTCCAACACCCTCCCCCGCAAACTGTCCTTCCTAACCTGAGCCTCCCCCCAGAACCCGGGCCCCCAGGCCAACTGAACTAGAATCTCAGAGGCTGGGGTCCACTTGGGGGTTTCTGATGTGCGGGGAGGGTGGGAAGCCACAAGGGGTTGCTACCTCACCCTCACTAGGTTGACTGTAGTAACAAAGACATCCTAAGGTGGGTTCCCAAGGGCGTGGAGAATTTCAAACCTTCCTGCCCTGCTGCAAGAAATGTAACAATAGAGCTGCTTGGGAAAAAATCCTGGCCACTTCCCAAAACTGCATTGATTTTTTTTCTGGGAAAATGGAGGCCTGATGTGCCCATCCAAGCTCCCCCTTAACACCCCAGCTGGCTTTTATATAGATGTGGACAAGCGGATCCTAAAATTCACGTGGAAGTTCAAAGGATCCGGATTGCCAAAACAGTCCTGAAAAAGAAGAACAAAGTTCCTACGACTCACACTTCCCATCTTCAAAACTCGCTACAAAGCCACAGTAATCAAGACGGTGTGGTACTGGCGTAGACAGACCTATCAACCCATGGAAAACAATCCAGAAATAGAACCTCACTTTGTTTCAGTCAGTTGATTTTGGACAAGAGTGCTGGAACCACTGTACGGAGACTGAGCGGTCTTTTCATCTTGCAATGCTGATGAAAACTGGTCATCCACATGCAAGAGAATGAAATTAGAGCCCTGCACCACACTGCATGTGGACATTAAGTCCCCATTAAACTCTTAGAAGAAAAAGTAGCCATAACTCTTTGTGACCTCGGATTAGGCAGTGGTTTCTTATATACAACACCAAAAGCATAAACAACAAAAGAAAAATATAAATTGCATTTTATCAAAATTTAAAACTTTGGTGCATCAAAGGACACCACCAAAAATGTGAAAAGATAACCTACAGAATGAGAGAAAAACATTGCAAATAATGACTTATACCCAGAATATATAAAGAACTCTTACAGCTCAATAATAAAAAGACAAAGAACCCAATTTTAAAGTGCACTGAGGATCTGAATAAACATATCTTCAAAGAAGGTATACAGATGGCCAATAAGCACACGAGAAGCACATGCTCCTAATTGACCTTCAGGAAATGCAAACAAAAGCCACGAGGAGATACTGCCTCACCTTCACTAGGTTGGCTGTAATAACAAAGACATCCTAAGATGGGTTCCCAAGGGCGTGGAGAATTTTGAAACTTCATGCCCTGCTGCAAGAAATGTAAAAATAGAGCTGCTTTGGACCCTTTCTCAGAAAAATTAGGCGTATAGTTACCAAGTGACCTAACAATTCCGCTCCTAGATACACACCCAAGAGGATGCAAACACGGGCACAAAAAAATGTGTACATGAACATGCATAGCAGCTTTGTTCATAGTAACCAAAAAGTAGAAACACCTCAAATGTCTTATTAATATATAAAAATATATAAATAAAACGAGTCACAGCCATACCCTGGAGCACTGTTCAGCCATAAAGAGGAGTAAAGCTCTGACACATACTGCAATGTGGATGGGCCTTGAAAACTCACTGGGTGAAGAAAACAAGCATGAAAGACCACATACTGTTCCTTTCACTTACCACATTTTGTCGTGTATAATGCACACTTTTTTGCCCAAATTTTTGAGGGAAAAATAAGGATGTGCATTGTACATGGAAGTGACAGAAATACCTGTGTCTGTCCTTGTGTTTTGCAATTATTTGCTACATAAAATTTCTTGTTCCACAATATGTTCAAAAATAAATGCTAAAATTCCTTTATAATACAAAAATACAAGTATCTAAATATAAATTTAAAATTGAATTAAAAGATTTTTATCCTTACCGTCTGGGCCAAAAACTTGGGTGCACATTATACACAGCAAAATATGGCATATGAAATTTCCAGAATAGAGAAAATCCATAGACAGAGAAAGTAGACTAGTGAGTACCTAGGGCTGTGAGGGATGCGGAATAGCTGCCCGTGGGGGTGCGGCTTCATGTTCAGGTAAGAAAAACGCCCTCAAACTGATGGCGAGGGCTGCATAGCTCTGTAAATATGCTAAAAAGCCATTGAAGTGTACACTTTGGTGAATTTTAGAGCATGGAAGTTATATCTCAAAGCTGTTATATAGAAAGGATGCATAACTAGAAACCAAAGTGTAGAATGCATAGTATTCTTTTTAAGCATTAAGTTAAGGCGCTCCGTTTTCTGCGCAACAACTGAGGATATAAAGGACTAAACTCGCATCAATGTGAACACGCATTTGCTGAGCGAGGAATTCTGCAGTTACCCTAAAAGTTACATAGTTCAACTCCCCAAGAACTGAAAACTAAACATTACAGCACTGCTGTTTGGTACAGCAGCTACCAGCCAAATCTGTATTTACACTTATTACATTACATTTATTACAGTTAAATGGAACGTAGAATTCAGTTCATCACTCATACTAGGAGCATTTCAAGTACTCAGTAGCCAAACGTGGCTCGCGGTTACTCTATTGGACAGTGTCAATCACAGAATGTTTACATCATTGCACAAAGTTCTGGGGCTGCATTAACACCTGGTTCAAATAGTATTTGGAAGCACGTAGAGAGAAAATCAAGTACCCAGAGTGTGTTGGAGCAAATTCCATTCTAGGAAGCAATACAGAGAATCACTTCCTAGCTACAGGACTTTGCTCATAGCTGACACAAGAAACATTTGTTGATTAACAAATAGATAAAATTCCTTTCTTTCTTTTCCACAGATCAACCACTCTGATGATGCACATAACAGATACTTAGGCTGGCCCGCAGAAATACAGATAGAAGGCTGCATACCGAAAGAACCAAGCTAACGTTATGTAGACTTAATAAATGTGTTTTTTAATAGACAAATGAGTCGTGGGTGACCCGTGAATCTTATCCAACAGTCAATATTTGATTTTTTGGGTTTTGTCATCAACCAACCAATATTTGCTGGTTGTGTGAAATCTTGGCTCGCCGTGTATGTACGCCCATCTATGTGTAGTGAAGATGTTAATGAGGAGGAAGGCGGAAATGGATGGAAATTGTTACATGAAGGGATTTAACCCGGAAAGGAGAGGGTTGAGGGAGAGGTAACCACTGCTTGTCTATGTGTGGAGTTATTTGACGATCGGCTCTAAGTTTGACCCACAGTCCAGACAGCTCCGCAGAGAGGAAATCTTGGTCCCCTTGTCCTGGAGCGTCCCCTCAGCTGGGAGAGCATCTCCCGGGAGAAGGAGCAGCGGTCAGAGGGCTTGGCAAAGCCGCCGTGGTCGATGCCACCTGAGCCCTTGAACTCTTCCTGTGGGTCCATGAACTTACTCTTCCGTTGCACAAATCTGGCGCCTCCTGCCACCAGGAGGACCGCAGTGAAGGGACACAGTCGCTGCATCCCTGCAGGGGTGTGACTCCAGGGGCGAGCCCTGCTGACCAGGGTGGGGAGGGAGGCGCTCCAACAAGGCAAGGAGGGTCTGGCCGCAGGAGGGCAACCGCACAGTGCACCTCAGGCTTCCTGGAGGACTCAGCACCAGAGCCACGTGTCCGAGGTATGCGCGCGCTGAGAAGCACGGCCAAGGGTGCACCTGATTCGGGGTTAAAATGCTCAGGTCCTTGCCGGGCACGCATTCTAACGTCTCTCCAGGCCTGGCTGCTGGGAAAGCTGGGGGACTTTGAGGCCAAGGTCACAGCGCTTCTCTGAGCCTCCCGTTCCTCATCCGTAAGATGGAGGCTTTGGGATAGATGAATGAGTTCAAGCATTTTTATCAGCAGAGCTCCTTTAAAAAACATGGTAGCACAGGGTGGCACCCTGAATTTCACACCCTCACCCTATCAAGCCACCCAAATCGCAGTGGCTTACCACTGCACTGACTTCTCCCTCCAGTTACACGCGGGCCACAGGCCACCTTCGGCTGGGCCCAGAGCAGGGGGGCCAGGCACAGAAGCCAGAGAGCAGAAACCCACACGCCCCCGGAGCTCCCGCCGGGGCCCAGGGCGAGCCCCACTCCCCCACACCTGTTGCCCAGGCGCATGGCGGCCGTGCGGCCCTGGGCGGGGAAGGGCGCGTGAGCCTGGGACGCAGTCCCTGCTGTTTTCGGTTTTGTTTCATGTTAGCAGTACTTATGCTGAATTTACTCCTGGGCCATCAGTTTTTGTTTCTTCAGTTTCTTCTGGGGTATCTTTTCCTTCTGTGCGACCTCTTCTTCCGGGTTAGGAACAAGCTGCTCTTTTTCAGTGGGATCATCTCAGTGTGGTGAGGACAGTCCGTGTGTGGGCAGATCTGCCCGTGCGCCTGTGAGTTCTGAGCCGCCTCTTGGGAGCTTTGTCCGCCTGGGTGGGCTCAATGACCAGAGAACCTGCATCTAAACCCTTAAGCTCAGCCCGGTACACCTGCTGAGTCCACTGTTGCACCCACAGAATGGTGCACATCGCTTCGGTAAAGTAACATCCTTAGATGCTTGGTGGCTTTTCAGATAAGCATACCCTTGATGGCCGGAGCAGTTTCACAAGCGTCCTCAAAATGAACACGAAGATTTGAAGCTCTTGATGTGCATGATTTTAGGGGGTTTTCTGGGCCACGGGAATAGCAAGCCATTTTCAGAGGCCACTCCTCTGCCTCCGGGCAGAGCCGGGCTAAACGGCTGTGAGCAGCCAAGCCATTTAGCCTCCGGGAAGAGCCGGGCTAAACGGCTGTGAGCAGCCAAGCGCAGTGCACAGGGCCGCAGAGGGGCGGGGCCCACAGCCTCCTGCCTGCGCGCCGGCCCCTCGGGGAGCGGGGCCCCGCCCAGCAGAGCAGTCTGCCGGGCTCACGGCCAGGGCCCCTGGCTCAGGCTCCAGGTGCGCTACGTTCTGTCCCCCCAACATTTCTAAGTTGAATCTTAACCCCAGCATCTCACAATTTAGAAACAAGATCCTTGTAGTTATAATAAGAGCGAGCAGGGGACCCCTATGCCAGGATCATCATTGTCACCCTGATTCAAAGGGGACATTTGGACACGTGCCCGGGGAAGGCCAGGTGAAGAGGAAGGCGGAGCCCAGAGCGATGCCTCTACAAGCCAAAGAACCCCAAAGACGGCCAGCAAAGCAGCAGGAGCTGTGGGAACAGAGGAGCAGGCCCTCCCCTAGAGCCTTCAGGGGTCGGGGAGGCGCAGAGCCTTAGACTTCTGGCCTTTAAACTGGCGAAGGATAAATCTCTGTTGTTTCAGCCACTCAGATTCCAGCGCTTTGAATGGCGGCCCCAGGGCAGCCACACAGTTCTCTTTAGGTTATAAGCTCTTCGGTTCCCACGGCATTCCTGTATTTTCTAAACAAGTAGGAGGGGCTGAGCTTGTATTTTCTTTTATTTTTCTCCCTTCCTTTTCTTTTTTACTCCAGCTGAAATTATACCACTTTCGCAGCAGCGTTGCTCTTGCTGCACTGTGCCGGTCAGACCCCAGGGGACTCCTGGGCACGCAGGTTCAGGAACCCTGCCTGGGGAGGGCAAGCTCCCGCGACGCCCCGGTCCCGCACCCTGTGGCAGCTCGGCAACCTTCCGCTCAGCTGCCACTGCCGCTGTCACTGGTGTGCCTCCCACAGGGGGCCCTGGGCTCTGCACTGTCATGCCCTGCTTCCCACCTGCCTGGGCACTGAGCCCTGAGACTGCCATCCCTGGGCCCCAGCTCTGCGGAGGGGGAGGATACTGTGGCACGCTGCCACCTGCCGCTCACCGGAAAAGCTTGGAAGACGTGTCAAGAACCAGAGACCCCTACCAAACCATCTTCCTCAGTTGTGGCCTTCATGATATTTCTCTCCCAGATTTGTGTTTTCTGCCTAAAATTTCACTTTATTCCATTAAACAACCTGGCGGTCAGCAGAATGGCCTCCACAGCAGGACCCGCTCTGCGGTGCCCGGCCTGCGCGGCAGGTGTGTGGCTTGGGCGCCGTTGCAGCGTCTCGCTCAGCAGGCTGTGTCCAGCGTTCCTGGGCAGCAGTGGGATGCCCTCCGCCCTCGTCATCGCCCCAGGGGCCCCTCCTCCGTGCTCCCTGCTCGCTGCCACTGCTTTCAGAGCCTGGAGACCACCAGGGGGGTGAGGGTGTCCCCCCAGCCCTGCCCTGTGCCTGCCCCCTACTGGGAAGCCTGCTGGCCCTTGCTGCAGGGGCAGGAGTCAGGGGTGGTAACCGGTCCCCTTTCTGGGTTCCAGGCCCCCCGAGTCCAGCCGCAGAGCATGGGGCCACTGCTGGCCAGGCAGCAGGCTGCCGAGTGCCCGCAGCGCAGGGCTGGGGACGGAGGGGAACGGGCGGAGCCCAGAGGACGTGCAGGGCCGGGACACCACCCCCTGTGAGACAGTGACAGTGGTCGTCTGTTTTTAGACATCTCTCCAGGTCACAGAATGCACAACACCGAGAGTGATCCCTAAGGCAAACTGGGGACTCTGGGTGATGACAATGTGTCACTGGAGGTTCATGGATAGCAACATGCGCACCGCTCTGGGAAGGCGGGGGAGGGTGACGGTGGGGGAGGCTGTGCGTTGGGGAGGGCAGGGTGTGTCGGGGAAACCTCCGCGCTTTCTGCTCAGTTGAGCTGTGAACCTAAACTGCTCTGAAAAAGTAAAATCCATTGTAAAGGGGGCGGGGGGGGGGTGGTGGCAGGGAGCTGCCCCGGAGAACAAGACTTAGACTGGCAGCAAGCACCGATGGCCCTACTCCAGAGCCAGGGGGAGCGTCCCCTCCGCCCCCGCCCCCACCCTGCCCAGCCGGAGGCGGCAGACCTGGCCCCTCTCCAAGGCAGGCCCAAAAGATGGGGGTGGGCACAGGGGGTGTGCTCGAGGGGACCGGGGCCCTGGCTCTCTCCCCCGGGGAGGAGGGCTGGGAAGGCAGGCACTTCCTGACCCCTCTGGGCACTTCTATTCTCAGGCTTCTGCGACTGGAGCCGGCTTGCCTCAGGCCAGCCTGTGGCATAAGGGTTCTTGACATCACGCTGGAAAAATTTCACAGCACAACTCCAGGCGATTTTGAGAGCACATTTATTAAAAGTGGGGACAGTGAAACAAAGGAAGGGCTTAGAGCAGAAGTAGCAGTGTTACAGAGAGATCGGACCAGGTCACTAGGGGCAGAGCAGTCTGCTGGCCTCCATGGGGAGTGGCCGTAGGAGGAGTTTGCCGAGGAAACGGTAAATGGTCTAGGCCCTGCATTAGGAGGCGCTTCTGGTGTGGTGTTCCGGCAACAAGGACCTCCTCCTGAAGTCTGAGTGAGTAGGTGAGCCTCGGAGGAGGGATGTGCCAGGGGGAGCTGTTTTAATGGGGAATGGAGGGTCTCCCAGGTGTCCTTGCTAAGCTAGCCTCGCTCTGTCCAGCTCCAAGGGTGCCTTCTGTTAAAAGAAAGAAGCAACAAGCTGAAATGCGCACTCGTGCCAAGCCCACGTCACCAAACCGAGCCTTAATCCATAACCTAATTGCAGTTCTTTCCCAAGAATGCACAAGTCCTAACTGGTCAGTCTGGAATTTCACAGTCAAGAGTAGTAAGGTATTCTGCCTGACTGGTCCCTTCCAACCCCCAACGAAAGATGCCACAATTCTCTTTTTCCCCTTTTGTCTATGAAAACGTTTCACTCACCGCAGCCATTGAGAGCTTCTCTCCATCTGCGAGATGGGAGGCTGCCCCATTCCTGAATCATTAAATAAAGCCAATTTGATGTTTAAATTTACTCAGCTGAGTTTTTTTAATCCTCACCTGAGGCTCTGTTTATTGGTTTGAGAGAGAGAGGAATGGGGCGGGGGAGAAGGAGAGAGAGGAACACCGATCAGCTGCCTCCCTTATGGGCCCGACCAAGGATCAAACCCACCATCTAGGGAGGTGCTGGACCAGGGATGGAACCCACCACCTTCCTGGCGCACTGGGACAGTGCTCCGACCTCCTGTACCACCCGGCCGGAGCTACTCTGTTGGATTTCTTTTTTTTTTAACACTCATGTCTTTCCTGGAGCAGTCGAGGGGCTGGGCCCGTTAGAGAAGGTGTCCATGATGAAACAGAGAACTGTCACTCTGCAGAGTCACTGGGTCCTCCTGGAGGACCCAGGTCTTCAGCTCCCACTGGGACCCTGGTGTGGTTGGGTCAGTAGCAGATCCTAGAGGACAGACCATGAAGACACCGCATGACCCCTAATGCCAGCATCTTCACCCCGCTGCGGTGGCTCGGTGGATTCATCAGCCTCAATTCCCAGACCAGAAGGTCGCAGCTTCAATTCCCAGTCAGGGCCTTTCCTGGGTTGCTGGCCAGGTCCCCGGTTGGGGATGTGTGAGAGGCAACAGGTCAATGATTTTCTTCCTCCTTCCAGTACTAAAAAAAGAAAAATTATTTTTCTAGTCCTCTAACTTCCTTCTTTAAAGAAAAACTTGCCCACAAGATTAATAAGTGAAAAGGTGCTCACGACTTTTTTTTTTTCCTTAATTCATAGTGTTTTGGAAAGGAGGGCGGGAGTGGAAACAAGACAGAGGCCAGCTTTCTCCCTCCTGCCCTCGCCCCATGTCCTGGGGGCTCCGCTGGGTTTCCAGCCACTGCTGTAGTGGTGGGAGAGCTCGGGTCTCCTCCACTCCCATCAGAGCTTGGGGCAGGGGAGCCTTGGGAGTGGGGGGCCTCCTGTCTTGCGGCAGGGGGAGCAACTGAAGACCAGAGGATCACACAGGCTCAGGGCAGAGCTAGGAATAGAGTTAGGATCCAGGCGGCGTTCCCAGCCTGATGTGTGAGGTTTAGCCTGGCCCCGCCTTGTTCCCTTTCCACCCAGCTGAGCGAGAACTCTCCGAGTGTTACTGGAATCTGTGCACTTCCCCTCGTTGGGTACAGAGAAGCAGCAAAGGGTGACTTCTGTCTGGTGCGGCTCTGGCATGAAGCAGGCAGAATGTCTCAGGACTTTCAAGTCATGTACTTGAGTAAACAGCCCATGCCCGGTGAGGTCCAGGACAGGAGTCACACGCCCAGGGGCTATTTACATTAATTTGAGAGAAATAGTAAAACCCTCAGCTCCTCGGTTGCACGAGCTACATTTCAGGGACTCAGGGGCCTCCTACGGCTGGCGCTGGACAGTATAGAATAGAACATTCCCATCACTATGGAAAAGTCCCATGGGATGTCGCTGCTCTGAGTCCTTGGCTCTCCAAGGGCGACCAAAGGCAGCCTCCCCCGAAGACTCGTTAGCAATGCAAATTATCGACTACGCTCCCGAGCCCCAGCCTCAGTCCCGGGTCGGCCCTTCTCCTTTCTCAGAACCCCTGGGGGATTCTTTGGAAGAAAGACACTGATCTTTCGGTTTCATTTCCAGGGTCAGGACACTGGTTTCGCTTCTCTGGCCGTCTGTGAGGAGTGGTGTGATTCACACACCAAATAAAAGGGCAGCGCTGGAAAGCAGAGAGGTGATTTTCGGATCTCCGGATCGCTGTCCTGACGGCTCACAGGTAAGGGCTGGGCTGGGCTGCGCTGGGCTGGGCTGGGGGTGGGGTGGGGTGGGGGGCTGCCTTACAAAAGATGCGACTTTTCCTTTAAAAAAAAAATTTTTTTTTTATTGATTATGCTATTAAGTTGTCCTGACTTTTCCCTTTGGTTCCCCCTCTACCCAGCACCACCCCCCTCCCTCAGGCAACCCCCACAACTATTGTTCTTGTCCACGGGTCATGCTTGTACGTCCTTTGGCTTCTCTGTTTCTTGTACCGTGAACTTTACATCCCGTGGCTATTCCTGTAACTACCTGCTTGTACTTCTTAATCCCCTCACCTCTTCACTCCAGACATGACTTTTTCAAAGGATTTCCTGGTAAAACTGGCCAGTGCCAGAAAGCAGGGGCCATAAGATAAATTTCTGGTGCTGCCCTACAACCCTTGTGTGGGAGCTGTTCCCCTCGTCCCCCCCACCCCAGCTTTGCTCCGGAGGACACATTCTAGAGAGGGAGGGGCTGCTCTGGAAGCCCAGGACGGCTCTCCTTCCAGAACCTGGCTAGAGCCCTTGTGGCATCTTTGAGGTGCACGCATCCGGGTTGGGGGGAGAGTTTTGCACCTGTGTGATACTGTGATTTTAACAACAAGGAGTATGTTAACTATAGTCGCCAAGCAGTGTGTGTTAGAGTCCCATAGCTGATAGTACAGTACTGAGTGCTTGAACGTTGCCAAGAGAATAGAGCTTAAAAGTCCTCCTTGCCCCTGCCGCAAGAAAAAATTGTTGTAACCATGCATGGATGTTAACTAGACTTATTGTGGTGTTTGGTTCACAAAATAGACAGTATAGAAAAAAAAAATGGTATATTTTTTGGCCTGTGTCCCCGTTCTGTCTCAGGGCTCTTAAAGCCCTAGGAATTTCCTAAGTGTAGAGAATGTTGTCTTTTGTTATGTTAATGAGGCCACTGAGTTGGAGCTGGTCTCCAGGGAACAAACCCTGTGATTAGAGTGTACAAATGTCAGCTCCACCCCCCACCCTCCGGGGAGTGGGAATACTCTGCCGGCAACGCTGGAGGTTGAATCAGTCGCTGGTAGTCAATGATTTCATCGGTCGTGCCATTGTTTTGAAGCCTCTATAAAAACCCCAAGGATGGGGTTCGGAGAGCTTCCTCACTGCTGAACGCATGGGGATTTGGGGAGAGCGCAGGACCTGGGGAGAGTGTGAGAGGCCCACGCCTTTCCCCCCACCCCTCGCCCTCTATGCTCCTCCGTCTGCCCACTCCTGTTACGTCCTTTATTATAAGCCAGTGATCTGGTAAGTAATGTTTCTCTGAGTTCTGTGAGCCGCCGTAGCAAATTATTCAAAACCAAGGAGGGGGTCGTTGGAACCTCTGATCTATAGCCAGTCGGTCAGAAACACAGGTGTCAACCTGGACTTGCCCTTGGCACCTGCAGCGGTGGGCTGGGGCATGGGCCGGCACGGTCCTGGGGAGTCTAGTGTCGTCTCCAGGCAGACCGCCTTGGGGCCATGGGGGAAAAACACATGGGGATTGGGTCAGACTCAGAGCCTGTTATCAGGGCTTCGGGAGCCCTTTGGTGACGGTGGTGGCACAGGGCCACCCTCCTACGGGGACAAGTTGCTGATTTCCAGCACTCGCTGATGCCCTGTTGTAACACGTGTTAACTTAGTAGGCCTTCCGAGTTTTACTTGGAAACATTGATGCCCAGTGTTCCCAGCAAACGGTGGCATCTGGGGGGACAGACTGGACGTAAGTCATGGAGGATTAGTGTCCTGGGGCTGCAGTAACAAAATGCCGCAACTCGGGGGCATAAACGGCAGAAACTTATTCTTCCCGGGTTTGGAGGCTGGTGTCCAAGGTCAAGGTTTTGGCAGAGTTGATTCCTTCCGAGACTCTTCCTAGAACCCTTCTTGTCTCATCCAGCCTCTGGCCTCTGCCATCCATCCTTGGCATTGTTTGGGGAAAATATCTCCAGGTGCTGTGTGGACCCTTTGGGTCATGCCACCCGCAAGAGGAAGAAATCCAGGCCACCTGGTCACCCATGACAAGTGAGCAATTCTGGCAGATTTCCCAGGACAGTCAGACAGCTAGCTGTTCCCTGCCCTTCACAAAGAACGGTGAGGTTAAGCAGAAGGAAAGTTTAGATTTGGGTCAATGATTAATCAATCAATTTCACTTGCATCTCTCTTTCCTGGAGACGATGATGAAATCTCAGTGAACGAGACTGCTGTGGTATTCTGTTTTTAGGAGAAACTAACTCCTCATTAGTAGGAAAGGAGGCAAAGGACCCCCACAGACCCACCTGAGGGATCACGCAGATTTAGCCCAAGATGCCAGGCCCAGAGAAGTATGTTTCGAGTTAACGGCAGCCCTCTCCTCCCTGCAGCGCGGCCTCGCCAGCAGAGCCGGCCAGTGTGCGTCCCGGAGGCCAGGCAGGCCTGGGAATGGGTGCAGGGCACTGAGATCCAGGCCTGTCGGCCCCACCGTGACTCCTTGCAGGCGCAGTGACGCCAGTGTGGGAAGCTTGAAACAGCCCGAAGGAAGCAGCTCGAGGGGGAGGGGCTGGCCTTCTGGGGGCGTTTCCACAATCCACCTGTCACCGGTGGCACTCTGCCACGTGGTTCCAAAATCGGAATAGTTTCACTGTTTCCTCGCTATCAAAGTGAAATATCGTCCGTGGGTATGCCATGGCTATGAACTTCCAGCAGGGGGCGGTACCCCAATTGCTTAATTTGTCTGAACTCCCCTGCGCACCTGCAGGAAAATTCGGGATGATGTAACTGAGGGGTGCAGAGTGCACGCTGCTGCCTGGGGCCCTCCAGGAGGACACAGAAGAGCTCAGCAAGTCCTAAGCCCCTGGGACTTTGGCCTGACCCCCCTCCTGGAGGCAATGCAGAGACACAGGGAGAAGACTAGCCACCCACAAGCCAAGGACGGAGGCCTGGAGCAGATTCTCCCTCACAGCCTCAGACGGAAGCAACCCTGTCCACATCTTGATCTTGGACTCCCAGCCTCCAGGACTGGGAGAGAACAAATTCCCACTGGGGAAGCCCCCGGTCTTGGCGCTTGGCTACGGCAGCCTCAGTGAAGGAGCGCCCTAGGCTAGGCAAGTTCCAAGTGCGGGGTTTATTTGGGCTCTCGTGGGTGACACAGACCCGTGGCGAGGCGGTGTGGGCTGGAAAGAGGGACCACGCCTGTTTTAATCCATGAGGATCATAGAACAGAGTAGAAGAATTTTGTCAGCTGAATTTTGGTGTTCCCGTGATTTTGAAGGGCTAGGACATGCATTCAAAGAAGGCTACAAAATACGAACTAAGACCTGTTCTACCTTCAGTCACATGAGAGTTCCGCAGGGGGAACGCATCCACAAGCCACATCCTCCCCACGGAGCACAACATGGCATTCTCCGGTCCCCAACACTCTAGCCTCTGCCAGGAAGGCTCCTCCCAGAACTCAGAGTCCTTTGCTGTTTGGCTTGTTTATTTCGGGCCTCCCTGCTGGAATGGATATGCCAGAAGAGGCTTGGTTTTTGCTGCCCCTTGCCTAGAGTGCCTTGCACGGACCAGGCCCTTGAATTGGTTTCCTGAGGGGGTCCTCACCAAGTGCCCCAGGCAAGGGCAGGTAAACGGCAGACGTGTATTCCTCACAGTCTGGACAACAGAGGCCTGAGGTCAAGCCGTGGGCAGGATAGGTCCTTCTGAGGCCTCCCTCCGTGGCATGTAGACAGCTGTGTCCCCCACCCCCACCCCGTGTCCCCATCTCCTCTCCTCATAAGGACACCAATGATATGGGATTAGGGACTGACCTAAGGGCCTCATTTTTACCTTTTTTTCACCCCTTTAAAGGCCCATCTCCTATAAAGGCCCACTCTGAGGCACCGGAGGTTAGGACTTCAACATCTCAATGGTGGGGAGGGGGCGCACACAATTCAGCCCGTAACAATCCTCAATGAGTATTTCTTGAATGAATGAGTGAACGAACGAATGAATGAATGATGCCTTTTTCTCAGTAAGTCATGACACAAACAAAGCCGTGCATGTGCACATCTTTTTCAAGGAAAGGGAAAATTTCAGCCCAGCATTCAGGGAAGAGATGCTATAAATACAGAAAAATCCTTTGGGGCCACACTTTTTAGGGACTTTTTCCTGAAAAAAGGTCACAGAAATTTCCAGAAAGGGTATTGACACAATGAGATCAGGGCCCAGTAAGTCAGCCCCTCTGTTCAACGTCAGGAGGGAGGGAGGCAGGAAGGGGCTGAGGGATTGCAGCTGAACACGGAGCAGAAGTGGAATTTCCCAAGTCCAGCTGATGGGCCGCAGGCCATGGAGACTCCAGTCCCTCCGCCTGCGTTAGTGTCACGAGGCTGCTGTGGCAAATTATTCAAACCTGCAGGTGAAACAACAGAAATGGATTGTCTCCCAGCCTGGGGGCTAGAAGTTCCCGATCAAGGTGTCTGCAGGGGTAGCCTCTTCGGGAGGCTCTGAGGGAGGATCCATCCCACGGCTCCTTCCTAACTTCTGGTGGCTCCTCGGTGTCCTTGGGGCTGCGGCCGCATCACTCCAGCCTCTGCCTCTGTCTTCACATCGCCTCCACCCCTGGGCCTCGGTGTCTCAAACCTCCCCTTGCTTTTCTCTTATTGGATGTAGAGCCCACTGTCATTTCTATAGCCTTACCTTAATCCCATATGCAAACACCCTTTTTCTAAATTAAGTCACATTCGTGATTCCAGGTGGACATGAACTTGAGGGGGTGGAGGAGACACTGTTGAAGCTACTGCATCTGTCTTCCTAGACGGAAGGGGTTGCGTGCGCGGTATGGGGGAAGGGCTCCTCTCAAGAGTCACCCAGCTTGAGTCTGAGTCCTGACTTCACCAACACTTGGAGCTTCCTGTACTTCAGTTTCTTGACCAGGAAAATGCAGTTAAGCAGCTAACACATAGGGCTGTTGTCAAAACGAGTGTCTTGGAGCAGCATCGGGTGAGGCGAGCCCTCCATACACCAGCTCTTTCTCAAGGTGCTGCCTGTACCTGATTACATGCCACAGGTGCTGAGAAATGACACCCCAGCCCTCACCCCTCCGAGACTCCCCGGCCGTCTGGCCGACACCGGGTGACAAATGGTGGCGTGAGGGCCTGAGAGATGCTACCTACCTCCAGCTCTCCGCACCTGACGGTCTCCTGCTTGATCCTGAGCCACAGGTGTCTCAGGAACGGGGGGACATCCACACTCTCCCGTGGAAATGTGGAGTCCACGGCCCCCGTCCCCAAGCCCTGGGGGCCCATGGAGAGGCCACTTGTTCTCTGTGCCTGTTTGCCATCCAGAGTCCCTCCCGCAGACAGGGGGCCTGTGCTGGGACCCTGGTTTCCCCCGTGTCTGCACAGCGGGTGGGCTGTCCCGGGGCCTCAGGAGCTGGGGCTGGCCAGGTGCAGCCCGGGGGGAGACTGCTTGGTGACTTCGGGCCACCATCCCATTCTGTGTCTCTGCAGAGCTTGGCAAGAAGATTACAGGTGCTGAACAGCAGGGAACGCACCCACTGGCTCCACCTGGCCACCAGCTGATGCCAAAAGCCCACAGGTCCTGGCCACAGCAGGGACACAGTCAGCTTTCTTCCCAGCACCACCCAGAAATAGAAATGAGCTTCCAACCAAAATTCCAGCCACACTTTGGTACCCCAGGGGGACAAACGAGGTCCCCCCCCAACAGGCAAGGGGGAGAGAAGGACCAAGCTCACCTCAGCAAGAACTTCACCTCCATGACATTGAACCCTCAGGCCACAGGAGAAAATAAGAGCCAACAAGGGACAAAGGTGAGTCAGAAGGAGGACGTTCAGGAAGGAAGCATTCTAGCCACTAGCCCGCTACCTGCCACGTCACAGTTGGTTCCCCCCCGTTCCTCCAGACACGCGCCCACAAATACCACAGTCATACCCAGCCTCGGGGGCAGCGATTACCTTCCTTGAAGTGAGTCTAGGGGCTTCTGTTTCATGTTTGGGGGGTCTCCTTCCAGGAGATTTTCCTCCAGCTGCTCCTGGCACCGTCACTATTGCCAACACTTCCCCGGCTCTGCAGCCCCCGGGCCCAGTGCCTGCCTCTGGCCGGGAGTTCCCACCTCCTGCTACCTTCTCTCTGCTCAGTCAGGCACCTCCTCCCCCCGCCAGGCATCCCTGCCTCAGCGGAAGCACAGCCTCAATAGGAACCAGACAGGGGGCTCTCCCCGGAGCCCCACCTAGATCCACCTCCCCACCCCCATCCCCGCCGCTGCCCACGGCCCAACATCAGCAGATACCCAGCTCTACAGCAGTCCCCACAGCAGTGGGGCCTTATCAGAGGCCAAGAGTGTGAAATCTGTTCTGCCTCTTCCAGGGGCCCGAGACCACCCTGTGCAACCAGTATGAGATGAAAGTGCGCCCCTGCATCGACCTCATCGACTCCCTGCGGGCCCTGGGCGTGGAGCAGGACCTGGCCCTGCCTGCCATCGCAGTCATCGGGGACCAGAGCTCGGGCAAGAGCTCTGTGCTGGAGGCTCTGTCGGGCATCGCCCTCCCCAGAGGCAGCGGTGAGCAGCCCGCCCGCCGCCCATGGGCCCCAAAGCGCCCGTCCGCAGGGCACCAGTGGTATCAGCCAGGCTGCCAGGGAGGCCCCCCGGGAGGGTCTGGAGCCCACAGCCTGGGCGGAGGCCTGGGCGGCCCACGCTGCCCCGAGTTCTCCAAGTCCACTCTCACATGGCCAGAGCCATGGCCGGCCCTCAGTCAGCCAATGTTCCTCCTCCCTAGAGATTTCTTCCCGGATCGCATTGAATTTGTAAGTTTTGGGTGACGTGCGAAGTCCTTCCGAAGAATTTTTCTCAACGTTTTAAGAAGCTATTAGCCAGGATCGGGTGTGATAGGACCCATGTTTTGATTTAAACAATATAAAGGAGCTGTTGTACAATTTCATAAAATAATTAGCAAGGAAAAAAAGCAGGAGAAAGACAGTGTCCTCACAGTGGGGAACAAGGTCCAGCCTGGGCCCCCCTGCCTCCTGTCTCCTGTCAGCCCTGCCCGGGGCCTAACCCAACCAGACGCGGGGCTAGGAGGCACAGATGCCCCCCACTCTGCCAGGGCTGTCTCCCGGCCCAGAGGAGAGCGTGGGGATACCAGAGAGCTGCACAGCCTCCCGCAAGTCTGCCCATCAGGCGCTCAGCCTGTGCTCCCTCCGGCCACAGGCAGCCTGGTCCTTGTCTGCAGGGGCTGCAGGGAGGTCCCCGTTAGCCAGGCGCCTGGTGCTTGAGAGTGGGAGCCAGGGGCAGGGACTCCTCTCTGCCCTGGGTTCAGCATTTTGGGGGAGATGAGTGACAGGGACAGCCTGGATGCTAGTGGCAGGCATGTGACCCCAGGCACGGCCCCCAGCTGGGTGAGACATTCTCCCTACGGGATGGTGCTCATTCATGCTGCAGGCACTCAGCCCCAAGATGCTCAGGGCAGTTCCAGCCTTTCTGAGCTCCCGCTGCAGCGGGGTGGGGGTGGGGGGCTCCCTCCTCACCCCATGCCCCCACAAACTGCGCTCTCAGAAGTTCCTTGGACCCTACCCTCCAGCTCCTCCCTAGGGAGGGTTGGGTGACCATCGTCACCCAGTGGATCTCACTGCATCCCTCTGTCCCCTTCCTGGGCTGCCACCTGGGCAAATGCGGGTCCCGAGGCCAACGCCCAAGGTGTTCCTAGGGTCCAGTATTGAGTGGGGGCATCTGGATCAGCCCCTAGACAGGGACAGGAATGTCAGGCGAGGCCTCTGGGGATACTGGGCCAGCTCCTGAGGTGTGGGAGCGAAGGGCACCTTTGACATTTGTTTTTAAAGAAAACTTAGGGTGTTTGGAACACTTTCTCTCTCTCTCAGGAATCGTAACCAGGTGTCCCCTGGTGCTCAAGATGAAAAAGCAGTTCTCCAGGGAGACCTCGTGGAAGGGGAAGATCAGCTACCAGAATGTGGAGCTCCAGCTTCAACAGCCCTCCCAGGTGGAGAGGGAAATAGTGAGAGGTGGGTCGCCGCACTCCCCTCCTCCCTTCCAGGCGCCTCCCGGCCGGTGCCCCTGCTTCTCACACTGTCCCCTCCCTCCACCTAATTCCTATTCTTTCCTTGGGTCTCTGTCTCCCCTCGCCCCTTGGGAAGCGTCCCCCGCGGGACCCCACCTTGCACCCCGGCTGTCCTCACCTGCTGTCCTCATCGCCGCCGGCCTGAGTCGCTGCTCTAACCTAACACCCGGCTGGCTGGCCAGGGACCCGGTCTCCATGCAGCTTCCCCAACAGGGACCCCAGCCACCCGTCACTCCCGGAAGCCCAGCCATCCCCTGCTCTTTGACCAAAGTTTACCAAAGCTTGAGACTAGTTTCAGGTAAGGACAGAGTGATAAAAAGGGCCCCTGTGCTCCTGGCGCCCATTTCTGCACCCCCTGAGAGGGGCCCCAGTGATCACCGCCCGCCCCGACACGGAGCCTGCCGGCGCCCCTGCGCGGCTCCTCCTTCCCTGCTCTCACTCTGACCTCAGCCAGGCAGGCAGAAGGGACATTGATCATAATAAGAATGTCTGCCAGCACCGCCTCCGTTCCAGGAAGATGGGCTTTTCCTATCAGGAAACAGAGAACTCAGTACTTGAGGAGGAGGCCTTTCCATGACTTCCTGGGCTGGGCTCTTGGAGAACCCCGTATCTTTAGGTTCACCGGAGGGATCCTTTCCAAAATGGAGAGGTCCTGGCCCCAATCCTAGTGTTTACCCCTAAATACAGAAGCTGTTGGGACCCTCAGTTGGCAAGTCTCCTAGTTTGAAATTACGGAAGCGCCTTGGCAGGCTATGCCCGCAACAGCGGTCCCGGGGCTGCCTGACATCCTCACAACCTGCAGTGTTTGTTGAGGCCTCTCCTGAGGTCCACGGGCATGACCAGGAGGGCTGGGCGCTCACCGCACGGCAGAGCTCCGCGCGCACAGGTGCATGCTGGGTGACGGTTTTGTGTGAGAGCGCATGGTAAGCAAGCCATCGCTGGGGCATCTGTGGAACAGCATCCGGAACCCCCCTCTGTTGCCGGTGAGAGTGTAAGTTTGTGCAGCCACTTAGGAAACTGGCAACAGCGGCAAGGGCTGGAGTTGTGCACCCCAGGACGCACTGATACTCCACTCCTGAGTATCACCCAGCCAGAATGGGCCCCAAAAGCCAGGTTCTCGGATGCTCACGGCAGCCGTCCCGTGACGGCCGCAGGCTGGGAGCCACCCAGAGGCCCAGCGCAGTGGACTGGTTCGAGGTGTTGATGCACGCGCCCTCCGCTACAAGCACCGATGTGCGAGTCTTACAAGTGTAATGTTGAGTGAAAGAAGCCAGGCACAAGGGAGCACATGACTTACGATTCCATTCTTAATGAGGTGGGACCCCATGAAATTGTCGTTCTCAAATCGAAAATGGTCCCATATTAGCAAATTCATTTAGCTCAACCACATATGTAGTTCAAAAATGGGCAAAAGGAATGGATGCTGGTAGTTGTCTGGATAGCGGTCGCTCTCGGTGGGGACTAATGACCGGCGGCGGGAGCAGGAGGTTTTCTGGGGGCCAGCCATGTTCTATTTCTCAGTCTGGATGTCAGTTACCCCTGTGTATTCAGCTCATGAAACGCATTGAGCCTCACATTTAAGACAAGGAGTTCTTTTCTGTACATATGTTACACTTCATACGAAGCTACGAAAATTGTATCTTAAGTAGTGACTACGAAATAATAACTGAGGCAGGAAAAGTATACGAAGGTGCAGCCCTGGTGTCCCACCTGCCCCTGGTTCCCTCTCTACAGGATTAGCAATGAAATGGCATTGCGGCTTAAGCGGCTCCTGAGATTCCCGGATCAGGGCCTGGATGCAGGCGAAACGTGGGACCACCCGCGGATTTCACTGCTGTGTCCGGAAAGGCGCCAGCATGTCTCCCGCCAGCTGAGGCCCAGCCATCCACGTGGAGAGAGCCTGTTCATTGATCCCGGGGTAGCACCCCCTGGAGGTCACAGCCGCCCAGGCTTCCCAGGGCACCTGTACCTCCAACTTTGGAGTCCATCAGGATGGACCTTCTCAGACCCAAAGCCCCTGTCAGGAAGAATTGGCCACAAACACAGCATACGCCCAGAGAGTTTAGTGTGTTGCAATGGTGGACTCAGTGACCAGCAGAGAAGGACGTTCCAAGATCCGCTTTCTGCTCCAGGGAGGATGCAAAGGCACATTCTGAGAGGGGAAGGAAGGTGGGAGGTGTTGAGGACACATACCCTCCAGGACCAGGCAAGGAACTGGGGAGTTGTAGGGAGCGTCTCCTCACGCTGTCATGCTTTCCCTGAGCTGGTGACCAGTGACCTCTGTGTCCTTGTCTTGTCCTTGGCGTGCATGTTCTATGTGTCCTCCCTGCACCTAGACTATCCTAGGCTCCCACTGATTTCTAGACGTTTAAAGGTTCTCTAGCTCCTGGTTTCCCAGTGTGGGTCCTGGGCTGTAGCAGCGACATCACCTGGAGCTTTTTGGAACTGCAGGATCTCGGCCCAGACTGGCTGAGTCAGAATCCAGGTGGTAACCAGACCGCTGGTGTGTCTATCCCTTGCATTTATGTTCTGAGAAACCGTGATCAGAGCAGGACCGGATACATGATTTAAAGGGCTCAGGGTAAAATAATCATAACCAACTCAGTATGTATTATAAATGTGTAGTTTGGGGTATATGTGAAGTATGTAATAAATTGTATATAGTTCTCAAGAAGTCTTTTAAAACTCCTAAAGCAAATAATCTTTTTTCAGATAGAATACAAGAGAAGAAATAACTTTTCTTCCCTTCTTCACAGGACTACTTCCTTTTCCTTTTCCTTCTTTTAATACCTCTTAACCCCCAAAGGACAGCACTGTAGGATTACTGCTATTTCATGACCCAGGATAAACAGCAAATGCTATTAAACAGTGACAATAACTATTATAAATGTACCACATTTGGTTAGGTGATCTTGTTTAGCCAAGGTGTCCTGCATCCTGGAGTTTCCTCGCGGTTCTTGCAGCAGGTTCTGGGGTGGCTAGCAGTGGACTTTGGGAGAATGTCCCCTCTTGGGTGTCTGCTTAGCTCCAGACGGACCATTGGTGACTAGATGAGCTCTCGTTACCAACAGACAGAAGGAGGCTTTGCATGAAGCATCCTGGATTGGAAGGGTATCTACACTGCCGGGAACACACCTAGCAGGGGAATTTCGTGTGTAGTGTTTGTCACGTGTTTCTGTGTTAGTGTATACATTTATGTGTGAGTGTATGTATATATGTATTTGCACGCATTTACATGTGTGTGTTAAAAGAATTGGGCAGATACAAACAGACAGAAGACACTAATACTGTCCTAGAACATACACACATACTATATATTTATGTGTACATCTGTTTTTCTGGCCATGTAAGTCATTCATACTTCTATTAGTTTTCTATTGCTACATAACAAATTACACCAAAATTTCGCAGCTTAAAACACAAACATTTCTTCTCTCGCGCAGTGTCTGAGAGTCGGGAATGAGACGCGTCGGCCCTGCGGCTCTGGCCCAGCGCCCCCTGTCGGCTGCAGTTGCGATATTGGGTGGGGCCATATTATCAGGAGGGTCGCCAGGGTCCTTGAACTCGCTCTCATGCGGCCTTTAAGAGGAAGCCACTGTTGTTTCTTGCTGGCTGCTGGCAAAGTTGCCTTGGTCCCCCATGACTGTGGACCTCTGTGTAGGTACTTGGCGTCCTCCTGACTGGGCAGTTAGCCCCCACCCAGAGGGGAGCGTCCAGGAGAAAGGAGGAGTAAGCCATGGTGTCTTCTATGACCTTGTCATGCTGTTGCTTCACTCACTTCTATTCTGCAGACATAAGTCCCTCTATCCAGCCCTCACTCGGGGCTCCCCCTTTCAGGGGGAGGGTTGTTGAAGAATTTCTTGACAGATTTTAAAGTTATTGCCATACCCAGTGAAAAATATTTAAAGACATAAAGAAAAAGAACGGAACCGCCTCTGCAGTTTCAATGTGAACAAATTGGTATGTTTTCCTCTAGAATTTTTGAGAGTGCCTGCCTATGCTACCCCTGTATACACAGCCACCTTGGTGGCCCCGGATCGCTCCGCAGGTTTCTGGGAAATGTTTTCTCAGCACCAGGGCCTCCCGGAAGCTTCTGTATTCCAAATATAAACTATCACCTTCAGGGACAACTGCTTTTTTTCAGATGGGTCGTTAATTTGGACTCTGGGTTTCTCCTCTCTTGGCCTCCACAGCCCAAAACATCGTGGCTGGGAGCGGAGTTGGCATTAGCCACGAGCTCATCAGTCTGGAGATCTCCTCCACGGACGTCCCAGATTTGACGCTCATCGATCTTCCCGGCATCACCAGGTTGCCTGTAGGGGACCAGCCCCCAGACATTGGGCAGCAGGTGAGCCTTCTGGAGCTTGGGGATGGGCCAGGTGGAAGCTGGGGTGACTTTGAGATCTCTGCCGGCCATCCCAGGGGTCTGGTGTGCCTTTCCAGCCCTCGTTTTAAGTGGTTGGGGAGGAGATTGGGATAAGACCCCCTGGGCCTGAGTCTCATATTCCAGATCTGATGAGAGAGAGCCTGGCAGGTCAAGGGAAGGTGACGTGATTGGACTGGGGGTGCATGGGACAGCCCACACCCTGCCTAACCCATGACAATATCAGCCCAGTGTTACCAACTGTCTTGAAAGTCAAAAGAATCCAGAAATTTGCCGTGGCTGGATGGTTCAGCTGGTTAGAGCATCTTCCCATAAACCAAAAGTTTGTGCAGGTTTGGCTTCCCATCAGGGCACATACCTAGGTTGAGGGTTTGATTTCCATTTGGGGCACATGCAGGAGGCAACCAATCCATATTTCTCTCTTACACTGATGGTTCTCTCCCTGCCTTCCTTTCTCTCTAAAATCAGTACATGTATCCTTGGGTGAGGATTTTTCAAAAAGACAAAGCGGCAGCTAGAATTTTGGATTTTCACATAAAATCTGCCAATTTTAGCAACGATTTTTAAAAAAAATTAACCCTACATAAAATAATCAGAGCGTGGCCTGTGATCTCTAGCCGGGGAGCAAGGCCGGCCCAGTGGGGAGGGAAGACAGCCCTAGAATAGACCAGGAGCTACTATGCCTGTTGCCTCTTCTCCCAAGGCCCTTCCACTTAAAATTACTTAAGGGCACAGTCTTACTGGGATGCCTGAGTCACACCTGGTCTTCGGGCAAGGCCTGTCCTTGGGCGCTCCAGCCCACCCTGCCCCTCTATGTCTGCACCTGCCCTTTTCTCTCCCTGACATGCTCTCCCCACCCAGGCTTCCACATGGCACCTTCTCATTTCCTTCAGGGCTCTGCTCAAATGCTACCTTATCAGGATGCCCTTCCTGGTGTCTGATACCCTGCACCTGGCCCTTCTGAATTCACTTACCCTCCTTATGGCGTGTTCTTGGCCCGTATTCCCTCCTGGGGTGTCAGCCGTCGGGGGGTTGCCTGTGCAGTCCATGCTGAATCTCTAGATCCTAGACTCGGCTCAGTACCTGGTGGGCACCCGATAACCATCTGTTGCATGAATAGGTGTTCTCTCTGGGGGCTTCTCTCTCTAAGCAGACATTGTGGGGAGTGGTTATCACGCCCCAAGAGCCTGTCAAAATGTACACAAAGGAGAGTGTGTCCCACAGAGTTTCCCAACCCAAGTCTATGTCACTCCTAGGGACATTGGCAACGTCTGAGGCATTTTCGGTTGTCACAGCTTGGGAAACTCGGGTTGCTACAGCATCCAGTGGGTAGAAACCAGAGATGCAGCCATATACGTCATGGTGTATCAACAGATTTATTAATACTGTTGATAGAGCTGAGGCAGAGAATCCTGGATTTGGGGCCTGCTCACTTGCAGAGGTCAGCCCGACTGTCGCACGGGTATGGCAGAGGGAAGAGGCACCAACAAGAAAACTTTCGACTTAAGGGCAGTTAATTTTACAGCTCACTGATAAAGGTTGATCATAACTTTATTCAGTTAAATTCTTCCATGGCCAAGACTAAACTGGGCCTGCTTATAAATAGAACTCATTCAAATGAGAGAAATACAATAAATACAAATGTCATTTTTATTTCACCCCAGAGCTTAATTGTTTGCATGATGCTAGTCTGTGCTTCTGTGATGGAATTTTCCTATTTTGTGGCTAATTAAAATAATTAGGTAGGGCATTGTATGAGCAAAACTATGTATACATTGTACCAAACTTAAAGAAACATGTACTAAGGTGCCAGCCTTTTCCATGGTTATTTGTATCATTCATGGGGGAGATGTTATTGAAATTTGTCATTTTAAAGCTTATGTTGCCCACATCTCCCTTTTGCCTACAAATTCTAAGAAATGTTATTGTATTTCTCTCATTAGAATGAGTGAGGCTCTTTCCAAAAACGAGCTGCAGAAAAGTCATTAATATTAAGCATAAACATGTAAAGATGTTGCTATCAGATGTTGCCGGCTATGAGTGGACACTGAGCAGCTACCACTACGGGCGCTGTGCTGAGCTGGATTCTGCAATAAGGTGCCACAAATTACCACACGGTCACCCCTGGGCTTCTGGGGCAGGCACAGCACATAAAACAAATCATGCTAATAGATTAACAATAATCTCAGAAACCTCCCAGAAGAGATCTGGAGAGGAAAGAGAGCTTTCCTCTGGCTATGAGAATCAGAGTCTTCAGGAGAGAGAAGCAGTACCAACAATGGGCTTTGAGGAATAAGTAGGGAATCAACAGAGAACGCCATAAGGGCTGGTAGGGTGGAAAGTCCAAAGAAAGGGGACAGGCCAAGCCACAGCTCAGAAATGTGAAAACTGGGTCATGCTCTGGGACGACCTTGCTTTTCGTAATGATGGGGAAGTCTCGCTGTGTGTTGGGTGACCAGAGATGTGTTCTTCCTTTGTGTGATTCTTTGGCTTCAGGTCAAAGCACTCATCAAGAAGTATATCCAGAGGCAAGAGACCATCAACCTGGTGGTGATCCCCTGTAATGTGGATATCGCCACCACAGAGGCGCTCAGCATGGCTCAGGAGGTGGATCCCGAGGGAGACAGGACCATAGGTGAGAGGAAAGAATCAAGCTTCCAGGAGACGGAGGGGGAGGGGGAAGTCCTCACATGTGGAGAAGGTCCTGGAATGAGGTCTGCTGTTAGAGACGCCCACATCCTGCATTAGATCCAAGTGCAGTTCCAACAGAAGCTCCGTGGGCTCAGGCAGCGTCCGCGCGGCATGGATGGGTCATCTTCACGCACAGTCAGGGTTAGATGAGTGGATGGAATTTGGTTTTTCACTCTCCTTCTTCTCATCCTTCATTTGCATCCATGAACCATCCTGGGTGGCGGTGGCTGCACAGCTCTGTGACTGTGCTCAGTGCCACTAAACTGTACAGTTAGTTAAAATGACCTGGAACGTTCTTTCTCCGTCCACAGGGCTGTCTCCATCCTCTCATTCAGAGGCCCTCTCTGTCCATCCAGCCTCAACCTGTATGTCCAGCCTGCCTGTAGCCATGTCTTTGCTTTTATTTTAATTCCCTGCATAGCACTTACCAATATTAGATACTTTTTTTTCTGGCATGTTAGATGAAATTATTTGGCTTTTTCCCACTAGAAGATGGAGTCAGAGACTTTGCAGTCTTAACTGCTGCCTCCTCGACACTGACAGTAGGCTGCTTAATGAGCATTTGTTCAGTTGATATGTATGTATAATGTATTCAGGAATAAATAAAAGAGAAAAAAAAATTAAAGCATCTAAAAATTGCTGTCAGTGCACCTGCCACTAGGGGCGCTGTGCTGAGCTGGATTCAGCAATAAGGTGTCGCAAACCACCACAAGAGCTCTCCCCGGGGCTTCTGGGGCTCAGTGGTTGGATCCTTAAGTGATGCTTATGGGCTAATTCTGTAGATGGAGGCATGACAAGACCTCTGCTTCAAATTAAGGCACAGTATGAGCGGGCCCTGTCTCCCCAGGTTGGGGGAATTCTCATGACAAGCTTCCATTTTTGTTACCTTATTCCTTTTTCTCAGAATAAAGTACCATGATCTAGGCTTCAGTGGATGATTGCTGGTTCCAGGGAAGGGCATTCCTGGCTGTTATCTGTCCTCTCAATGGAAGGTGCAAACGTAGGTTCAGAGATGCCTTGGTCTGCTAGTAACATGGAGGTCTGTGAGTATAGGCTATGTGCTCTTAAATAACACCTAAGGGTAAGAAAACAGAGAGAGAAATTCAACTGTTCAAGTGCTGGGAAAGCTTCCTAAAAACATGGCTATGGCGCTGATCAGTTGGGATGATGCCAGCGCCCGAGCGCAGGCACACAGCGGGCGCCCCACAAACCTTTGGTGAGGAAGTGGCACAGGGCAGTTAGTGAGCTGAGTCGGGGGGCGGAGCGAATATGAGGGGTGACGATGGAATGAACGAATGAATGAATGAATGGCTGCCAGACACGGGGCCATAAGGCTGCAGAAGACTTTGTTGGTCCTGGCCAAGAAAGGATCCCATAGCCCCGCAGGGTTCAAATGTATTTGAGAAGAGAACTGACCTTTCTGTGTCCTTCTTCAATCATCTTCCAGGGATCCTGACCAAACCAGACCTAGTGGACAAGGGCGCTGAAAAAAATGTCTTGAATGTGGTGCAGAACCTCACGTATAGTCTCAAGAAGGGCTACATGATCGTGAAGTGCCGGGGCCAGCAGGACATCACAGAGAACCTGAGCTTGGCAGAGGCCACCAAGAGAGAGATGACGTTCTTTCAGTCACATACGTATTTCAGGTGAGGTTCTGCAGGGCAGCCCTCGAATTGGACTCTGTGGAAGTCAGCCCCACCTACCAGAATTGGCCAGAGTAAGAACCCAATTGCGTATAAAAACCATATGGAGTAGCAGAACGTATTCTTGTCTTTATTTTAGTGTTAAATTCATTGGCTTATTTAAATAAATCATGGTTTTGTGGGCTCCGATGATGGGGCTGATTAAAAACTGTAATGTGGCATTTTACAGAGCATAGGGTGCTTTGGTTTTCCAAAATGCTTTCATTTGTTTTCTCATTTGCATTGAACAAAATCGTAAGAGATACATATGGCAGGTGAGCTTCTTCCCATTGTTACAGCGAAGGGTAATGAGGTCAAACCACTAGTAGAAACAGGACTGGAAACAGATCTCCCCCCTTCCAGAAAGCAATGTCGACCATCATAAGTGGCGCACACTAACACCTGCTTGAGAGCCTGCAAACTCACTGGTTTTATGAAATATAAATTATTCTGTAGAGATGCCGCAGTTGTCAAGACACTGGGATTTTCCCCACTGCATTGGGCACTGTGCCCTTTTATTTTATTCAGGAACTTGATGGTCACTCCTGCTTTAAGGAGAGAGACAGTGGGTGACCAGAATGTGGGCAGACCAGGTTAGCTACTAGCCGTGTGCCCTTGGGAAATGGCTTGACCTCTCCAGGCTCAGAGAGTGTCACCTGACTGCCTCCTAGGACTGTGTTTCGGATTAAGTGCTAGGACTCACACAAAGGTTCCGGTGCACACCAAGAGCCCACCCTTCATAAGTACCACCCAGGCCCTCCTTTCTTCCGCTCTGCCCCTGCCCTGAATGGAAGAAACAGCTTATTTGCAATAGCATTGGAGACCTGCAAGGAGACGGAACTGCTCGCTGAGCAGAGAAAAGATTCTGTAATAATCACACCCATGGTTCTCAACCATGAGCAGCAGAACCTCCTGGAGAGCTTATTAAGATCCAGCTGGTTGTGTCCTGTTCCAGAGTTTCTGAGCTCTGGGGCAGGGCCCAAGAGTTTATGTTTCTCTCAAGTTTCCAGTCGAGGCTGATATTGCTGGTCCAGGGATCACACTTTGGAAAGCACTTCTCAAGGGTTTGGGTCCAGTGAAGTCAACTGTGGGCTCTATGTTGTTCTGCTTTCTCTAGAACTTTCTTGTGCTGCATCACTGAACCCGGATGCCCATTGATTATCAGCTGCCTAACCCCCCCTAACCCTGGCACCCACCATTCCACTTTCGGATTGTGTGAGTGGGACTATTTTCCTACATAAGTGGAATCATGCAGTATTTGTTCTTCTGTGACTGGCTTCTGTCACTTAGCATAATGTCCTCAAGGTTTATTTGTGTGGTCACAGAGGACAGAATTGTCTTCTTTTTTTAAGGCTGAATCCTATTCTATTGTATTGTTAAAATCAAATACAAACAGAAGCCGGACTTGGAAATTCAGTAGAGTAGACAAATTCCCAGATTAGCCACACAAGCAAAGCTTAATTTAGCTTATTTTACCAGACAGGTGAGCGCACACAGCAGTGCTCCTCTTGTTTATGCTTCTGAAAAGCATAATCAAGGCTTAAATTGTTCCCTAGAATTGATGTGAGGTGCCCACGAGCCAATTTCCTTATATTTAAGAAAATTCTAGAACTAGAACCAATCACGTTGAAGCATAAACTGTTACTGCTTTCTCACTACATACACTGCTTCGTAACAACAAGTCCCTGAGCCTCACTCCATGTTTTGGTTTGAATGCTCCTGATCTGCAAGGCTCCTTGCTGTGTGCACGATACCCTTCTACTGATCACTACTTCCGGGACTCATTGGTTTCGCGTCTTTTTTTTCCTGAAATTTTGACAGGGTGTATATACCACATTTTCTAGATCCACCCATCTGTCCATGGATGTGCAGGTTATTTCCATGTCTTAGCTATTGTGAACGTAGGAATAATACTGTTACTTTGAGATCTTGATTTGAATTCTTTGGATAAATATGCATACGTGGGATTGCCTGATCATATGGTTGTTCTGTTTTTAATTTTTTAAAAAGAGTTTATTTATTTATTTTTTAGAGAGTGAGAGGGACAGGAGGGAGTAAAAGGAGAGAACATCAATGTGTGGTTGCCTCTCCAGCGCCCCCCACTGGAGACCTGGCCAGCAACCCAGGCCTGTGCCCTGACTGGGAATCGAGCCAGCAATGCTTTGGTTCACAGGCCAGCACTCAATCCACTGAGCCACACTAGCCAGAGCCTATTTTTAACTTTTTGAGAAACTGCCATACTGCTTTTCCTAGTGACCACCATTTTACATTTCCACCAGCATTGTACAAGGGTTCCAAATGTTCCACATCCTCACCACCCCTTGTCTTTTGTTGTTTTTTTTTGGGGGGGGGTTGTAATATACATCCTAACAAATGTGACATGCCATTGTGGTTTGATTTGCATTTTCCTGAGGGTTAGTGATGTTGAGCATCTTTTCCATATACCTGGTGACCAATTACAGAGTTTTTTTTTAAGAAATCCTTATCTAACTCTTTAGCCCATTTTAAATTGGATTATTAGTTTTTGGAGGTTTTTTTGCTATTGAGTTTTAGGAGCTACTTATATATTTTGAAAACTAATGCCCTATCAAATACATTGTTTGCAAATATTTTCTCCCATTTTGTAGGTTCTCTGTTGATTGTTTCTTTGCTATGCAGAAGTTTTTCAGTTTGATTTAGTCCCACCTTAGCTTATTTTTGCTTTTCTTGTCTGTGCATTCTGTGAAATCATTTCTAGGACCAAAAGCATAAAGATTTTCCCCTGTATTTTTTTTCCTAGGAGTTTAACATTTCATGTCTTAAGTTTAAGCCTTCAATAAATTTTCAGTTGACTTTTGTGTATGGTATAAGGATCCCACTTCATTCTTTTGTACGTAGTTATAGTTTTCCCAATGTTATTAGTTGAAGAGATTACCCTTTCCACATTGTGTATTCTTGGCACCATTATCGAAAATCAGTTGATCGTATATGCACAGATTTATTTCTGCGCTCTCTATCTGGTACATGTCTGTCTCTATTCTAGCACCGTACTTTTTTGTAATAGTAAACTGTAGCTTTGTAAGATAGTTTGAAATCAGGCTGTGTGATGCCTCCCACTTGGTTCTTCTTTCGCAAGATTGATTTGGCTATTCAGGGATAAAAATTTGTTACAAGAAATAAAATACCAGTTTGGACAAGTCCCTGAACTTCTATGAAGTTAGGTTTGTTTCATTTTCTTGGAGGTAAAACAGTCACTTACTTCATCAGCTTGCTGGGATGATGTAAAGAGAATGGGAAGGTAGCCTGGCCAGCACCAGGCTTGCCTTGGTATACGCTCAGCTCGTAAGGAGCAACTGTCTTTCTCGCGATGCCGTGCATCGCCGCAGAGGGATGAGCTCACCTACCTGCTTGCGAAGCCCAGTCCCGTCCTGAATTCATGTGCGCTGTCTCATTTCAGGACGCTCCTGCAGGAAGGAAAGGCTACGGTGTCCCGTCTGGCAGAGAGACTCACCACCGAGCTCATCTCGCACATCACCGTGAGTCAAGGGGCGGTTGCAAGTTACAGCAATTGCAGCCTGTTCAAGTCCTTCTCTCGGTCACGAGGTGCTAAGACAGGGCACTGATCTGTCCAAACGAGCGAACAAACAAGCATGTTCCAAAAACCAGTTGCTCCCTCAGAGGTTCACAGGAAAGCTTCTGAAACAGCTGTGCAATCTTGAACCAAAAAGCTGAATCAATAATTTGGGGGAAGTGAAAAGAGGAATCATAATACCAGCCCAGCAGTGTAAAACAGAATGAATACCAAGGGGGCCAATGTTTTCTCTTTTCCACACACTCTGAACACTTCACAGTCTATGAAACACTTTTCCAGCCTGAAGCTTGTGAGGAGGACGTGCTCACTTTTCACTGATTCTCCAAAATGGGCAACTGCAGACATGTCATTAGAGATGGTACAAGTGTGGCCCACTGCTTCTTGAGAGAAAGAATATTTGAAGGGCTTGCCTGGACCTTAGTTCATGAGGTTGAGCACCATGGCAAGACTGAAGGTGAGCCCTTAGAGCAGAGACGATCCCAGGGCTTGGGTTCCAGTCCACGCTAAAGTGCATGTCAGACAAAAGCAGTGAATACTGTTGAGCCAGGAAACACGTACTCAAAACATACTTGGTTGGAAGGAGTTCTGAAACTGTAGTGCACACAAGACTCACCTGGGAATTTTGTTAAAACTCATGTTCCTGGCCCTGGCCGGGTGGTTCAGTTGGTCAGAGCATCATCCTGTACACTGAAAGGTTGCAGGTTTGATTCCCAGTCAGGGCACATACCTAGGCTGTGGGTTTAATCCCCAGTCAGGGCACTTACAGGAGGCAGTCAATCGATGTTTCTTTCACACCGATGTTTCTCTCTCTCTCTCAAATCAGTAAATATATCCTCGAGTGAGAATTAAAAATAAATAAACAAAATCTAACATTCCTCGCCCCAGACCCAGACTTTCTGAGTTAGCAGGTGTAGAGCGGGGCCCATGAATTTGCACTTGTAAGTTCCCAGGTGAGCGATGGAGCACACTTGGAGGTATACTGATTCTAGTAGAATCCCCTCAGTTTTCCGAAGGAGGCTTGAAAATATATAACCCTATCTAACTGAAAAAAATATTATTTTGCAAAAAGATGTTGCATTTCAATAACTTTTTTGATCGCACAATTCTCAACATTTACATATTTCACATTAAATTTTGAACTTAAAATTTGTGATACTTTGATCTTTAAAATTTATATCAAGGCTCAATTATGTTCATTATAATTTGAAATATCAAAAAAATTTAATACTTTTCTGCCTATGGATACAAATGGTCCAAGATAAAAAAAAAAAACACAACAAAAAAACCCCAAACAGCCCGTGAGGCCTTGTTCACTCCTTGGTGTCCCCCACCTTTATCGTCTGCTTATGTAGCCTTGGCAAAAACCTCCGGGAGCTCATCCTGCAGGGCGGGCTGCGGTGACCTCGGGCACCGAGGCAGATGGAGGCCGCTGCTCACTCAGGTGCCTTTACATGCACTGGTCCCCTGCATGGGCCGTGGACATGACGAGCACGGTGCAGATTGGAACTCTGCCACTTCCTAGCTGAGCAGTGGCATGAAGCAGTTTGCCTCTCTGAGCCTGAGGTTCCTCCCTGGTAAAAAGAGGCCGTGGAGCCGCCTGCTTTGTGCCGTGTGAGGCTGGCCTGCGATGTGGAGGGCATGGACCAGCACGGGGCCCGAAGACAAGCATCGTGGGGCCGCTCCAGGTCCGTCCTTCTCCTCGGCTTAGTTCTCGTCACGTGACACCCTTGACTGGCCAGGGCCACCCAGCCTGACCCTGACACCCAAGAGATAGCCTCTACCAAAGCTCCGCTTATCGGTTTATAACCTTCAAATGATCCCCGACAGAACATTTGACTACATAAAGCTTACGTTGTAGTCAAGTCTAATTGTCCTCGAAATACAAAACACTTACCCAAACAAAAACCAAAACCTGTCCACCGCCTGATGCCTCTGCACTCCGGCTGCGTGTCGGAACTCACTGGCGAACGGACACAGACGCTCCGGCTGGAGTGCACCCCCAGCATGCCAAGCCCTGCCTGGGCTCCTTTACACGCCTTCGCCACACCAAGCTTCGAAATAAAGCCACACACAGAACTAGAAATTCTGCATCTTCTCGAATGCTCTCAGGTGGGATTCTGCTCCTCTACCCCAGAAACCTACCAGCTAATTTCAAGCTATGGAGTTTCTTGTTTCTTTTTCTTTTTAAATTACTTATTTATTTTTTTAGAGAGAGGGGAAGAGAGGAGGAAGAGAGGGAGAAAAACATCGGTGTGTGGTTGCCTCTCACACGCCCCCTACTGGGAACCTGGCCCGCAACCCAGATGTGTCCTGACTGGGAATCATACCAGCAACCCTTTGGTTCTCAAGGGGGGCACTCAATCCGCTGAGCCCCACTAGCCAGGGCATCAAGCTGTGGAGTTTCATTGTTTGCTATTGTTTTGTTCAGAAATCCCTCCCACTCTTAGAAAATCAAATAAGAGTGTGCCTCCAGAGCGCGACGGAGGAGCTGCAGCACTGTGGCGAGAGCATCCCCACCAATGAATCTGATATGATGTTCTTCCTGATTGAGGTGAGGATTTCCGGGGTCTCCCCGTGGCTGCCCAGGCACCAGATCCCTCGGACTGGCCGCATCCTTTCAGGTGGCCTCTCACCCCTCAAAGTGGCCCTCTGAGCTTGCCCGCTTGTGCCCTGCCTGGAGCCCTGTTCATCTGGGAGGGGAGGTGGGTGGGCGGGTGATCTGACCTGCCAGCCCCCGGCACCACACACTGCTGCCCCGCATGCCGGCTCTTCAGGGTGATTACAGCACAGATTAATGACTTTTACCTCATTTTCAGAAAATTAAACTATTTAATCAGGACATTGAAAGATTAGTAGAAGGAGAAGAAGTTGTAAAGGAGGAAGGGACTCGCTTATTCAACAAACTCAGAGAGGAGTTTAAAAACTGGGCACATATACTGGATATCAGTACCCAGAACGGTAAGTCCTGGGGCAGGGCTGCCCCTAAAAGCAGTGTCTTATCCCCCAAGGCTGGAAGCTACTTCCTGCGTGTGAAAAGTATGCAAAAAGCTAGCATGTCTGTCTAAGAGATCCTGGGTCCCTTAGTCATCCCTGACCCCTTGCCCCTCCCCGCCATCAGCATGGGCCATTGCCCTCACCAGGTCAACAGAAAACAATTCCTCTTTCCTGACTTTCTTCTTGCATTATTGATTTGAGTTAGACGACTCCACTTACCCCACTTCTCCCTTCTAACCACCCTTAGTCCAAGACCCAGAGGTCAAGGCTCGGATACAAATCTGTGTCCAGCTGCCATTCTGCTCCAGCCTGGACAGCAGTAGGCTGCCTGTGCGTGTGTTTGCGTGCGTGTTTGCATGCATGTACACAAGTGTGTTGGCGTTGTATGCACGTGTGTGCAAGTGTTGCATCTTTGTTCATTTTGGCACCTGATAAAAGCAGCACTGTTCATTTCCATGGTAGAATTCCTCCAACCCTAGTCTGGCGGAATTCTTGAGAGACCTATAAGTGAAGCCAGAATATGTCACCTTCTGTTTTGATTGAACTAATCAGATTTTTTCTATCAACTGTAAACACTAAACTTCTCTCTTGGGATGATGACTTTCAATGGAAACACATTTGTTAAGAATAAGATTTTGTTTCTTAATAGTCACTGTCAGACCATGTATTTTTCTCTTTTTTCATTATTAAAAAGAAACCATTTAAAAGCATTGCCTTTGGGCACCTACAAGGAGGTAAGCAAGACTTAAAAAAATATTTTAAACTTTAAAATGTCTGTGGTTGGTTTTATGTTGCAGTTAGTAAGATTATCCGTGAACAAGTCTCCATATATGAAAAGCAGTACCGTGGCAAAGAGCTTCATGGGTTTACTAGCTACAAGACGTTCGAAATGATCGTGCAACAGTACATCGAACAACTGGTAGACCCCGCAGTCAGCATGCTCCGAACGGTTGTAGGTAAGGGTCTCTCACGAGCACCTTTAAGTGACCCTCCCAGGACCTCCCATGGGTCTCAGTACCTTGGAGGAAGAGATCGGGATGCAGTTACGAAACACAGCCTGGGGATCTTCTCTGCCCATTCGGGGAAGGAGGGCAAGAGTGTCCGGGAGCTTTGTCTAATCAGACCTCCCCCTCCACGCAGCTGTGTGAGGAAGAGTCAGATGCTAACCCAGGGGAGATCACACACTCCACGAAAGGACAGGAAATTGATGGGACCTGCTCAGGGTGGGTGGTGACCATAGGTTTTGTGTCTCCCTGGGACTATGTACCATCCCCCCTTGTCTCTTGGTCTGTAAATTTGGGGAGCAGAGCCTTTGAATAGGTTCATGTACCCTACCTGATTTCTCTTCCCTGAGTTTTTAATCCATTTTATTCCCACCTGCATTTCACTGATGTATGGTTTTTTTTTTTTTCCTTTGGTCAGAGATTGTCCGGCAAACTTTTTCTGACACAGTCAAATATCATTTTGGCGAATTTTTCAACCTTAATCAAACAGCCCAAGTAAGTACCCACAGTTCATCTGCTGTTCCCCGTGCTGATTTATCCAGGCCCACCCTTTGGAAGAAGGTGGCCGTGCGCCGTCACTGGGAAGCATGAGGCCAGGGCTACAGCTGCAGGTGTGCAGGGCCAGCGGCCTGAGCAGCAGCTGCTGTTTCGCTTTCACTCTGATCTTGTTCTCTCTCACAGTCCCCTGCAGCAGGGCAGGACACACCTGAACCTAGGGCTGTCCCCAGCGACTGAGTGGTATTTTCGATCTTTTTCCCACACAAAGGATAGCATTGTGTGGGTTCGCATTTAGCAACTCTCCCTGAATCCCACTCTCAGCACAGGAGGGTCTGGGTACAAACTTGTCCCTGCCCAGGCCTGCGCTGTGGGTCAGCACCTCATTCCACAGCCGCCTTTGGGTGAACAAGGAGAAGACTTTCTGTCATTTCCCCACAGTACAACTTCATTTCTTCTTTCCTTCCTTTTGCCAGCTGGTGAAAACTAAATCTTCCTTCTGAGCTCTCCAACTTTCCCACAGGCTGCGTTTGGGTCCTGGGGTTGCCTCACCGTGGAGTGGGTGACATGTCTGGTCCTTGATTGCCATGTCTCCCTGCTGGCCGCTTCCAGGGCTTACGCCTTCCTTCCTGGGCCTCGGTGGTTGGTCCCCTGGGTCCCCTGTCCTTCCAACTGAGGGGCTGGTTCTGCTGAGCTCTTTCTAGCCTGGCCAGGGCACAGGAGCACCTGTTGCACGCACAGGCCGCCCTGGGGCCAAAGACACTGCAGCACCACCAGGGCCTCCAGCCCTTGGTGACATCCTCAGGTAGCTGAGAAGTCTCATCACAGCTCCCTGTACAGCACGGGAGCTTCCAGAGCAATCCGAGGCCACCAGCCCAGATGGCTCCCTCTGCCACTGTACAGTGCTCCCGAGCCTCATCAGAGCCAGGGGGCTTGTCACCTCCCATGTCATTTCTCTTAAAAGTGATACACAGGCCATTTCTGCTTTCAGGCCCCACACCTGCAAGGGGAAATGCCACATACATAGTTGTTTGCCACATACACTCCAAAGAGAAAGAACCAGCCCCTGTGAAACTGACTGGTTCATGCTCTCTCTCTCTCTCCCCCTTTCTGAGATCGGTCTCTGTCTTCAGTGCACAAAAGTCTGTTTGACACTCAAAAGCCAAAAAGTGACTTTTCTCTACTACATCATCTGTTCCTTTCCCATAATGCCTTTGACTGTGGGGATGACGAAGGAGTCACAGGATTTTGGGCAAATGAAGAGAGCAAGATGTTACCCCATTGTGTTCTTTGCATACTGGGGTTATTTCTGAAAGCTTGGATTCAAGCCAACTAGAGAGGCAAGAGTGATAGACATAAAAATGTAAACTGAGCCACAGTCGGGGAGGCAGGAAGGCAGTGCCATGAGCTGAATGGAGGTGAGGGCTGAGAGAAAGAATGGGTGGGGACCGGGGCAGGGGCAGGGGCGGTGGGCACAGGCAAGCAGCGCAGTAACGAAACACGCCGGGGAGGATGCAGTGGGGACTTTCCGAAAGTCACCATTAAAGTCTCAGGGCTCCTTGAACTTAAATTATTTTTAATTCTGTGTTCAACCTCATAGCATTTCCTGAGTTGTTAAAAGAACAGGGTGGGGGTGGGGGGGAGGGGTAGAAGGGTAGGAGGGTAAAAAAAAAAAAAAAAATGGTGACATGCTTCTCTTTCTCATGCACCCAGAGCAAGGTGGAGGACATAAAAATGAAACAATTGGAAGAAGCAGAAAATATAATCCGCCTTCAGTTCAAGATGGAGAAGCTCGTTTTTTGTCAAGACCAGATTTACAGTGTGGTTCTGCAACAAAAGCGGGCACAGGCTTTTAACCCACTGGGAAATGCTTCCCAGACTCAGGATCCGGCCACTTTCGCCCTCACCGAGATCTCGATGCACCTGAACACGTACTTCTCGGTGAGTGTGGGCGCCCGTGGCCTTGGTCGGGGCGTCTTAATTGACAGCTGCTTAACTGAACGAAGAGGGGAGGAACCACTGCTGGGTGTCAGACCCTTTCTGTTCTGATAAACAAACGACTCATATATTATCTCATCTGCAATTGTACAGAAACCCTATTGAGACAGTTTTCATTAATTTGCCCTGAATCTGGTTCTTCATGTGGCAGGACATGTACTCAAGAGGAATTCCAGCCTCAAACTTCTTTTTATTTTATGATATGCATAAAGTACACAATTACCATTGTCAGAATACAGCAAAATACAACCAAAATACAACCAGCCTTACTGGTCGATGTTTAGAAGGCATTCAGCTCTCAAAGGGCCGGAAACTCGCCAGCTTCACAGAACAGGGATGAAATTCCTTTCCCTAGGCTTTTGTGACCCAATGAACTTCATGGTTTCTAAATGCCTCCTGCCCCATGCATGGCCTAAGGTATCAGGACACACAGAAGGGAAGGTAGCTTTCAAACTGCAAAGAAGCCCAACTATTGAAGCCTTGAATCCCTTTCTTAATCAGAATGAAGAGTAGAGTTACCCAGATGTGGAGTCCAGCTTCCAGGCAAAGTGGATATGCCCATGCAGAGAGGGCATGGGGTGAGGAATGAAGGGGGTCCCGATCTGTTTCCGGAATGGAGCCAGGGGATCACAGGGCCAGGAAGTCTTATGGAGAGGTTGAGAGGGTTGGGAGGGAGCTCCTAGGAAGGCTGGGGTGCCCACAGTTTGCTTTGGGTTTGCTAGCCTACCAGGTGCATTCTCAGTGCAGCGAGAACACCTAGGTAACAAAATTGGGCAGCCCAGATAGAAGCTTCTCAAGGTCTGATACTGAACACTGTAGTGGGGTGGGCGGGACCACCAGGACTTTGCAAAGCGGCCATGCGTGCATCCAGAACCCCAGGTCTTCTCTGCACACCTGCTGGCCTCGGGCCCAGACCCTTCCAGCTGACCCTTCTTTTCCCCTCTTCCAGGAGACCAGGAACCGTCTTGCCAACCAGATCCCATTCATAATTCAGTACTTTATACTCCAAGAGAATGGCAATTGCTTGCAGAAAACCATGTTGCAGATACTACAGGAAAAAGAGCGCTATTCCTGGCTGCTTCAGGAGCAGAATGACACTGCTCACAAGAGGAGAGTCCTTAAGGAGAAAATTTACCGGCTCACGCAGGCGCGGCGCGCTCTCTGTAAACTCTCCTATTAAAGGGCATGGATAGATGGAAATGCAACAATACTCTGGGGTTTTATCTCAAGTATGTTTGCTGTGAGGAGAGGCGGTGCAGGAACTGGCCTCTCATCTGGGGCGAGCCTTTTCTGTTACTGTCTGTCTGCCTTCGCTATGCTGTACTCAGCATCAGGGTTTAGATCTGAAGTCCACGGCCTCCGGTCATAGCTTTCTTAATTCCTGCTGTCATTCTTTGTTAATTTGTCTCCCCCTACCCATCAGATTAGGAGACCCCAGAGGGGGAAGGTCTGTGTTATAGTCGTCTTCTGTATTTCCAGAATCTTGCATGGCACCTGGGATATAGTAGCCACTCAATAGATGATGTCTCATTGAACAAATGAAAGGTGGAGATTACCGGAGGCCATGGCTTAAGTCAACCTTTGGTTGCTGGGGATGGTGTCCCTTAGCTGGTCACTTTCAGATGCATGAGGTCATGCCAGCTGCCATGATTATGTTTCCCAAACCCGCAGAGAGAATCCGTTCTGAATGATACTATTATTAATGTATAGTTTTTCCCTAGTTGTGACAAGTTCCCATTGCTATATTTGTTTTTTGTTTTTACTTTTTTATTGACCTTATTGGGGTCACATTGGTTTTATGTTAAATCTTAAAGGAAAATTAATAATAAAAACATTGTTTAGAGAAAAATATAGGGCTCCACACCAGTGACCATGTCTAGATTGGAGGGTTATGACTAATTTTATTTCCTTTTTCACACCAAGTGATACCTATCGGATACAAAGTTTAGGAGGGCTATGTGGAACCATTTCTAAAAACTACCTGACCCAGAGCATGTATTCAGAAAGGCCATCGATTCTTCCCTCCATCAAAGACGTCTTTTTTTTCTTTACCTCTAGGTCAATAGGGCAGCCTTCACTCCTGAAGTTCTTCAGCCAGCTCTTAGTTCTTGGGTACTCTTTGAGTCAATTTTGTATATGGTGTTAGATAAGAGTCCAATTTCATTCTTTTGCTTTCCCCACTCCATTTGTTCCCCAGCTCCATTTGTTGAGAAAACTCTCCTTTCCGTCATGGCCTTGATGCTCTTGTCAAAAATAATTTGACCATATGCGCAAAGGTTTATTTGTGGACTCTCCATTGGTCTGCGTGTCTGTCCGTATACCAGTACCACAGTGTGGGTAGCTGCAGCTTTGTAGGAAGCTTTGAAACTGGAAGTGTGAGCCCTTCGGCTTTATCCATCTTTTTCAGAACTGTTTGGGCTATGTGTGGTCCCTTAAGATTGCATATGAATTTTAGGATGGGTTTTCTCTTTTTCCTCTCTGCAAAAAAATGTCGTTGGAATTTGATAGAAAGTGCATTAAATCCATAGATTGCTTTGGGTAGTATTTGCATCTTCACAATATTAAGTCTTCCATTCCATAAACACAGAATGTCTTTCCATTTCTTTATGTCTGTTTTAATTTCTTTAGGCAATGTTTTATAGTTTTTACTGTACACGTCTTTCACTTTGTTGGTTGTTAGTTCCTAACTATTATATTCCTTTTGATGCTATTATAAATGTAACTGTTTTCTTAATTTTCTTCTCAGATTATTCATTATCTTGTCTACAAAAATGCAACTGATTTTTATGTGTTGATTGTGTATCTTGCTACGTTGTTAAAATCATTTATTAGTTACAACAGTTCTTTTGTGGAATCTTTATGGCTTTCTATATATAAGGTCACATCATCTGTGAACAGAGATAATTTTATTTTTTTATCTTGCCTAACTGCTCAGGCTAGAACTTCCAACACTACACTGAATGAAAGTGGAAAAAGTGGGGATCCTTATCTTATAAAGTTATTCTGATTTTAAAGGACTTTTGTTATATTGAAGTTAAAGATGAAGAGAATTTCAAAGACAAAACATTGGTCTTAATTTAGGTATCCTTCACTCTTTTTTTAATTTGGCCTTTCCCTCTTATTTTATGAGTTAGGCCACATATACACATAGTCAGTAGCAGAGCTAAAGAGAAGAATCAAATCTCTTCAAATAATAAATACTGTTGTAAAAGTAGTCTGAGAAAAATAAGGTCTGATACTAAATATTTGTTCCATAAATTGTATTTGCAATCTTTCCCTAAATGTTCAACATGTTTCACACATATGTACACACACACACACACACACACACACACAGCCTCAACGGACACTTCCCATTTCCCACCTCAGGGCTGATCCCAAAATCCAGGTTTGAGGCATCCAGGGAAGAGGCTTGGGGCCACCCCAACAAAGTGCCGCAAACAGGGCAGCTTAAACCAACAGAAGCTTCTTCTCTTACAGTTCTGGAGGCCAAAAGTCTAAAATCCACATGTTGGCAGGTTGGTTCCGTCTAGAGCTCTGACAGGGGCTCGGTCCTGGGCTCTCTCCTGGCTTCCGGTGGCTCCAGCCATCCCTGGTGCTCCTTGGCTTGTCGCTACATCACCCCGGTGACTGCCTCCATCGTCCCATGACATTCTCTGTGTCTCCCTAGAGCAAATCTCCCTGTCCCTTCACTTTTAAAGGTACGGGTCATTGGATTAAGAGTTCACCCTCAACCAGGATGATCTCACCTCAAGATTCTGCAAAGATTCCACTTTCAAATAAGGTCTGCAAAGACACCACTTCCAAATAAGGTCAAATTTACAGTTTTTGGGGTTTGGGATTTGAACACGTCCTTTACAGAAACACAATTAGCCCAGCAGGTCAGAGCATGGAGTGGGGTGGATGGCCCATGTTTTCCTTAGAGCAAGCTAACTGCTGCAAAGAACACTTTAAGATCTCTGTGGCTTAACACTACTGGGTTCCCCACTCACCTCATGGCTATTTAGGGTGGGTTGGCAGGGTCCTGAGCCACTCAGGCCCTTCAGGCACCAGCTTCCCTCCATCTAGTGGCCCCACCGTCGTGGGGGCTTTTGAGCCTCAACCAGACCCTCTATAACTGGCAAGAAAGGGTAAAGGTTGCCAGGGAGGTGCTCAGGATCCAGGCCTGGGAGCAGGGTATATCACTTCCACACTCCGTGGGTGGAACTCAGGCCTGTGGCCACACCTAAGTGCAAGGCAGGCTGGGAAATGTGGTCCAGCTAAGCAGACAGGAGAAAGAGGGAACAGGATTTGGGCATTGCCCCGCCTGGCCCTCTACCACGGGTGTGTTTCCTGCTCTCCCTTCTTATCCCAGGTCCACTGCTCACTCGCCCACGCACCACCCCCCACATACACACTCACGTGCACGTGCGCACGCGCACAATGTTTTCCTCTGTCAGTGTTACCGTGGATCTGCGGTTTTGTTCCTAACAAGTGAGGAAATAAAGGAAGACTACCTAGATGTAAACAAGAGAAGTTAGTTATTCCCAGTCGACTAGCAAGGGAATAAATTCCCATCACTTGTGTTTTGGGAGGAAGCTCAGAGGCAGGAGAGGAGTGAGCAGCTTCCCAGTGGAGGAAAGGAAAGGCCCCCGCTGTGCCCCAGTGAAAGCTGGGGGCTGGGGATGCTGGGCGGCAGGGGGCTACCTAGGAGGCGGGCGTCCTAGGTGGTTGGTGAGGGTGCATATTTAGTGTCTCTGGTTGGTCCTAACTTGAAAGTGAGAACAAAAATTAGAGAAGCTATCAGTTATTAATGAAGTCCTGGATATTCTGGGCCAGTTGTTACGGGGGTTATCATTTGGCTTCCTGACATGGTCACTAGGGATGGCAGCCTGACTTCCTACGTGTCTGACGTACAGCAGCTGGCTCCCTGGGCTGGGTGCTGCAGGTAGCGGGTTGGCTCTCTGGGCAGGCTACCGCGGGCTGTGGGTCAGAGTTCCGTGTATGCGTGGTTTGGCCATTGTTCCTGTGTACTTTCACTTTCTCACAGCTGACGTTACCTGGCGGGACCTTCCTTTCTCTTCTGCCCTGAACACTGTAGACCTGCTTCTGCAGATGAACCTACTTTGATCCAAGTATCTGACAATCTCCCTAGGCCTGAGAGCCACGCCTCCCCGACCCAGCTCACTGTTGAGGCTACCCTGAGGTTCCTCACAGGGGCAGAAGTTGCTCTTTTGGTCAAGGGATTTGGGGGAAGGTGTGTTTTCCCCAACGGCGTTGCAATGCAACTGAGGAGTATCCATGAAAAGGATGGGATACACAAGTTTGATTTTCCTATCGGGTCCCTATCCCTTGAGGTCCTAAAATGCCCCTTTTCTAACACACTGTGACATGCCGTACTGGTTATCTATTGTTACATCACAAATTACCCCAAATTGTACCCCTGAAATTTCTTAGCTCATAGTTTCTGTGAGGGTGGTCAGCGAGGTGGGTTGTGAAAGAATTCACAAATGGAAGAAAATGCAAATAGTGGAGTTTTTGTTTTTACTTTCCCAAGGGAGGAAACACGCTGAGCGTGGAGAAAGGCAGTAGCACCAGCACCAGCACCAGCCTCAAGGGACTTCGAGCTTTTGTCGGATGATGCGGTGGCTGTCGAGCAGGATGTCTCAGTTGGGCTGTAGTTTGTTTCCACGTCATCTTTGGGTGCAGTCCCCCCAACGCCCCTGTGATCATTGTGGTCTAGAAAGTTCCCAGAGACTGCACCTTCAGGGCGCTCCCAGTAATATTTTCTAGTCCTGAGGATAGAGGCTCATAAAACAATTAGGGTCAGTCATGCTTTCTGAGGTCCAGCCAGCTCTGGGAGAGAGGGCCTGAAAAGGGGCCTTTTGTCCTATTGGTTTCTTTGGACTTGGAATTCACACATGGGGCTCAGCTGGGTGCCTCTGGCTCAGGGTCACTCATGACGCTGCAGTCCAACTGTGGGCCAGGCAGCTGCATGCTTAGCTCTCTTCACTCAAGGCTCTGCTGCAGGTAGCGGGGTGGGGGGGCAGTTTAACTAGTGGCCCCCCCCACCCAAGGTAGCCAGGCCCTGGTCCCTGGAACCTGTGCGTGTGGCCTTATGTGGAGAGTCGGCCTTACGGAAAGCCAGCCTTTGCAGAGCTGATTAGGTTAAAAATCCTGAAAGGGAGAGATAATCCTGGATTATCCAGATGGGCCTGAAATGGAATCACATGTTTTCACAAGAGGGTGGCAGAGGGAGCCCTGACTACAAAGAAAGTCATCGTGAAGATGGCACAGGGAGGGAGGTTGGAAGATGCTGGCTTTGAAGATAGAAAAAGAGGCCACAAGCCAAGAAATGCAGGAAGTACAGCTCTAGAAGCTGGAAGAGGTAAGGCAAGGCACCTTGCATTGACCCCCCCCCCGGGGGCGGGGGCGGTGCGGCCCTGTCAATACCACGTCTTTTGCCCCGTGAAACTGATCTTGGACTTCTGGCCTCCAGAACCAGTAAGAGAATAAATTCTGCCTTTTATAAGCCACGGAGTTTGTGGTAATTTGTTACAGCAGCCACAGGAAACTCAACACAGCGTCCAAGCACACTCACCTGGGCTTTAGGCCCTCAGTGACAGTGGGGTAGAGACATCGGTTCTTTATCATCACGTCACATATTGGGACTTGGCCACACATCGCAGCCCATATGAAAGGTCTATAGAATTATCAGGATGACCACCCAACAGGGTTGATGCTCCACAACCAAGAGGTGGCATTTTTAATCCAGAGATAGAGCACTGGGGGCTCTCCATAAAAGTATAAAACATGGAGCTCAGCTGCGGCAGAGTGGGAATGAAACAGCCTGAGCTGGAATTTAAAGAATTGATAGAAATCTTGTAAATAAAATGTATTTGATTTCATTTTTCTTAGAGCTGCCCAAGTGATTGTGATGGCAGGCAGGCGTGGGAATGGTTCCTCGATGCAAAAGCAGCTGCCTCCCACAGCGGCACCTGGCACACAGCAGACACTTTAGAAATGTGTTTTTGAGCAACGAAATGGCTGGCGGGTAATTGCAATGGCAACGTAGAGAACAGGACCGCAGGAGAACGTGAAAAGGGAGGGGCTGTAGGGGAAGCCCTCATGCTACCACTCATGGCCGATGACCTCCAACAGGAACAGACCTTCCTTCCCACCTCCAGTAGGAAGATGTTTTCTGCTGTACCGCTCCAGCAGCAGAAAGCAGGTTCTTTTTGCCCGGCAACCACTCAGCCCATTATAAACCACTACACTTCAAACTCCTACTTTCCTCCAAGGTGCTCTTTGCTTACAACAGCCCCTTGGAATGCCCCCGTTTTCTCTGTAAAAGAACGTTCCTCTCCTTAGTTTTCTGGCCGTGCGCATGATTTGCCGTTGGACTGTGTGTCCTGAATTGAAATTCTTTATTGTTCCCGAATAAATCCCACGTGGCTGGAAAACTATCTGGCTATTTTTATTTTAAAGGTCAACAGGACCCAGCTTCCTTTTCTCACTATCTGTGTGATTTTCGGCAAAGGAATCCGCTTCTCCGAGTTTCCATATCCTATGCAATTGGTTTTTGTGATACTGGAGATCGTGCGTGTAGAGAAATCAGCCGACCACCCAACAGGGTTGATGCTCCACAACCAAGAGGTGGCATTTTTAATCCAGAGATAGAGCACTGGGGGCTCTCCATAAAAGTATAAAACATGGAGTTCAGCTGCGGCAGAGCGGGAATGAAATAGCCTGAGCTGGAATTTAAAGAATTGATAGAAACAACAGGCTGGGCCAACTCCCATAACCCCCTGGGGAGAGGTCCTGAAAGGCAGGTGAGGCATGCTACTGCCTCCACCGTGACGAGTTAACTTTTTAAAAGATTTTATTTGTTCATTTTTAGAGAGAGGAGAAGGGAGGGAGAAAAAGAAGGGCAACATCGATTGGTTGGTTGCCTATTGCCTCTCTTCCGCATCCCCCCATCTGCTCGCCAAACCCGCCACACAGGTATGGGCCCTGGCTGGGAATGGAAGCTGCGACCTTTCATTTTGCAGGCAATGCCCAATCAACCGAGTCACACCTGTCAGGGAGAAAAATTAACTTTTACAATGTGCTTATCACCAGGCAAATGCCAGAACAGGTGGCTCTGTCCCAGAAAAATGATATTGGAATGGCCACCGAACTCCCCCAGGGACAGCACCTTGGGCCACGTGTACACCAAGCCAGGGCCCAGGGCCCTCAGCTGACCTCCCTACTGGGTGGCCGGGGCAGACAAGAATGCAAAGCGGGATCTGGACCGAGAAGACCAGATAATAGTAAGCTTGCGGGCGCCAGCCTTCTCGCACTTGAATTGCTAAAGAAACACCCGGGGAAATCCCCTTAAAATGAGACTCGATTCGGTTGTCTTGGGGTGGCCCCAGATCCTGCAGCCAATGCTGCTGGCCCGGGGACCACCCTTTAAGAAGCACCAACCTAGGTCATAAACACAGAGAAAATGAAACGGGGCAAATGACGCCTGACCCCGTACCGGTGCTCCGGGCGGGAGAGATGGCAGGAGCACGCTGTTCTGCCCGTTGGCCAAACCAACCGACGTAGGCACATTATTCCGGTGGTTAAGGGCCGTCCCGCAGTCCCATGTTCCCCTCTGACCCTCTCTCCGCGCGGCACCCGAAGTGTGTCCAGAATCCACGGGACCTGGAGCAACAGCGCAGGCGGCCGGCGTCCTCCGGGCTCCGCGCCTCCCCCAGGCCCCTCCCTCTCCGCCGCGAGCCACTCCTCCTCCGGGCTCCGCCGCCTCCCCAGGGACCTCCACGGCTGCTTTCCGAATTTGCAAGCCTCCACCTGCCCGCCCCTGCCCCTCTCGAAATCGAGAGGGAAGTTATCTTTTCTTTCTGTAAACCAAGGAAAAGAAATCGAAACCGAATCTGAGTTAATTAGGAAACGGGAGATGGTGGAGGAGGTCTGGGGAAACTCTCCGGAAGTCACCTGAGGACCCCTTCTGCAAGCCCAGAGCGAGTCCTCCTACTCCTTCATTCATTCACTCATGCCTGCAGTCATTCACTCACTCTAGAAGCATTTATTGAACACTATGCTTGAAAATATACTGGATTCCAAGTGCAACGGAGAACGCCACGCCTCTGTTCCTTCCTGGCGTTGACAGCCTGGCGTTCGGAGTCACAGAAGCCAAAGCAGTGTAAAGCGGCCATGCTTCGAGGGTTGGGGGTGGGGAAGGAACCCTGGGGCCCCCAGGGAGCAAGTCTACTAAGCTTAGAGCAGGGCCGAGGGAGGCTGCGTTCTGCAAAGTGGCGCAGTGGCAAAGGGGGAGAGCAGGCCTGCCCGGAGGCGACCCGCACGGAGCAGAGCAGGACTGTCTAACCCGAGAGGGGCCTGGCCCCCCGCAGCAGAGCCGTAACAGTGTGGAGGTGTTCTCACAGTCGCGCCTTCTCACCACTGAGCTGTCTGCCCTGAACACCGGTTCCTTGGCTACTGCACCCTACACTGGAAACGCCTGTTGGCATTGAAAGGCACCGACAGCCATTAGTTGACAACCTTTACTGTATTTTTACTGAATTACAAGCAAGACACACCACCTGGGCTCTTGAAGGAACTACCTTAAAATCCGAAGTTAGAAGCAGGGAAAGTGCCCAAGGCCTGGGGAGGCACCGTAATTCAGGAGGCGTTTGCACCTCCTGGGAGTCAGCGGCTCCTTACCTTTTGTGCCTCAGGCACCTCCCTGGACTCCCTGACTCCCGGGGCTGGCTGTGGCTCTTTCTCATTTCGCTCCCTAGCAGGGGTCACTGGAGAGGGCCTCCTGCCTTTGGGAGGCAGCATCCTGTGACAGAGTGGGGTCTTCAGCCCAGGACCGCCTGGCGCACACTTTTCCCTGTACTTGAGCAGCGCTCTCAGTCCCATCCGCAGCCCCAGGGCGCCCTTTCACAGCCCCCCAGGAAACGCTGTGGCTCTTCTCTGGAACTAGGAAGTAAGTGAGCGCGTGAAGGGGACCCAAGTTTTGCCACCCTGCTGCCGCCTTTTGGGGGGATATTGCTTTTAAGCTGGTTATTAAAAAAAGAAAAGACTCAGAAAGAACCTTTTACCTGCCTGCTTTGTACCTAATAGGTTCAGATGGAGAGACGACCTCCAGGAAGGCGATCTTCGAATGCTCACCTTAGTCTAATTTGAATTAAAGAAGGTAAATAGAGAGCTTCAGTCAGGGGCCTGTTAGCTAGATCCCCCTGTGTCCCATTGTTTCGGGCTTGCGCAGCAAGAAGTTGCCTGCCATTCTGCTTTTTCTCAACGACCCATACACCACCCATTCTCCTTTTCTCGTTTTTCCAAAATGTCATAAATACCCGATGTGGCCTAGCTGCCTGGATTCGTCACCCTTATGTGAATGCCCCATGCCCATATATTAGAATTTGATTTTCTCCTGTTCATCTGCCTTAGCCCAGCCAGAAGGACTTAAAAGGTGGGAGAAAATGCATTAATTTCTTTTAGCCTTTACAGAGGAAACGTTCTCACCCTGCCCCTCCTCCCAACAGGTGGGTGGTCTGACAAAGTTTTCTCATTAGTTACAGGACAGGTGTTCTCCCACCAGGCCACCCAGGATGGCATTGCCCGGACCTCAGCAGCGAACCTCAGGCTGTACTGTGGGGCCTCTTCCCATCCTCATGGAGGCAACCATGTTGAATATGTTTCCATCCAGGCTTTTCCTGACCCCAAAACTTGGAGCTAGGCCTGATTTGGGGTCTTTGGGTGGAGTGGGGGCAACCCTTCCTAATCACAGGAGTCTTTTGCGGGGGGGGGGGGGGGGGCGGCGGGGGGGGGGGACGGAGGGAGCGGCGGGATCCTTGTTGTCAGGGGAACTCTGAGCTGAGCTAAGGAGAGTGGAGGTAGACTATACATTTTCCAAAAGGAAATGTTACTCCCCACACACTGAGTCCTTGCAGGGAGCGCCCCCGTTCCGTGGGCTTGACCTCCATCCCCACTTTCCACCCATTTCCACCGCAGAGAAATCAGAGGAGCCAGGGAGGCTTGAGGTGTGCGAGAACTGAGAGAGGAGGAAGATGCCCTGGGTGAGCGGGGAGGAGGCGATGCGGATGGCTTCATTTACCTAAAATGCTTGAGAAGCCCTGCTGATAGAACGATCGCGGGGCGGGGGGGGGGGGGGGCGGTGGACCTCCAGCAGGAATTTAAGGCCCACAATGACTGCCAATGCGTCTGTTCAGAGACCAGGGGTGAAGGCGCCCTCTAGGTTCACGGCTACGCTCAGCTTTCGATGACTCGCTTTCAGAGCAGCGCTTCCCCAGCAGTGCAGCAGACTCATCAGAACAACTCAAGGTGCTGGTTACAGCGCCAGTTTCTGATTCAGTCGGTCTGGATTAACACCTAGGAATGTGGATGCTGTGCTGCCGGGGGCACTGTTGGAAAGCCTGGGGAGCCTCCGCCTTTGGGCGTGACCACCGCAGGCAGTTAGGTTTCTCTTTTGAGCCTTCCAGCCCCTCCCAGCTTCCAGACCGAGCAGTTTCGTTTCCCTGCGGGCCCCGGAGGGCCGTGGTCGAGGGGCGGAGCACGGGCTGTATACAGCTGCGGAGCGACGGGCACCCTGACTCCTGGCTGCGAGCGCTAGGGAGAAGGTGAGTGTCGCGCTCCCGGGTCCGCGCGCCTCTTCCAGCCTGCAGGGTTGCGGGGCGGGGGTGGGGTGGGGAGGGGGCTTTCAGAGAGGGCCTGCAGAGATAAGCTCTCGGGGTGTGGGCATTGCGGGGGCTGGTAATAGTAATAATAATAGCCATAACAATAACGATGTTGCCGGCTGCACTTAGCGTGCTTGATTCTACCTCAAACCTTCAGGCTGCTGAGGCTTTTGGGTGACCGACCAAAAACGCCCTCCGCGCCTACCCCCATCCTCCACCAACCGGCGGCTTTTCTGCAAAAACTTTACATAAAATAGTTTGTACTTCTTGTCCTGGCATATTAACGCGGAACTGATGTGGATGGCAATAGAGAGGCTCCTTGAGGGCAGGGACTGTGGTCTTCACGGATTCAGAGTTCATTGGGTATCTTTCCTGTGCCAGGCCAGGTATGATCAGACAATGCTGAAAAAAGACACAAAACTCCCAGTAATTGTATTTGTTTGTTTTTCCTCACCCAAAGGCATCCTTATTGATTTTTCGAGAGAGGGGAAGGGTGGGAGAGAGAGAGAGAGAGAGGCAGAGAAACTTCCATGTGAGAGAGAAACATTGATCAGTTGCCTCCCCCAAGAGCCCCAGTCGCTGGGCGGGTCCCGCACCCCAGGCTTGGGCCCTAACTGGGAATCGACCCTGCTGCACCCCACGGAGCCACGCTGGGCAGGGCGCAGAGTAATTATATTTAAAATCATTCGTTGCTGAGACTATGTAGGTCTCATGGAGACAAGAGAAACATGGAGTCCCTCGGGCATTGGATCTATGGAGAGTTAAGTGTTAACCCGCAGCCTTGTGAAAGGGATACAAAAAAAAAACAAAAACTACAAAACCATCAAATGTGAAATGTGTTGGAGGCAGAAAGTAACTCTGACCCTCCAATGGCTGGCGTTCCCTTTTACTGATTGGGAATTTTTTAAATTGTAATACCTTTTGGCATCTCTAAAGCCACAAGTAAATGTAATTGACCTGAACACTTGTTCCTTGAGGACCAGAGGACCCAGAGTAGACAGTGTCATAGCCAAGAGGGAAGCAGGACAAAGGGTGTGTGTGTGGGGGTGGGGGGAGAAACAGAAAGGAAATGTATTTATAAACTCAGCACAAGTTTTTCCAAAAGTATGGGGTTAGGGAATGACTTTCCAGATTGCAGAATTCCCTAGTACTCTTTAAAATTGATCACCTTTCAAGATCACCTTTCTCTCCTTTACAATAAAAGGACCGCATCCCTGTCTCCTCCCCGCCCCCACCCCACCCCCCTTTTTTTTAACCTTGCCCTTTAAACTGCACAAATACTGAGAAAGATAGCATAGCTTTTGGAGAAGAGTCCAGTGAAAAGAAGTACAAAGACCATCAGAAAAAAAATTACTGAGTCATGCAGAAAATTTAGTCAGGGGCACAAGAGGCACCTGATCGATACTTCTCTCCCTCTCCTTCTCCCGCCCTTCTCCTCTCTAAACATCAATAAATAGAATCTAAAAAAAAAAAAAAAAATGAACCAAACCTTTGGGGTGTGGTCTGGAAGCACATTCATGAAGACCACTGAGCGGGCGGTGCTGCCTTTGTCTTCCCCTGACGTTTGCTTCCTTGGGGTCCTCCTGTCATTTTTTGTCAGTCAGTAAAGGGCAGCTGGCTCGGTTCCATGATTGAGCAGACCCGGCTTCTGACTTGCGTGTATCCTGATCTGCTTGGTTTTAGGCTGAACGGATAAAGGGAGATAATGGTTTCTACTGCCGGGCAAACGACAGAACCCAATTCAGCCTCTACAGCCAATCATGAAGTATCAACTGTAAGTGATGATATGTCCAAGAAAAACATGGAAACAGTAAGTTGCTGCCTGAAAATCACTGTCCGTGCGATGTGAGCCATGTCCATTTCAGGGCCGCCCTTGTGCATAGCGACGCCCCTGGCCGCCCCCGGAGCACTTCCTGCAGCCTCGTGCAGATGTTTCTGCCTTAGGCAATGCCAGCTGAGGTGCAGGGAAACCAGGCAAGATGCTGATTGGCTCGTGTAGGAATTAGCCTGGGCCTTTGGGCCCCAGGAGCCCTGTGTTACCGTGCGTCTGTGTCGTGAGTCAGTCTCCAGCTGCAACCTTTTAGGCAGTCATTGTGACATTCCCACACAAGGTAGCCGCGTAGTGTCTCTTTTTCCCGGATTCAAGGCATATTTTTGTGGAGAACCCAACTTGGCTTCTGGAATGAATCCAGCCTAAATTTGACCCCCAACACTGTCTCTTGCAGCTGCGTGATCTTGGCATTGGTCCTCCCTTTAAAAGCCCAGGTTTCTAGATCCTAGAGGGTACGATAACAGTGTTTACTTTATGTGGCTGTTGAGTGAATGCAGAAAAGCTCCTTGTCTTGCTGTTACACATTTGAAAGCCACAGATCATCAGCTTCATCCAAGTTGACTTCCTTTTCATAATCAATGTTATCAATATTTTATGCAACATTTAAAACCATGTTGAAGGACATAGAAAAACAAAAGGTCTACCCATCTTCCCACCTCCCTAATAGAGCTGTCTCTGGCCTGGCCCCAGCTGGCCGTGAGGAAATTAAGAATTCACACAGCTCACGCCCGCTTGCTTGGAAGTGGCTTCCCCTCTTCCAGGCAAGGTGAACAGAGTGTGTCTTGCGACCTGGCAGTTCTACTTCTAGGTGTAGACCTTGGTTCTCAGAGTGCGGTCCCCACACCAGCAGTCTCAGCATCGCCCAGGATGCTGGATGTTTGAAATGCAGACGATCACACCCCCACCTGCTCCTCTCCTAGACCCAGAGAACCAGAAACTCCCTGAGTGGGGCTTTTTACAACAAGACCTCCAGATGATTCCACTTGGTGCTAAAGTTTAAGAACCAGTATGCAAACCCTTGCACATTCCCCTGGAGAGCTGTGCTCCTAACAGCTTTGTTAATAAGCAGACCCCAGAACCGACACAGACGCCCATGAGTGATAGAATGCGTACAGAGACTGTAGTGTGCTCATGCGGCAGAATTCTATATAGCGGTAAAAAATGAACGAACCAGGCTTCTAGGCATTCAGGTGGCTGAACCTAAAAACCAATAATGAACCAAAGAATCAAGTCATAGAAGAAAGGTGCAGTATGATTCCATTTATGTAAATTCCAAAGCAGGCAACAATGAGCAATGTATTGTTTAGGGAAAGACGGACAGGTGGTATAGCTCTGAAGAAGAGCAGATACGTGGTTATCACAAGCCTCAGGGTGAAAGGACCCTCTGCGGGGGAAGGGGTACTAAGAGGACGGTGATGGGGGGCAGTATGTAGAGTGAGTGTCTTCAGTACTGGGAATATGTGTTTTCTTAACCCAGGTGGTTGGCACATGCATGTTTGCTAATTATTCATCTTTCATACACTCTGGTGAACGGACAATAAAAGAAAGGAAAACAAAAAGAACCTAGAAGGAGGCTGATACCGAGGCTCCTCGTGAACACAGAGGCTCCCCGGCTTCGGGCACGGCCACTGCGGGCTTCCCCTGTGTGGTGTGCTCCACACCTTTCTCAAGTGGGGTTACTAGAGAAAAATGGCACGTTGTTAAGAACAAACAAAAACTGCAAGGGAGATTTTTGTTCAAGACTATTGCAAAAGTAGAGAGAGATCAAACTCAACATGGAATACAAGAACAAATGCAGCTTTTAGGCAGCAGGCAGGGCGAGGGAGAAGAGGGAGGAATACTAAGAGGAACTTGGTTAGGATGGAGGCAGTCAGGGAGGAACTTGATTAGCTAGGGAAGGTAAGGGATTTAGGATGAACTGGCTGGGCAGGAGGCTGAGGGGAGGGCTCACAGGAGCCCCGTTCAAGGTTGGCTGAGAGAGCCCTGGCCAGTGTGCACCCCTCACGCCGGACTTGGTCAGTGTGCCCCATACGTGAAGCTGTGAACTCACGCACTCGGTAAGGCGGTAGTTTTCAACCCAAGGCAGTTTTGTCTCTTGGAACATATAGCAATATCTGGAGATATTTTGGTTGTCACAACTCATGGAAAATAGTGAATAGAAGCCAGGGATTCTGCTAAATCTCTTAAAATATACAGGATAGCCCCCCCACCACAAGGACATGTCTCCCCCAAAATAAATGTGTCTTCTCACCATGATGTAAAGGAAATATTGTAGTAAAGTTTATGTATATTATAAAGCATATGCAAAATAGGAATTAAAAAGGAAAAGATAAAACTAAACAAAATTATGTTCTCACTTCTTAATCGGGTTGTTTTCGCACTGTTGAGTCTTAAGAGTTCTTTGTACATTCTGAGTACAAGTCCTTTGTTGGATACCTGCTTTGCAAACATTCTCTTCCACATTGTAGCAGTCTTTTCATTCTTTTAAGAGCCTCTTTTAAATATCTGATGTTTTCATTTTGATGAAGTCTAATTTATCAGTTGGTTCTTTGATGGATTCTGCTTTTGGAAACATACTTAATAAACCATAGCCTAATCCACAGTCACAGAGATTTTTTTCCTATGTTTTCTTCTAGGAGGTCTGTAGTTTTAAGTTTTGCATTTAGATTTATGATCCATTCATTGTGAGTTAATTTTTATATATGGTGTGATCATGAGAGCGGGACCCCCCAAAAACAGAATTCTCTTCTGGAGGGCAGGCCCCTTGTAGGACAGGCTTCCTCTACTAGGTGAGTGTTCTGCGAACCCATCTGTGTCAGTGTGCCCTCTGGTGGTGTGGTGAGAGGCTGCGTTCAGCTTCGGTGAAGTTTTTTTTGAAGACTCTTTCAATACATTGGCCCATTTCGTGATGGGTGGGTGATATATGACTGCACCTGCCCGCACTGCGCTGAGTGTTCAGCAGTTTTTGACCAAAAACACCGTGACCTCCATGCCTCACCCTCCCTATTCACCTGCTTTCGCTCCAGTGGACCTTTTTTGTTGTTTCCCTGGATGAAAAAAGTCCTCAAAGGGAACATTTTGCTGATGTGGAAGAGGTGAAACAAAAAACAGCAGAAGCACTAAAAGGCAGCAAAATTGATGAGATCAAAAAAATGTTTTGAGAACTGGAAAAAACATCTTGACAGGTGTATTGTATCAAGTGGAGAGTACTTGGAAGATGACTGAAGTTTAAACGTGTAAGAATAAATACACAATTTTTTAGAAATGAATTCTGGGGATTTTGGGGTCCTCCCTCATATAGATATAAGTTCTTTTCTTTCTTTGCATGTTGATAATTTGATTACCACCATACCATTTGTTGAAAAGCTTATCCTTTGTGCACTGCATCACCCTTGCATTATTGTCAGTTGTTCATATATGTGTCAGTTTATTTCTGGAATATGTATCTGTTCTATTGACTTCTTTCTCCATTTTTATACCAGTTTTCACATTGGTTGGGTTACTGAAGCTTTATAACAATTATTGAAATATGGTACTTTAGCTCCCTAACTTTGTTCTTCATTTTCAAAGTCATTTTAATTGTTCTAGGAGTATTTAGACCATTTATATTTATTGTGATTATTAATATTAATAATTGGGTTTGATAAGATCATTTTGCTATTTATTTTCTATTTATCCTATCTGTTGTTCATTTCTTCTTTTTCTACCTTCCTCTGAATTAACCAAATATTTTTTATTTCATTTTATCTTCTTTGTTGGTTTATTAAGTAGAAACGCTAAGAACTGTCTTAATGTTTATATTAAACATCATTAACTTATCAAGTGTTCCTTCGGAAGATATTATACTACTTCATATTTATCATGAGAACCTTATGATAGTTTGCTTTCCTGTCTCCCTTCCCAGCCTTCATGCTATTTTGGTCATGAATTTTAGCTTTACCCATATCATAAACCCCACAATACATTGTTATTTTTGTTCAACAGTCAAATATCTTTGAAATATACTCAAGGGATTTTAAAGGGACAGTAGTTACCATTCCTGGTATAGATTCCTTTGTGTCGACGAAGACCACCATTCGGTGCCATTTTCTTTCCGCTTGAAGGAATTTAACATTTCCCATAGTACAGCTCTGCTGGGGATGGATTTGTTCCCCTTTGGTATGTCTGGAAAAGTCTTTATTTCACCTTCATTTTTAAAAGGTATATTCAGTATTTGAAAGTGCTGCTCCACTGTCTTCTGACTTGCATTATTTCTGATGAGAAATCTGCTGAAATCTCATCTCTCTCCCTCTGTGCAAGAAACACCAATCTCTGGCTGCTTTAAACATTTTCTCAGTGTTGCTGATTTTGAACAGTTTGACTAGATTGATGTCATTTACTTTATGTTTCTTGTGCTTGGGGTTCAGCGGGTATCTTGGATATTTGGGTTCATAGTTTTCATCAAGTTTGGAAAATTATTACCTATTATTTCTTCAATTTTTTTTCTTTTCCTTTCCCACCCTCTTTTGGTAGCTTGCATAACCTGTATGTTAAGCCAGTGGATGTAGTCCATCTTTGATGCAACATGACCTGCAAGTCATGGCCAAATTCTCTGGTTCTGCTTTCTCCAGAGGCTCGAGCACCGCCTGTGCAGCCAGTACGAGGAGAAGGTGCGCCCCTGCATCGACCTCGTTGACTCCCTGCGGGCCCTGGGCGTGGAGCAGGACCTGGCCCTGCCCGCCATCGCAGTCATCGGGGACCAGAGCTCGGGCAAGAGCTCCGTGCTGGAGGCTCTGTCGGGAGTTGCCCTCCCCAGAGGCAGCGGTGAGCACGTGTCCTCTCTTACCCATTGGCTCCAGCTGCCATAACAAACCAGCACAGACTGGGGGGCTTGAACAACAGAAATCTGTTTCTCACAATCCTAGAGGCTGGAAGGTCAAGATGGAGGGGGCAGCAGGCTTGGTTTCTCCCAAGGCATCTCTCCTTGTGCAGAGGACCATCTTCTGCGTCCTCCCCTGGCTGTTGCTCATTGTGCATATGTGCATGATGTCTCTTCCCCCTTTTCATAAGCATGCCAGTCATATTGGTTTGGGCCCCACCCTTATGACCTTATTGGACCTTAATCACATTCTTAAAAGAGGACCCTGTCTCCAAATACAGTCACATTGGAGGTTGGCGTTTCAGCATGTAAATTTTGAGGGGGGCGCAGTTAGGTCCATAGCCCTCACTAATTACACATTTTTGTGTAGCCTGCACTTTGTGGAAGGTCTCCAGCACATACACATGGGTCCCCAGCCCAGAATTCTGAACATCTCTCCTGAGCCCCTCCCAAGAGCTGACTCTCCATCTGGGAAGGAAGGATTGCGTGCTGGTTAGTGGTGCTCTCTGAGCCCTAAGGCCAAGGCTACCGGCGAGGGCTCACAGGGCACAGGCACACCTGAGATGGGTCTTGACATGCTCTGGAGGTGGAGGATGGGTGAGATTTGGAGGAGTTACAGCAGGGTGCCTGGTGGGAGCTCTGTGTCTATTGGGGGGTGATGGAGGCTGTTTGTATCAGTTGCTGTTTACTACCCGAGCCAGTGGCCAAACACTGGGATGAAGTGAGAAGCTTCAACTGGTGGCTTTCAAGCATTAAGGAGCCAAAAATCACCACAGATGGACATTCAAAGTGCACATTCCTGAGGCCACCTCATGCATCAGAGTATGTGAGACGAGTGTTTGCAGTGTGCGTAGTCTCCCAGGTTACATAAAACTTGAGACCCACTGGTCTAAGGCCCCCACAAAGGACATTTATGAGCCGAGTGTAGAACTGATGTGCACGTGGCCTCCTAGGTATTGTGACAAGATGCCCCCTGGTGCTGAAACTGAGAAAACTTAGGAATGAAGATGAGTGGAGAGGCAAAATCAGTTACAAGGATATCGAGATCAACCTTTCAGCACCTTCAGAGGTAGAAAAGGAAATCAGCAAATGTAAGTACCCTGTGTTCATTCATTCATCCTCGCCTATTCAGATGTCAGGTCAAACCATGTGATGTGGGTAGGGTCTGCCTACCACCCTCTCCTTCTGGGTCTGCCTTGCACCCTTGGGAACGAGCCCTCCCTCCCTCCCTCCCTCTCCCAACCCCTCTCTCCCTGCTGTACAGCAGACCCCAGCTCCCTTGTATTTTCTCTTCTTTTCTCTCATTAAGACCAGTGCTTTTGGACAAAATCCGACGTCAGTAATATATTGCTTTGTATGTAAGTTAAGTATCTGAGAATAATGTGAATTTTAAAGTTTAAAGTTTGTCTCAAAATATTGAGGGCTTTTTTCTTTTTTTAACTCAAGGGCTTTCCCACCCCACAGACCTGATACAGAGGAACTGGGGTGGCTCTTTTCCTCCAGGAGCAGAATAGATGTTTACAGAATCCTTGTGTCAACTGATTTGTAGCAGGCCTCAGTAAATATAAACCACAGAGATTGTTTGAACAATTTGAAACATCCAAAGGGAGAAACTACACTTGAAGTTGATACAGACAAAGGAGTGACACAGTTAGTTGCTGCTAAGTGTGACTGGGATGAATAGATAACTTTTCCTTATTGACTCTAATTTCTTCCTTGCCTGTCATGTAATTTTCAATCATTTTGGTAAGGTACAAAAGTGGTTCAGAGGTGTTGCTTTCAGAGGATTCACTATAATGAGTAACTTTTGTCCTAAGTGCTAAGTTTTTCTTTTTTCTTTTCCTCTTCTTTAGGCCAGAATATCATTGCTGGGGAAGGGATGGGGATCAGCCCTGAGCTAATTAGTCTGGAAGTCAGCTCCCCACATGTCCCAGATCTGACTCTGATAGATCTTCCGGGCATCACCAGGGTGGCTGTGGGCAATCAGCCGGCCGACATTGGATATCAGGTGAGACCTCAGGCACCATCCTGACCTTGGTCTTGGGGGTAAGGGAGGCTGTATTAGATTAGAGCAGTGGTGCATTCAGGCTTGAGGCTGAGAGGTGGCTATTAGGAGGTGTCAGTGGGGAATCTGGAGCACAAGATGGTTGCAGTCTCCTCCATCAAGTCAGGTGGAGGCTTTTCTGGAGAGAATGAGGCAAACAGGCAAAACTAGAGATATATTTCCTATGTTTTGTGTTTTGCACAGTGACTCATTTTTGGTTGTAGTCACATTTTGTGACAAATATAAACTGACATGTATTAGGAAAGAGTCTTACGTGGGAAGAGAGAGCATTAGAAACAATATAATGATATTTCCGTATCAGCGACTCTCATCATGTGGATAAGTGATTTAAGAAAGAGCCAGTTCTTGTGGCATCTTGTTTTTCATTGAGACCATCAGGTCTGAGGTTTTAGAAGGTGGTTGATGAGTGAAAACCTTGGTTTTCTCTGACCTCAGAGTTCTTTCTGCCACAAAGAGCTCAGTTTCTCATAACTCTGGCTGAGGAAGTGCCCCTAGGCTTGTGTTGGGGGCTCATTTTGTGTGCAAAGGAAATGCCTCTGGGACTCCAAGGGCCTGAAGCAAGTTCAAGGTTAGTACCCATCTTAACTCCCACACTCTCATTTTTTTTTTTTTTTTTACAGATTAGGAGACTTATTGAGAAGTACATCATAAAGGAAGAGACCATCAACCTGGTGGTAGTCCCCTGTAATGTGGACATCACCACCACAGAGGCGCTGAGCATGGCTCAAGAGGTGGACCCCGAGGGAGACAGGACCATAGGTAAGAAGAAGAAAGAACCTAAAAATGGTAGGTGGTCAGATAGAGGAAATGTGTCCCTTGAATCCAAATGGGTGTTTGTTGGCACACACGCAGGGTGGAGGGTCTGACCTAGCAGATGCGAACTGCTAAGATGTCAGGTCCCATGCCCACAGAGACTGGATGATATAGGTCAGATTGACCCTTGTTGGCCACAGGTTGGCTCATAGCCCTTGTCTGTCTGCTTATAAAAGGCATGATGAGCTCAGGGGATGGGGAAAAACCAGAAAGTGATTATGTCACTTAACAGTGAACTTGAGGTGGAAAAAAAGAAAGGAAGGACATTATGACACATGCCAAAGCATGGGTAGCTTTGAAGACATTTTGCAAAGTGAAATAAGCCAGATACAAAAAGACAAATACCACATGTATTAGGTCCCTAGAGGAGTCATATTCATAGAGACAGAGAGGAGAATGGTGGGTACCAGGGGCTGGTTGACAGAGAGAAAATGGGAAGTTAGTGTTTAATGGGGACAGAGTTTCAGATGGAGAAGAGGGAAAGCTCTGCGCCTTGCATCTAGGTTCTGCAAGCCCTCTTGTTTGCCCTCCAGCAAGGCCAGGGGGGAGACATAGTCAGGAGACTCTTCTCCCCCAGGGGAGTAAGCTGTCCACTGCTCACTCCAGTGAGGCTGTGAGTGTCCACTAAGCGAAAGGCTCTGGTTTGCAGGAATCCTGACAAAGCCCGACCTGGTGGACAAAGGCACCGAAGACAAGATAGTTGACGTGGCACGAAACCTCATCTACCACCTGAAGAAGGGCTACATGATCGTCAAGTGCCGGGGTCAACAGGACATCCAGAACCAGCTGAGCCTGTCCGAGGCTCTGTTTAAAGAGAGGGCGTTCTTCAAGGACCATCCATATTTCAGGTACGCCTGGCTCTGTATTCCCAAGGTCAAACCCAGACTAAGGACCTTTGTCCTCCCTGGGAAAACTGCTGCTTTCCAGAAGCAGGTAACTGCGGTCTGTGTATGAGTGGGTTTGTTTCTTGACAATGACTATGGGATTTGCCTGGAGGAAGGCTGGAAGAATTCACATGCATGGCAAAAAAAATAACTTTTAAAAAGTCAAATTTAAAGAGCAAACTCACTACAATGACTTGAACAGTATGGTGCTGGAGCCAGAATAAAAACATAAATACAATAGAATAGGAAGAGACTAGAAAACCCAGAAACAGACCCAGATCCATGTATGTGATATGTGATAAGTGTGGCATTTGAAATCCATGAGCTACATCAGTTTGATTATTCATCGGTGGCATTGAAAAAATTGTTTACTATTTGGAGGAAAAAATAGAATCATGCACTTACTTAACACGTTACATCAAAATAAATATCTGTTGAAGCTTAGAGTTTAGAATCTAGGATAAAGATCTTTCTATCCCTAATGCCAAAGGCAATTTTTTTTTAAAAGGGAAAGACTGATAAATTGGTTAGGTTTAATATACTGGGAAGATGCAGAGTTGCCAGGAAAGGCGGTGCCTGGCTCTCTCCCCTGCAGCTAGACAGCGCAACCTCTGTAAGGCACTTTGGTACCAGGCCAGTAAGATGTCAACAAAAAGGTGCTTGTGGAATGTTGAGGCCCCTTGTGTGCGCACACGTGTATGCAGGTGGAGCCTGCAGGTGGGACTATTACAGTCAGTTCTCCCAGAAGCCTGTGGAGAGGTCTTGTTCAGGATGGACAGGTGTGTGAACAGACACTTGTACACCGCTGTGCACAGCAGCACTAGTCACCAAAACAACTCAAGAGTCTATCGATGGATGACTAAATAAACAAAAGGTGGCCCATCCATATGATGGAATATTAGCCTTAAACAGGAAGGACATTCTGACACCCACTACGGCTTGGATGAGCTGTGGGGACGTCATCCTCAGTGAAATAAGCTGGTCACACAAAGACAAAACTATGCTTTTTATCAGGTCCCTAGAATGATCGCAGTTGTAGAGACAGAGTGTACAAGGGTGGGTGCCAGGGGCTGGGGGTGGGAGTCGGGGCTTCGTGTTTAAGGGGGGCAGAGTTTCAGTTTGGGAAAATGGAAAACTCTGGAGATGGAAGGTGGGGATGGCTGCACCACAGTGTGAATGGGCTTGGTTCCCCCGGACTATGCACTTAGCAATAGTTAAGATGGTAAATTCGACATCATGTGTATTTTACAATCAGTAGACAAAGTGACAGGTGTGGAAAGTGAAACTTACATTTGTGTGTAATCTCACAAATAGGCCTGTCAACTCCTGTTTCCCTGCCTTTTTATCCTAAAAAGTTTTTGACATTAAAGCCCTGTCATACCGCACCCTGGGCACATCGATTCGGATTGAGCGAGAGCAGGGCTTGGCCCCTTCCTCCAACCAGCCTTGGTTTCAGTCCTGTCTTGGGGAAGGATGTCCCTGGTTCAGTGTTCCTCCGCACGCCTAGGCAAATATGGGTCAAAATATTTTTATGAAGCCCTATACCGATATGCATGATATATACTTATATTGGGTTGGCCAAAAAGTCCAATTAGTTTTTTCTGTTAACTAAAAGACACATTTTTCATTTTCACCAACAACTTTATTAATTTGGACATTTTGAGTATGTCAGCTATCTCCCGCTGTTGGCTTCTAGTGGGTAGAAGCCAGGGGTGCTGCTAAACATCTTCCGATGTATAAGACAGCCTCACAGCAAGGAATTATTTGGCCAAAATGTCAGTAGTACCAAGAAACTTCACAAACCACTTTTGACACATTCAGTCAGTCACAGCACCTTCTCCATACACTGCACAAAAATGCACCAATTTTTACTTTTTTTTCAAATGCATATATATGCATTTGAAATGTATAGGACAGCTGTCGCAACACAATCTAACAAAATTGTTTCAGATGAAGTTAAAAGACAACTAAGTGCTACTAGAGCCATCGTATGGAAAAACTAAACGAACTTTTTGGCCAACCCAATACATGTCATACACACAAGAGGGTGTGTGTATGTGATGAAAACTTAACAATAGGTGACAGTATTTTTGTAAAGACACACTGAACATATCAGCTGGAACAGGATGTTCTATACCAGTTTTGAATGATCCAAATTTACTAAAATGCAGTCATGATTCTATACGACCCGGTTCTGAACATTGGTGGGGTCCCAGCTGCAAGACATTCTGTCCATTTGGAAGCTGGTAGATTTGCTGTGACTTCCCCAGCAGCACAAAGCTGACTGGCATCTCGTGGCTACACCAGGATGGACATGCGTGTTCTCTCCTCTTGTAGGGATCTCCTGGAGGAGGGAAGGGCCACGGTGCCCTGCCTGGCGGAAAAACTGACCACTGAGCTCATCGAACACATTGCTGTAAGTACGCGGAGAACTGTCAGTTCTCTGGGTAGAACCCTACTGACACAAAGCTGCACTGTGGTGACGGCTGCAATGTCATTGTGCACATGGAATTCCTGGGGACCTTTGTGCAGACCCAGGTTAGGTTCAGTGGGTGTGGAGTGCAGCCTGAAATCCTCCATGGCTGGAGAGGGGGACCCGGGTAGTGTTGGGGTTCTTGTCAAAGGACCACACATTAAGCAGGATGCTAACAGACTGTATCCACTTAGCTGAATTCAAAATCAAAATCTTCTCAGCATTGCACTAACTCTTCCTTTCTCCTCACTAACCACCATTGCCATGTATTGGTAATTGTAATGATCGTGTTTCGTGTCTTAAACTTTTCTGGTTCTTTTCCAATCTGTCTGGACAGCCTCTTGCTTTTTCACATTTTCAGTCCTTTTAAAATATGTCTTCACACATATTTCTATTGTATCTTGAACTTGATGATTCCAGCATCATGTGCTGGGTCCTGCTGGCCATCACCCACGTTGTCTCGGGCTGGCCTTCTGACTGTGAGCCTGCCTCTCTTGGAACTTTACCTGTGGGTGTTTATGGAAGCCCGCATTCAAATGGGGTTTCTTCAGGGAGAGGCAGCGTTTGCTTCTTCAGACCCTTGGTGGGGCTTCCAGCTTGAACCACTTTAGTTTTTTAGCTTGAGGTTTTGGGGGCCATTCAGCAAGCGTGAATTTGGGTAGCAAGCCTGTTTGAGGGCGGGCTTGGCCATGGAGATCTTCCTTTCCTCTCTGCCTGGCCCCAGAGTTTGGGCATTGCATGCAGTCCACAAGACAGGCTGGCGGGCAGAACTGTGCCTACCTTACTGTCATGGCCTAGCTGTTGGGGTCCCAGCTTTGTGTAGAGAGAAAGCGCTCGCACATTCAATTCTCACCTGGAGCCAGCCCATGAGGATTTCTCCTTTACTTCGGCACCAAGTCAGGCTCTGAGCACGGAGCTCAAGTTTTCTCCCCTACAAACGCCCTTGAGGCTCAATCTGGTTTTCCTCTCGTGTTTGCAGGTGCCCACTGTCAGCTAGCTTTGGCTTCTGAGTGTCTATTATAGACCTACCAGCTCACTGACACATTTCAAGGGGTGCTTGTGACATGTGAGCCAGTGTTTTCAGATGTTTGCAGTGGAAGACGGAGCCAGCACATGCAATCAGCCATATTATTAGTGTCAAAAGTCCCTGATAGCTTTTCATCTCTAAACAACAACATGAAAGTTGCTGAATCTCAAATCGTTGCAACTGCAACTTTTTCAGAACCCGCTAGACAAGTGGCTCTCTCTAACCTCCCTGCAGAGTTCGTGTTAGTGGATCAGGAAAGGAATTGTTCCTTGCGTTGCTTTTACAAAGCCCAGGAACCATGCAGCATGGTCTTCTCAGCGTGGCTCTGCGGCTCTTGGCACAGGAGCAGGAGAGCGAGCAGGCCTGGGGGGGGGGGGGGGGGGGGGGGGCACAATGCTCTCTCTCCTGGAAAATCTTTCTAGAGGAAGCCAGGAAGTCAAATGTACTGTTCAGCTGCCCTGCACCTTGCAGAAGGCGACCTGAAACCTTCTCTTCATTCCCTGTTCGTATTTATGTATTTCTAATACTTTCTCTCTATGTTCTTCAGAAATCTCTGCCCCGGTTAGAAAGTCAAATAAAGGAGAAGCAGCAGGAGGTAGCAGAGCAGTTACAGAAGTATGGAGTGGACATACCAGAAGATGAAAGTGGAAAAATGCTCTTTCTGATCGATGTGAGTGCTGCTTGTTGCATCATGTTGAAAACCACATGTAGAATGCATGCAAGGGGCCAGTGCTTTATGCACTTCTGTCTTTTTCTGCCCACTGAGCACCAGAAAGAGGCCGGGGTTGAGGGGCAGGGGAGAGTGGAGAGTGGGGTGATCTGATGGCCACGCCTCCCCTTTCCCATTACTGCACAGTGGCCCGTAGGCCGCGAAGAGTGACTCACCCACCCACAGTGTGCATACAACCTCCAAACCCCCGCAATGCTTGTATGTGCAGTATCTCCACTTACGTTTCCTCTTCACAGAAAATCAACATGTTTAATGAGGATATCTGCACTGTAATAGGAGGGGAAGAATTTGTCGGGGAGAACGACATCCGGCTGTTCAACAAAATCCGGAATGAGTTCTGCAAGTGGAGCCAACAGGTTCAGTCAGATTTCAACAAGGGTGAGGGCAAGGCGCCACTGCTAGCCTGGCGTGTCGGGGGGCAGGGGGGCAGGGGGTGTAGTTGGTAAGGACAGTGGGCATGAGGAGTTAGTGATGCGAAGGCTGTGTTCGCTCTGTTTCACATTGTGAAACTAGGGCCGATGAGCATCTATTTCAAATGACCTTGAAAAAGGCTTCTAGAAGAATCAGTGGCTCTACATGGTATGTGTGTCCCTTTCTTTCTATTACAAGTGGTGAAATAACCCAGATCGATCTTGGTTAATGCCACGTTCTTGAAGTGGGATACGTATCTTAGTGGACTTTATAGTCACAGCAATAATAACAATTAAAAAAAAAGAAAAGCAGTGTGCTAGTGGCTACTTTTGCATCATTAAATCCTCAAGAGTTGGAAAAAGGTAGGAAATGTGGCCTGAATCTTTTTTTTAACATTTCAAGGAGCCTAAAGAAAACCCTATGTCAGCCAATGATAAAGCTGTAGCAGTGGAGGGGAATGCCTAGTAATTGTGCTTTCATTCAAGCAGAGCAATGGGGCTCCCCAATTTATTTCAGCTGGGCCGAGGTTCAAAAAGACGGTTCTTGTCTCTCCGCGACGTATGTGGGAAAATCTATACGCAATTTTTTATGTAATTCTAGGCCACACCTTTTGAGTCCATTCGTTCCTTGGCAGAGGGGCAGAGGGTAAGACGGCGTGGGTAACTGTCCCCAGTGGGGGAAGACAGGGGAGCTCGCTTCTGGCGTGGTCACTGCCTGGCCTCCCGTCAACAGTGCAGAGCCTGGAACCCCTGGCGTGTGTGTTCTCACGTCAGCAAGAGACCTTTGCCACCCCTTCCGAGGAAGAGCACAGAGCTTGATCCCCACGGCCCCTCGTGGGTTGCTCAGCGAGCGTGTTACAGCGCCAGTGCTCATGGCGTGCAGCCGGGGAGGAAGGAGCTCTTTTTTTTTTTTTCAATGCTAAATTCCTCCCAGCCAATTATCAGTTACATATTGCAGGATACTCACAAGCAAGAGAATGCGAACCCCTAAGTCACCCCCTGTACAAAAATTAACGCAAAATGGGTCAACGCCCAAAATGTAAGAGCTAAAACTGTAAAACTCAGAACATAGGGCTAAATCTTCATGATCTTGGGTGAGACAATGGTTTGTTAGATAGGACGCCGGAAGCATGAGCCAACGAAGGGAAAAGTAGATAAATTGGGCTCCATCAAAATTGAAAATGTGTTTTTAGGTAACAGAGAATGGAAGGAGATATTTGCAAATCATAGATCAGATAAGGTTCAAGTATCCAGAATATATAAAGAACAAGAAGACAATCTGATTTAAAGATGGACAAAAGATTGGAACAGGCATTTCTCCAAAAATAAGATATTTAGGTGGCCAATAAGCACATGGAAAGAAGCTCCGCATCATTAGCCATCAGAGAGATGGAAACCCAACCCCCAATAAGATCCCGTCTCCCATGTACCTCCCATGTACCGGGATGGCTGTCATCAAAGAGACAGATGAGAAGTGTTGGCAACAATGTGGAGAGATTAGAACACTCCTGCACTGCTGGGGAAAATGTCTGTGCTACAGCTACTTTGAGAAACATTGTGGCAGTTCCCCATAAAGCATGTGATCCTGCAGTTTCACTAGTGGCTGTATATGCAAGAGAATGAAAACATCTTAGTGTAAAATTTGTCTATGCATCATCTAAGCAGAATTATTCTTAAGAGCCAAAAAAGCAGCCACAGCTCAAATGTCCATCAATTGATGACTGGATAAAGGAAGTATGGTATATTCATATGTACTAGTCTGCCAGGGTGCTATAACAAAGTAGTGTAGACCTGTTGTCTTATTCAACAACAGAAATTTGTTGTTTTACAATGCTGGAGTTTAAAAGTTCAAGATCAAGGTGTGGTCAGTGTTAGTTCCTCCTGAGGCCTCTCTCCTCTCTGTGTAGGCTGGTGTCTTCTCCCTGTTAGGACTTCAACATGTTAATTTTGGGGAAACAAAATTCAGAGTATAACTCTATGCAATGGAATATTACAGAGCCATAGAAAAGCATGAAGTACTAACATAGGCCACAACATTAAGCCTGAACACCCATGCTCACTGAAAGAAGTGAGACCCAAAAAAGCCACATGTTGCAGGATTCCATTCATATGAAATGTCCAGAATAGACAAACCCATAGAGGCAGAAGGAGATTGTGGTTTCCAGGGGCTGAGGAGGGGGGATGGGGAGTACCTGCTGGTGAGAACAGGGTTCTAGGGGCGATGGAAGTTTTTGAGGATTGGAGAGAGGCGATGGTTGCCCAACTGTGAATGTACCAAAAACCACTGAATTGTGCGCTCTCCGAGGGTGACTTTGAAAACACACAGATTGTAGCCAACTTTAAAATTTTTTGAGGAGGAAATATCTCCTGACCAAGAAAAGATACCTCAGCTACCATCCCTGGTTAGTTCTTCCAAAAGAGGACCCAGAGCCCTGCTGGATTTTCTCCCCTGTGGGGGCAGGGAGGATTCTCCACAATCTCATATAGTGAGAGTAAAAAGAACTCCAAAAGTATAAAGAAAACATTAAGAGGTTTTAGTCTAGTAAACAGTGATACCGTATCACATGATATCATGTGCTCGAGTTCTCTGTTGCCCCATTTGATCTATACATACTTCTTACTTGTGTGACAGTACACGAATGGCAAACAAGTGCCATGTAACTTTTTCCAGATGGTGTTTATGGTCAATCCTACTTTAAAACCATTTTTTAAAAATTCTTTTAGAAAGCGGGGAAGGGAGGGAGAAAGAGCGGGAGAGCAACGTTGGGGCGAGAGAGAAACATCGCTTGGTTGCCTTCCACACACGCCCCAGCTGGGGACCAAATCCACAACCCAGGCTGTGCCCTGAACCAGGAATTGAACCGATGTCCTCTGGGTTCACAGGACAATACCCAACCAACTGAGCCACACTGGGACCAATCTTACTTTTTAAAGGACCGGCAGGTCCTAAGATTCTATTAGGATACAATTGCTTTGGTAAAAATCAAATTGGATTTACGACATTTTATACTCCAGTAACTTTTTCAGAATCTGTCTGCACCCCCTGCTCCCTGGCGTTACACCCTGCCTCTGGGCTTGCCCCCTCCACATGACCAAGGAAAAGTATGTTGAGACCTGTTCCTTTATTGCAACCCCTGATAGTTTCTGATTTGCAAAACAGCTTTGACTGTTTCCCTTGCTCCTCTGTGCTTTCAGAAAGTCAAGGATGGTGTTGTTTTTAGGAAAAACTGCCATGTCATTTTTGTAAAATAATTCAGAGCTCTTCTGTCTGGTGGTAGGTTATCAAAATGTCCTGAGGAAGATGCAGCAATTTGAAAATCAGTATCGTGGCAGAGAGCTGCCAGGATTTGTGAATTACAAGACATTTGAGACCCTTGTGAGACAGCAAATCCAAACACTGGAAGAGCCAGCTGTGCACGTGCTGACCACTGTCACTGGTGAGTCCCCGCTTTTGCTTCTAGGACAGCATCAGGCTTCCGAGCTCTCCGCGGGGGTGTTCCCCAATACCAGCAACCAATACCAGGTAACCCCGAAGTAAACGGCCAAAGTGAGAGGCAACATTATTTCTTTGAGTTCCAAATATAAAAAGAGTTATTCTGGACACATTGACTCAAGCAGAAGCCCACGGAGTGTTCTGATGAGGACGCTCACGGTGAGGGGTAGTGAGGAGAAAGGGAGGGGGAGCAGCGACATCTGCGGAAGGGAGGCACTGCTATCGGTGCGGATTACGTAACATAGTGATGTTCATTCTAAACAATGTGTTTTTAATTTCCAGTCCGGGGGCATCCTATCTGCTACCTTGTTATCCTTGCAAACAGTTCTTTACGGCACAGTGTTGCCCTAAGCCCAGTCCAAAGGTTATTTTGTCTGTTTTAACATTCCAAAGTTTGGCATAAGACATGCAAGGCAGTTGCTCCATCTTAAAGTGGCTCCGTTTCTCTTATTTTTTTTGCAAATGCAAGCAGTTCTCTGATCCTCTGTACATCACCGAGGTATTCAACAGTTCAGCTCAGGTTGGACACTGACTACCCGGAGCTGGCACAGCATCCACAGCTTAAGGGCTCGGTGCCACAGCACTGCCTCGCTTCTGGTGGCAGTCACCTGTCACCTGGAAGTCAGAGTTCCTGTACTCTCCCCAGGGGCGATAATTTGCTGGAACAGCTTGCAGGACTCAGGACCATACTTTACTTACCTTTACTGATTTATCTTAAAGGATTGATGATAAAGAAAGCAAATGAAAGAGGATACATAGGGCAAGGTCTGGGGGTATCCCAAGTACAGGTCCCATGGAGTTGGAGGCCACTGCCCTCTTGGCACATATTTGTGTCACTAACCTGGAAGCTCTTCGAACCCTGTCACTGAGGAGTTGTGGTGGAGGTGTAATCAGTGATCTCATAGGCATAATCAATTATTAACGTGGTTGTCATCCCTCCTCCCTGTCCCACTCCCCAGAGGCTGGGGAGCAGAGGAAGGCTGGGCTGAAATTCCAGGCTCCTAATCAAGGCTTGTTGTTCCTGGCCGCCATCCTCCACCCTGACGCGATGCAGGGTCCCCTAGAGTCCCCCCATTAGAACAGGAGATGCTCTTACGCCCCAGGAGACTCTAAAGGATCTCAGAGCTCTGGGTCAGGAGCCAGGGATGAAGACCAGATATATATTTCTTGTGACACAACACTTCCGTGCTGCCCCCTTGCTGTGGCCACTGCCTGGTCTCAGAACATCTGCCCACGTGAAATCTCGGAGTGTTTGGAGCCTTCTTTGGATGGTATTACCTTTGTCATGTGTAGATAGGGAACTGTCAGAAGCCCGTGAGGACAAGTGCAACATTTTATGGTAGCGACCACCCTCTTTTTCACGTGCTTTGCTCCTTGGTTTCTGGGGTGTGACCAAATCTCTTCGTCCGCTCATCTCCTCGTCTGAGATCGTGATATGCAGCCTCCAACCGCCTCCTGTGAGCAATAAGTAATAATCTGCCATGCATCCCTAGGCAGCGGCCTCAGGGCAGCTCATTTTTTTAAATGTTTATTTATTTTTAGAGAGCAGAAAAAGGAGGGAGAAAGGGGAGAGAAACATCTATGTGAGAGAAACATTAATTGGTTGCCTCTTGTATGCGCCCCGATAGGGGACTGAGCCCACAACCCAGGCATGTGCCCTGACTGGTAATTGAGCTGGTGACCTTTTGATTTGGGGGACAACGCCCCAACCAACTGGGCCACACCAGTTGGGGCCTTATGACGGCTCGTTAAGAGATGTATTTCTAATAAAAGTTTACTTTTTGGCTGAATAATTAGATACCGACATCTGGCATTGTGTTATGTTGGCCTCTCTATCCACTCCTGAAGATAATATGCAGCGCTAAGAGTCTTATAGTCATAGAAGTAACTTAAAAACATGTGTGTATGTGGGTGTATTTAAACGTCCGTTTTAGAAAGATAAGCTATGGAGTCAATAAAAGATGTTCTTCTTTTTTAAAAGATTTTATTTATTTTTAGAAAGAGAGGGAGAAAGAACAATAAAAGATCTTTAAGCATAAAGATATTGTATATCATATTAGGATAAAATTCTGTGAGAAAGTCAAATGGAAACAGAGATTTCAAAAATACAAATAATGTGAATTTTCTGATTTAAGAGCCTGTTAATGTATTTCTGTTCATGTATTTCTTTTCAAATACGTAATGTGGATGTTTAGATCCCACTGATAAATTTAAAAGAGTGATGTATGGTTTCACTACAAAATATTGATAGATTTATAACTTACTAGAACTTATATTCTTTGCAACTATTTATACTTAGGACGAAAACTTTAAATGTCAAATAAGTATGCCCAGGGACATTTGGGTTTTAAAATTCTCCCAGGGCGTTCTTGAACAAAAACATACGCCTTCCTCCCATAGCGAAAACAGGAGAGGAACGAAGTACGGGGGTAGGGAGCGATGGATGGGGGGCCACTTTTTCCCTGCCATTTCATCCTCTTATTTTTTGCAATCTATAAAGGTGATGCATGATTCTGTGGACTTTTTCTTGTCTTTCTTTCATCAGAAATGGTCGTGCATGCCTTCACAAATGTATCCAAGAGACATTATGAGGAATTTTTCAACCTCTTCAAAATCTGCAAGGTAAACCTGACGATTTGTTATTAAAAAAAATTAATGCTGACACTAGAAAATAGATTTCTTGGATTAAGACCATTGCAATTTTATTGTATATTTGGAGAATCAAATAATGAAACTTAGGACTGAATCTTCCTAATCACACTACCAGTGAAGTCTGGTTAAAAGCAATAAAAGACTCAGGGAGAGAGAGACTGAGACAGAGACAGGCCTCTGGTGTCTCTTTTTGTAAAAGCTCTAATCCCATCGTGAGGACTCCACTCTCAGGACGCAGGCCTACAAAAGCCACCCCGTCAAAACCATCTTTTGCTGTGTCTAATGTACACTCGTGTTTTTGTGCACATTATACACAGGATTATTACATGCATTATTGCACCCACAGTATGTAATCAATATACCCATGTTATTACGTGCGTTATTATTTTTCCCTCAAATACTCGGCCTAAAAAGTGTGCAAATTGCCAGTAAGACTAGCTCCCTTAGAAGGTTGTGAGAAACGAAAAAGACAATGGTGAAGATGCATCTCACTCCATGGTGCTCACTGAGGTCTGCGGGGGTGGGGGTGGGTGGTGGTCCAGGTGTTCTCAGCTTCTGGGTAGAAAGTTTCTCTAAATGCCAGGAGCAAAAAAAGACAGAATTAGACTAACTTAAATTCATCCCTCATCTTACCCCAGTGAGCTTTCTGAGGGAGGCACACTGCTTATCAGATGGAAAAGCCCATAAAAGGGGACAGAAAGCAGCTGTCGCCTCAAGCCCTAAAACAGAGCTCTCTGGGTTCCCAGACTCTGGGGACCAGGGGTCTGGTCGTACGTGTGGCGCAACCTCTTCAGGAGATTCTGATCCTCTGAGGGCGGTGGAAACCCTGTCTGGGATAAGCTAGGGTGGGGCGCAGAAGGCTGCTCCAAAGTAGCATGCTGTTGTAATTCAAGTCGGAGAACCTACTCTCTGTGCCCTTTATGTATGATCTGTTTTCCTATGACCCAGTGATTCATTTCCTGAGGGAAATTTTATCTTGTGTCTCTTGTGCATTAGTCCAAAATTGAAGACATTAAGGTAGAACAAGAAAAAGAAGCTGAGAAGTCCATCCGACTTCACTTCCAAATGGAGCAGATTGTCTACTGCCAAGACCATGAGTATCAGACTTGGTTAAATGCGGTCAGAGAGAAGGAATTAAAAAAAAAGAATTCAGGCACTATGAATCCTCAAAACGACTCTCCAACTAGCTTCCTAGATGAAATCCTCCAATACCTGATGGCCTACCACAAGGTGAGTCGGTGCATGCCTCAAAGGTGGTTTTCATCTCATTTCCGGTCTCACTGTCTGTACGGTGCCCGCCGGCCAGCTCCATCTCTCAGCGCTTTGTCAGCCTCCATAGAAACAACTCAACCTTAGATGACAAGGACAGGTCATGGCTTAGAGCCAGCCACTCACATCTGGTGTTGACTGGCCGTCGGCTCCCAGCTGAATTCCTTAACCTCTCTGAGACTCAGCTTACTTCTCTGTAAAATGGTATCTCCTCGTAGGTTTCTAGTGACTATTCAGTGGGATGAGTGTGCCTAAGTCCCTCAGCGCAGCAGTGCGATACAATGGCGGCTCACCCTGTGGAAGCTGCTCATGGAGACGCGTGCTTTGATTGCTACTCTGTATTTCAAATCATATGACGGCTCGTTTGATTCATCCCGGGAAGGCTGCACAACTCAGTTGAGTGCACCTTAGTGAGAACCACTGTGATATGTAAAAATCAGGTCAGGTAGAGCCAATAGGCATCTCTTGCTTTAGCAGGTGTCTCCATCAATTGACTAGTCGTGTGTTCAAGGCAAGGTTTCTCACGCTTGGCCTCCTGGGACCTTGCGGAAATGCAGGGGTGGGCCAAGATTCTGCATTTGTAAGGGGCCCCCAGGGGATGCTGAGACCGCGCTCTGAGCCTCCGAGGGGCAAGGCTGGAGCCCAAGGGTCGAGCGGCGTTCCCTGCAAACACTAGGAGGGGGCGCGCCTGTGAGGGTAGCCAGGGAAGGACAGGACAGGAGGACGCTGTGTGCCTTGGCTTCTCCTGCAGTCAAGCGTAGCTCCTGTCTGCCCCCCTGCCTCAGAACCTGTTAGAGGAGGCACTGCATGCACACAACGCGACAAAGAGAATGAGGGACGGTGGAAAGTGGGTCTCCCACCCTCTGTGCCCCGCCCTCCCCCAGAGGCTGCAGAAGCAGCCTTCCAGTTTCTCTGTATCCTCTGTGGGACAGCTTACATCTGGGTGTGATTTATGGACATAGGCAGACTGTTTTTACACCCAGGCTAGCAGAGTGTACTGATCCGCATCTCGCTTCTTGTCCTGTCCCTTGGCAACTGGTCCGCTTCGGTTCACCTGGAGACGCCTTATTCTTTTTCATGGCGGCTGAGTCTCCCCTTGTACGGATGTAGCCTGTTGAGCCATTTCCCTATTAACAGACATAGTTTTGTTTCCAGCCTTTTGCTGACACAGGGATGTTGTAGTGAGGTGCCTTGTTCATACATCATGTACCTGGAGGATAAAGGTGTGTCAGTCAGGGTTGTACTATGGAAACAGAACCAATAGGAGGATATACATGTAGATAAAGAAGTGCATTTCAAGGAACTGGCTAATGGATTGTGGGGACTGGCTGGACCAATCAGGAAAGGCAGGCTGGAAGGTCTTGGGCAGGAGTTGAAGCGGCTGTCTACCGGCAGGATTTCTTTCTGTTTTGCTTGTAAGGCCTTCAACGGATTGGATGAGGCCCACCCGCATTATCAGGGATAATCTCCTTTATTCAAGTCATCTGATTGTAGATGTTAAGCACCTCTACAGAACACCTCGATTGGTGTTTGACTGAGTATCTGAGCACTATGGCCTGGCCAAGCTGCGCCATGTAAGTGACCGTCACATCTGGGGTGAGGATCGCACTTGCTTTCCATTGATAAGTATTAAATGTAGAAGGCCTTTCTCTTCCCACACTTGCCCACTTAGTCTTTACTGAAGTTGTTGGGTGTTTTGGATGGTATGATAGGTGAAAAATGGCATCTTGCAATTTTAATTTGCATTTCTCTTGTTAGGATGAGATACATCTTTTCGTAACATAGGACTTATTTCTGTTTCCTGTTCAGTGAACTGTCCATCCAGTCAGGGCTTTATTTTTTTTTAAGAGAATTCCTGTTTAAAAATTTTATTTTTAGAGAGAGGAGAAGGGAGGGAGAAAAGGAGAGAGAGAAACATCAATGTGAGAGAGAAACATCAATGGGCTGCGTCTTGTGCGCGCCCTGACCAGGACCAAACCCGCACCCAGGCAGGTGCCCTGATAGAGAATCAAACCGGCGACCTTTCTCTTTGCGGGAGGACGCTCCAGCCCACAGAACCGCACCCGGTCAGGGCTGGTCAGGGCTCTCTGTACCGTGTGGTGTTAGCCCCTGGAGCTTTGTGAGGCAGACAACTCTGAAGTTTGTCATTTGCCCTCTGGTAGTGTTTATGGTGGTTTTAGACCATGCTGAAGTTTTCCAGATTTGTGGGTTGGATTTAAGAGCCATTTCTTTTTGGGCTTCTGTGTTTTCTGTCATACTTTGAAAGGACTTTGTCTCTCTGAGTTTCACAAAGAAAGTATTTTCTTCAAGGAACTTATTTCACCTCTCATATTTAGACCTTTGATTCCTTTGGAATTGTTTGAGGTCAAGAAAGAGATTTGCTCCAGGTGGTTGATAGTTGTCTCAGTCCTGTCACGGAAGAACACTTCTTGTCCCCCTCGGTGGGTAATGCACCCGTTTCACACGCTCTCCCTGGGTATGTTGGTCTTTTTCTAGACCTTGAATTCTGTTCTGTCGGTCCGCTGTTCACATGTCAGGATCAACATGATACATTAGTAGGTCTTCATATAACGTTTAATTATCTAGTCCAGAAAGTGATCCCCTATTGCCCCACATTTCTTTTTCTGATATTGTGGTAAAATATACCTCACATAAAATGCACCATTTTAACCGTTTTGCCGCATATGGTTCAATGGTATTAAGCGCCTTTGCACTGTTGTGCAGCCAGCCATCACGCCCATCTGTCTCCAGAACTTTCTCATCTTTCTGAACTGAAACTTTGTTCCCCCTTCCTCTCCCCCACCATTGTATTTTGTGAGTCCACGAATTTTCCTATTTAGGGACCGCATATAAGTAGCCTCATATGACATTTGTCCTTTAGAGTCTGGTTTATTTCACTCACATAATACTCTCAAGCTTCATCCCCATTGCAGCGTGTGTCTGAATTTCCTTCCTTTCTAATGTAGAGTAATAGTCCATGGTATGGACGGACCGCAGTTCATTTACTCATTCCTCTGCCCACGCCCATTGCGCTGGCCCAGCCTCGGGCTCCCCTGCACAGCGCCACTGTGAGCGTGGGCGTGCAACTGCCTGCGCTCCCCCCTCTCTGCACATACTCCTGCCTGTTCTTGTTTGTTTCCGCTTTAATATAAATTTTAGAATGAGCTTGTCCATTTCCTTCTGGAAAAAGAAGTGTTCGTATTCTCGCTCGGATTACACTCACTTTATAGGCCTGCAGAGCGAGAGCAGATGCCTTCACGACAGTAAATCTTCCTGTCCAAGACTTTCATGGGTCTTTCCATTTCTAAGGGCTCAGAAGGGTTTCATGTTCTCTATATGCAGATTGCGCGCCTCTCTGCAGTTTCTTCCAACGTGTGTTCTCGGCTTTGTCCTTCCTGTGAATGAGCCTTTCCTTCTACTCATATTCTCTTTGCTGTTGGGGGATGTATTTTCTATCGTTACACCCCTCCCATTGTCTGTAGTAGCTTAGAGTCTTCCCCGTGAACACTCATCCTCCTGCAGTTGGTAGGAGCTTTCTGTTCCCTCCTCGTTCTGCTCTGGAACCTCCGATTTCCTTTTCTTGCCTTGTCAGGTCCCTTTGGTGCAACTTCAAACAATGGTGAAACCAATAGGCATCCCTGTCTTGCCTCCAATTTTAATGGGAATGCCAGCCACCCTTCCCCATTAAGCGTGATTCTCACTGGCTCAGACCAAGATGTTAGCGGGCCTGTCTTCCCTCGCGAGGCCCTCGGGGTGAAGCTGTTTCTTTGCCTGGTCCAGCTTCTGGAGGCGCCCTCACTCCTTGGCTCAGGGCGCCTCCTCCACCCTCACAGCCAGAACGTAGACATCTCTCCTGCTGTGTAGTCACATGTCCCTCTGACTCTCCTGTCTGCCTCCCTCCTTTGCATTGGGCCCACCAGATAATCCAGGATCATCTTCCTGTCTTGATGTCAGCTGATTAGCAAGCTTCCTTCCACCTGCAGCCTCACCTCCCCTTGGCAGTGAGAGTTAACACATTCACGGAATCCCTGGCGGGCACGTTTGGAGCCATCATTGTCGCCAGCACATGCATCGTTAAATGACTTGGACTCCCCTGGGACAGTGATGTGCACCGTGTCCTTGTGACCACTGGGGAGAGGTCCAGAGGAGCTGGTTTTCACCAATCAAAAATTTCTTCCCATCTACCAAAGACAGTTTCGTGCAAACACAGCCCATTCGTGAGAGTCTCTGTGTGGCAGCAGCTTGGCACCAGTCAGGGGGAACTTCTGCCTCCAGCCTTGCTCACCAATTAGGTCCCCTTTAGGAAAGGAGTTCCTGCTCCCTGTCTAACACATGCTGCTCCCTTTTCCACCCTTCCTCCATCCCCTCCTCCCAGGTGGCTCTGCCTGATGGCCACTGCTCTTACTGCATGTGGGTCAGGGGCTGTATGGTATCTATCTCCTGCTTTCACCCAAACTTTGATGTTTGGGACAATCTCCAGGGGAATGAAGAAATGACTCTGGCAGCCATGTTGATACCGGAAGTCTTGAAAGATATTTCAGATGCCTGATTTTGTCATCCAGATATTAGCCATCCCTTTTGGCTTGCATCCATTCTCCAACATCAGACTTCAATGCCTGTGGCCCCCAATATTCCTGCTGGATGCCTCCTACCAGCCTGTCTCTTCTCTTCTTTCCTCCATTTCGGTTTGGGAACAGGCCATCCTCCTGGCTCACTTCCCTTCTGGAACATGTAGCATATGTGCCCTGTCCTTTTTGCTGACCCTCTGGATTAAATTCCCCTGAGAGCTTATTCTACCCTTGGCATCTTTCTAAACTTTTATCTTTTAGCTCATTGAATTTTTTTAATTATCACATGAGGCCAGGTGCTAATATTTTATAGAGAAGGAAAGTGAGGCACAGAGAGGTCACAGTGCTTGCTAAGTCGAGTGTATATTAGCTTCCTGAGAGAACACTTGTCTTAAGAAAGAGAAAGTTTTCACTGACAGGTGGGGTTGGGGGCTGGGGGAGAGAAGGAAGGATTGAAGGCATCTTTTAACCTGCATAGAACTCACAGGGCTTCTTTCTGTGCCTTTTGATAGCCTAGCCTCTGTTCTGCTAAATAATCTTAGCGTTGATTTTTTTTTTTTAAGTCATAAAACCTTTTTTTGGCAGAGTTGTGAATAATTTGAAAGTGTAGTTTTTGGACTCTGACCATTTACCTTTTTGGAGCACATTTTACCTTCTTCTGTCGGAAATAACTCTTTAATCGTTATAACAAACCTGTGGGAGTCTAGCCGGCCCCAGCGTCCAGGCCGGTGCCTTCTGCCCTCTGGGGTGGGAGGGTCCCTTGCTGCCCTGAGCACAGAGGTTTGAAACCTGCCAGGTCCAGGTCCCTCCGGGTGCTCATGTGGTGAAGAGGGAGTCTTTCCCTTACAATGTCCCATAACCCCTCTGGGTACTGCTCCTTCCAGGAGGCCAGGAAACGCCTGTCCAGCCAAATCCCCCTGATCATCCAGTTCTTCATCCTCCGGTCGTATGGCCAGAAGCTGAACAAGGCCATGCTCCAGCTGCTGCAGGACAAGGAGAAGTACGACTTTCTCCTCAAAGAGCGCAGTGACACCAGCGACAAGAGGAAGTTCCTGAAGGAGCAGCTTTCACGGCTGACAAAGGCTCGGCGCCAGTTATGCAAATTCCCTGGTTAAATTGGGCTCTGTCCCACCTGTGTCTCCATGGCCCCTTTCCCTGAGAGGTACCCTTGTTAGTTGCCCACGCTGGTCGCTTAGTGGAAAGGACCTACTGGGAGGCTGTGATGAGCTATTTGGTGTCTCGCCTGAGACTCAAGGGCCCATCCTCATGAAGGGTGTAGTTTAGGCTGGATGGATGATGTCATCTTCCCACAGACTAACACATGTGAGCACCATGGCACAGCTACTTCCTGGATTTTTTCCACAACTTTTCACTCATGTGATATTTTTGGACCATTAGTATCATGTATATGAATGCCATAGGACTCTTACCTCATCTGTTAGTAATAAACTCTTTCCAACAGACATTTCTCCAACACTGTTTTTATTGAGGAGGGAAAGCCTGAAAATGACAGCAGGTAGGAACCCTGGGGAGCCGATGCGATGCTGCCCCCTGTGGCGGGGCCAGGTCAGAACAAGGAAGTTGAGTAAAGGATGGTCCTCTGGTTACCTACCACTGTTTGAAGGGAAATGAGGGATGAAGTAAAACAGCGCGGAGCAAGTGGTATTCATTGTTTATCGTGTGCCCTGATCGAGTGTTCAACTGGTAAATCCCTGGGCACCTACTTGGAGTTAAAGACAAATGCCCAAGTTTGGAGAGTGGCCAGCTGGCCAGTGCTCGTGGGGGCGGGGGGCATCCAGGAAGAAGAGGCGGTGGAATGTTCACCATGGTTACGCTAGAGGAGCTTGGCACTCATGACTCCTGGTCTAGTAGGGGTGGGGACACTCACAGGTGCCAGCCACGCCAGCTGTGGGGGAGGACACTGAACAACGGGGCTGTAGCTGGGGGAGCAGGGAGTCCAAAAGTACCTGTACCATGTCCTTGAAAGTGAGCTGAAGCATCATGAGCCTGGAGGAGTGGCGGCCAGTGGACAAGCAGAGAGATGAGGTGTGTGCCCGCTGTGCTAAAGAGGAGGACCCATGAGCAAAGGCTTTCCGGGGAGACCCGCTCTGCACGGCCAGCAAGGGCGGAGGGCGCCCTTTCTGCCGAGGTGTCCAGAAAGGAAGGGCTTCTGGCCAAGCTGAGCAGCTGCTTAGCGGTGGGCCGGAGAGGTGAGCTTAGTTACACCGTCCCCTGCCCCCTGCCCCTGCCCCCCACCAGATCACTTCTGACACTCCATGCTGTTCAATGCTTTGGGACAATATCAGAATTTACTTACAAGAGGGAATGCCAGGGAACAGTGCACCTCAGAGGCGGCACCCTTGTGCCTCTCCTAGGTGGCAAACACTGCAGGTTGATGCAGGACCAAGTGCTCACAGGAGTCAGCTTGACTCATTAAAAGGGAACGCTATACCAATATGCACGGACTTTTGTAAGAACAAGGGTAGGCAGGCAGTGCATTCATCTCCAGTACTGGGCATGTCCCTTTAGGAGGCTAGCCAGCTTCTCACCTTGGTGCCTGGGAGCTGGCACTCCCTCATGGCTGGCCTGAGTAACTAGTCCAGTACCAAGCATCCTCAACACTGAGCAAAAATTCTCGTGGACCAGGAACACAGAGGGCAGTGTTGCCAAGTGTTCTTTGCTGCTATAAATGTCCTGGTAGTCGCAGAGAGCGTGGAGAGAGACAGTAGTGTGTGCTCCAGATGGGGAATTTACCTGGTGGGGCTGGGATTGGGGGGGGGGGGGCGTTGTTTCTGCTGGGGACTTGGGAGATGTTCACAATTTCTTTCCTTTTGGCCAAAAAGAGAGGTGGCCAGGGATCTCCCAGGCCAGTACTGTCAGCCATCAACAGGGGAGAAGATCACTGTCTCTCTTCCCAAGTGTTCAGGACGCAGGAAGGGAAATAGCCCTGGAGTCCACTTTGGGTGACTCCTTCCAAAGGCAGCAGGACTCGGGCAGGGAGTTAGACTGCCCCTGAGGTCTTCCACCCCGCCCCACACCCATGAGGGCCCTCCCCAGATTCTGCTTTCCAACCTGTAGCACCCACTGGCTGGAAGGTCATCAACCCGTACAGAATATATTCAAATGCCAATGATGCCCACTCATGGAACCTTCCGGGCACGTCTGGGGCTCAGCTGACCCACAGGATTGGGCTGAGTTTGGGGCAGAGCACAGTGAGGGGCTGGAGAGAACCGGACTGACCGAAAGCCTTCATTTTCCAAACACAGTCTCGGGGGCTGCAGGGGCTTAATAGATGCTGTGGGGGGAAAGGAGGAGAGGGAGATGTTGGGCACTTGTTCAAATGACTTAGGGATTTACAGTTTTCCTCTAAGACGCTGTGGGGCACCTGCCTTTATCACTGTCCTTCCCAAGCAAAAGCAAGGACAAAAGCACTCCAATCCGACAGCAAATCCTCCACCAGGTAGCAGTAAAAACAGCAAAGGGGAGTGCCTTGGCTTCCCATTTGTCAGATCCCACCTTATTTTCCTTCGGGGGGGGGGGGGAAGCGTCTGAGGGGTGCGGTGGCTTCTCAGGAAGTGACAAGCCTGCAATGCAAAGCGGTGGCTCACACACCACTATTTACGGAGCTAATCCTTTTAACAGGAGAGGGCTGGCGCCTTCCTGGGTTTCTTAAATGTTACTTTAGAAGTAGCACAAATTCCAGCCTCTTCTGAAAACGTCGGGAGCATCGGGAAAGTGAGCTGTGGAATCTGCTTCATCCTCCCTGGGCAGCCAAAGAGACGGAGGGCTGCAGTTAGGGGCCTTGCAGTTCCTCCCAAAGTCAAGGCTCCAGACGAAGCCTTCGTCTCAACGGAAAAAGGCTCTGAAATCAGAGCGGGATTGCGGGATGGCAAAACTGAAAGAGCGGGGAACAGACCAGATCCCCGTGTAAAGCCAGATGCTTCCGTTAACAGCTCAGCGGGAGGTGAATCCCAGCCTGCACATATTTCAACGCCCAGAACTCCCTGCCGCCTGGCCCAGCTGTGAGAAGCAACAAAAGGGTCAGCACAAATTACACACTTTCATTATTGCTCGTGCATGCACTTTGCTATTAGTATTTTGGGTTATTTTACGTTAAGTGAATTAATTTGTTTTTATAAAGCTTTAAATATAAAAATATCAGTATTTCCCTAGTCTCAGCATTCTGGCTAGCTCTCCAAGTGAAGTCAGCCCCATCCTATGGGAAAACCATTCACAAGATAAATCCAAAGTGAAAAATGGAACGGAAAAGATTGTCAAGTGCCCAGGTGGACGTTTTCAGATGCATACTCCATCACCACTCCCGATCTCTTATTTGTGAATTTGCCTCCTCCCTAAAAGTCAGTCATAACCCGCAATTCAGTACCAGCAGCGCTTTGGTGAACATGGCGAAAATCTAAGCGCACACCCTCAGCTAAGGTAGAACAGGGCTCAAGGCTCGATGAATATTTGGAAAAAAAAAAAGTATAATTTATTTGTACAACATTTCACAATTCAATTTACAGTTAAAAAAAAAAGAGATACAAAACAGAAGACAAACAGGGGTCACATAAATAAAAAGGCGCATTAGCGGAGGGACACATTCTCACCATGACAACGCTCATTAAGACCCGGCTTGGGGGGCAGGCACCTCAGCGCTGTGTGGTGGGAAGGCCTCCAGGGACGCTGCTGCCCCCGAGGCCCGAGGAACCCAGCGTCCTGAGAATGGGGCTGTAGAATCTTCCATTCCGAGTCCTAGCAGGAGGAGCGCGTCACTCTTGGAAACCAGTGCGCAGGACCGGAACCTCGGCAGAAGTCGTCGGAGCAGAGCACTGACCCACCCCTTTGGCAAGTCAAGCCCAACCCCCCTGCCCAGAGGAACCTAGGGGGCCCGAAGGGGCCACGCGGAGTCCAAAGTACACTTTTCTCTCTTTTGTCACAAGCACGCTGCTGTTCTTCAGCAAACTCATTTCCAGAACATGAAAATAGGAGCCAGTCGCTTGTGAACGCAGCTCGAATTGGCAAGGACAGTAGTTTCAAAGAACCAAATGTAGCAACTACGTAGAGGCGTCACAGCCCAGATTCCATGAGCACTGAGGTAGTAACACGTGGAAACAGTGTACCTTGAATCACACATCCCTGATTTCCCCAGGTGACTGCAAGTTCCGGTGATTAGCAGGCGGAAGAGGGTCAGCACGGAAGAGCGCTTGGCCCTCCTGTGTGTCCACTTCTCCAAAGAGGCCGGGAGGCGGGCCAGGGAGGGGGGCGAGGGTGAGGCTGGTGTCCCGGGGCAGAGCTGCATCCAACTGCCGTGCCCACCTCCGCAGTGAACCGCCTGCGATGGCGGCCCTTGCTCCACGCGTTTTCTGTCTGTCCACTCACCACCCCTGCCCCCAAGAAGAAGAAAAGGCTTCTGATGACCTTTCCAGTGACAATCAAGTCATCACCCATTAAGGGCTGGTCCCTTTATTTCCAGCCACCATCCAGGGCTGCTAAGAAGGCACTTAAAAAATGATCAGTGAAAAATGCTGGCGGAGGCACAGGTCCTGGGGCTAGCCCGGGTGGCCCTCCGTAGCAGGGCCCTGGAGCAAGAGGTGGCTGTCCCACCTGGCTTTGTCTCAAGCCGTCCCACAGTGGCTGAGAGGCCCCCAGCTCCACAGACATCCCCTGGGCGGGCTCAGGACAAAGATGCCAGTGGCGAACTCCATCCCCTCTGCCCTGTGTCGGCCTTGGCACCCCTTTTTAGATTCGAGGTCAGCGGGCATGGCCCGAGGAGCAGCCACCGTGGCCTGTGCAGAACCGGGAAGAGTGCCAAAGTCAGACGAGTTCACTATTTAATCAAAATGAAAGGACCTCTGAATCATTTCTAAAGATACATATGCACAGGGAATTAAACATCAGCCCCTTCATTTTATCATGGAACGATGTCAAGGACTGGGCCAGACCCATTAGCTGTTTGCCTGTACAAGAGGAAGAAGAAATGATGTTATTAAGATAAATGAAAATAGAAAACTATTTTTCCCCCTATATTGACGAGGTACTCATACACCAAATGAGCCAGCGTGACAAGGCAAAAGGACGTGACTTTCCTACAGCATGAAGGTCAAGGAGCTAGGCCAACAGTGGGGAGGGGGATAGGGTGCGTGGGGAGGCAAACCGCTTTGTTCGGCTGGGATGTGGGCCTTCCCTGGGAAACCAAGCTTGACTCAGCCACTGATAGACATCGGGGGTTTAACAACTCTGGCTCTTCGTCCACAGTCTCTCCTGCCACCCAGCCATTCACTGGAGGGTCTGGCCGTGCCAAGCCATCGGCTGTGCCCTGGACACACCATACGGCTTTTTCTCTCATGTACTGGACAGAGAGCCCACCCCTTGGCCTGGCTCAGCTCCCAGGCCCCCAGCCCCACCCGCTTCCCTCCACCATGCAGCCCCCAGCAGGACAGCTGGGTTGCCTCTTTCCAGCACGCAGCCCTTTGCCGGGTGCGACCTCCCAGCCGCTGGGGGCTCTAGAAGGTATTAGGCCTCGTGGTTGAAACTTGGGGGCCAGGTCAGGGCCTGTCCTTCCCTCCGCAGGCTGGAGACTTGAGAGGACACAAAATAGAAGCTTGTCTTTCACCAGCAGCCCGGCCCTGGCAGGGGCAGACCCAGTGGAGGCTGCCAATCCTGGGGCTCCTGGTGCTGAGAACGTGTGGCTCTCGCCCAGGATGCAGGCAGTGCCAGGAAGAGGCCTCTGCTGAGCAGGGTGGTTGGGCTGGGCATCCCCGAGGAGCCCCTGGGACCTCCCAGCTCCACCGTCTCTGTTCACACTGGAGAACCCCTGCTGGTCTCTCCGCCCCCAAACTACAGGACCTGCCCAGGGCGCACTCAATAGTCCACAAAAGGACAGCAAAGTTACCACTCGACTAGCTAATTTGCGTCCCTGTACTCTTTGCCCTTCACCAAAATTTGCATCTGAGGAGGTCTGGGCGCAGCCGCCTGAGTGAGGACCGTGCCAGTCAGCAGAGCACAAGCCCACGCATAGTGTGCCCTGCCAAGCGGAGCCCCAGATCGGTTCCCTGAAGCACCCCTGGGCAGCACGCAAGTGACACCCACCAGTAGTGACAGGTGGGCACGGGCAGGGGCGGGCGGGGCGGTGCTCAATGCAAACCATTGTCAAGAAAGGCACCGTGTGCGCCACGCCCACGGGTGGGCAGCAGTCAGTGCCCCGCCATGAGCGGGACACAGCTCACAGACACCTGGGCTTTGACACAACATCTCCAGCAGGAGGACGGGACAGTTACCCTCATTTGCCGATGAATCCAGTCTGTAAATACTGTCACGTTCCCATACACTCCTGGTCTGTTTGCCTTGGCACAGCCGGATCCCCAGCTCGTGTCCCCAATCAACCACCAGACGCTGCTCTTCAAAGTGACCAGAGGACCACCACTGTCACCCTGGGGACGCAGCAAGGAACAGAAGTCCAAATGACAACCGCGCAGACACCACCAACCCGGCACAGGTGTATGTGTGGCTTTCGTATCTCCTCCGATAGGTAAGAGTGTATATAATACATCCCCCAAAGAGTCGATGCCAGCGATGAATTTTAGTCTATCTCCGCTAAGAGTTACTAAATCAGGTGGTGTCGGTATTTCAAAAATCATCAAAAACTTCTAACTCTCCCACTGACACTTAGCATAAAACCCTTTCGGAGGAAGCAGTGGCATGTGGGTGTGGTTGGTAGTACAAAACCTTTTACACCACAGTGTGACCGTTAGCTGCCACGATGTCCCCCAGCTGCCTCAGAGTTGGCTCCGTGTCCCAGGGACATGGAACCCTGTCTCTCGTCGAGGGAGAGAAGGGTTCATCTGCCCAGTGGGGTAGACAAGACCTGGAGGTTCAGCAAAAAGCTGCAATCACCTGGCAGGAATCCATGGTCCCCTGCAGGTACCCGGCACAGATCATGGTTGGCGTGATGAGGTTGTTGTAGACGTATCTGCTGTTGCATTGCACGGGGTCAATTAGGGGCACCATCACAGCGTTCAGCTCGTCCGACGTTTTCCCTGAGACCGACAGACCGTGTCATGGTGGAATCCGGGCAGCCAGCAACCCGCACAGGAAGAGTGGACCCCCGCCTGGGGACAGGCACTGCAGGCACTAGACAGGGAGGGCCCTGACCCCCAACGCGTCCCTCCTTCCTCCTCCCCAGCCCTCTTCTGGGGAGCCTGGGCCGCCCTCGCAGCGGGCGGACTGTGCTGAATGCAGCTCTAGATCCTGGTTTCAGGGAGAAGACGCCCTGCCCTGGGGGCTGTGGAACCCGCCCGGGTCCCCGGAGCATCCTCAGTCATCGCTTAATGGCTGGGCTTTGCAGCAGCACCTGGCCTCCCTCACCGCTCCCTCTTCACCGGGCCGTCCCTACCTAAAGCGAACCAGCCTTTCTCAAACCCGCACCCTCCTCCATGCACTGTCTCCCTTCTCATACTTCTCTGAACAATCACAGGCACCTGCTGTCCCCGCTTCTCCCCTCCCACCCTGCTACCTCCATGGCACGTCTTTGGGCACCATGGGCTTCCTGTGCTGAAACAGAACCTCACGTCGCCATCCTCACCGCCAGCATCCCTTGGTCCGGACATAGTGCCACCACCCGCCCGGGGCTCCTTGCCACAAAACGGGCAGCCATCCTCCCTGGACTTGTCACTCTGGCCCCTGCTGACATTCAATCCAGCAGCAGATCTGGTGGCCCTATCCCAAAGCTACAAGGTCACTTCCTCTACGCCCACATCCAGGCCTGAGCCGCCCACTCATCAAGGAGACCACGGCAGGCGTCCCCTCACCCTCATGTTCTGTCTGCTCTTGCCCACATCCTTGCTGTGATAGCCATCAGATTATGTCACTCCTTTGCTTCAATCTGTCCAGCGCTCCCCATCTTGCAAGGAATAGAAGCCGGGGTCCTGACCACAACCCATGAGGCTTGACACAATCTGGTCCCCGCCCGGCCCCTCGCCCCTGGCCCACCATGCCCCCCAGCCACACTGGCCCGTCTGCCCCTTACACATTCTTGTCCTTAGGATGTCAGCTCAAATGTCACCTCTTCCAAGAAGACTTCCCTGACCACACCCCCGCCCAGCCCTCTTCGAAGCAGCCACTGTTACGTTTCTGGTTTGTCTGACCTCGTCCTGCCTCACATATCCAAGGAAGAAAGCGAAGTAAATTTCTGAGGGCAGAGATTTCTGTCTTATTTTGCTCACTGGCACATTCCCACTGCAGCAAGTGCTCCACAAATTATCTGCTGATTTTCCTTTTCAACTTGGCTGCTGGACAGCCTTGCTTGCTACCCAAAGGCTGAGAGGTAGTAACTTCCTTTAGACGCGGTACCCACTGCCACCTTCTCCTGAAAAGCCCCCCATCACCCAGCCCTTGTTCTCTGCACCTTGTTCTAAGGATTCATTGTATGTGTGCCCTGAATGCTTTTAGGAAGAAGGGTGTGAACAATATATAAAATGCTCCTCTGCACCACTAGGCACTTCCATGCTCCACAAAGATGAAACAGCCAGGGTCCTTTCAACTGAAAATTATCTGGGATGGAGAGGACTGATAACTGAAGGAAGCCGAGCAGGTCCACTCTGGGGGCGGGGGCACCTCATTCCCTCTCCCTCTGGGTGGGGGCGGGACAAAGGCCATCACTGGCCATGCCTGCCCACCCCTACCAAGCCCATTATCTCTCGGCCATCAGAAGGCAGCCGACTTCCAGGGTGGCCTGTTGGCAACAGTAAAACACGCTCCCAGGGCGATTTTATACTCCTCACACTTGCAAAGCCTTTGTCCTGCAAAAAGCGGTTTCCACACATTGGGCCATTTGACCTCAACACGAACATGGTGTGTTAAGTAGGGCAGGTGGGATTCTTCCCATTTGGCAGGTGGGGCGACTGAGGCACAAGGACCAAGAGCTGCCCCACGTCATCCAATCATGCAGGAGCAGAACCGGGATGGAAGCCCGGGCCTCCCGCCCCCACGCCCAGTGCTGTGTGGCACAGGACCTGCAGACTCTCGTGCCCAGGGGCCTCACCTTTCTCGTAGGTGGCCCCCCACCCGGAAATCCAGCAGGGCTGCTTCGGCTCCAGCCTCAGGCCTGGGTTGGGCAGACATACAGGTTTCACTTTGTCTGTTTCAAGAAGAAAACACACCGTGAGCCAGTGGGCAGGGGCCGGGGAGCCTGCTAGACACCCTCCAGCGCACAAGACAGCCCCCCGCAAAGAATTAGCCAGCCCCAGATGCCAGCGGCATGGTGGCCGAAACCCTTGTCTGCGCTCTCCTGTATTGATTAAATTACCACTGACCGAGGAGGAAACACAGAGGGGCACATTTTCGGGTGACCTGGCTTCTGCTGAGCACACTTCTGTCAGCCAACCCTGCCGCCCCGCCCCGCCCCCTACCTCAACACAAATTCCTACCTTCTATTATCACAACACAGGTTTATTTCCAATCAACCACTCCTCCAGATTTAGTCAAAGTTGTTTGCACACCCTGAGCCCCACGAACAAAGGAACGTACCGTTAAAAGTCAGAGGTGTCTGCAACTTCATCAGGGCGATGTCATTGTTCTTGGTCTTGGAGTCATAATTTGGATGAGAAATCACTTTTTCTACCCGGTAGCCATGCTCATAGGTCATGAGATATTGTCTCAAAATTCCTGCGAAGGCCGTCCAGTACCGTGGATTGTTCAGCGGCCTGGAAGACAGAGGTAAACACCATTCACTATCTCAAAACCACAAACGTGAGGCTCTCACTCAAAAGCCGTCCGCTGGTGCCAAAGGTCCCAGGGCTGACACGACCCGTCCAAGCCAGCGAGGCAGGCGAGGAGGCCTCGGGCTCCCCTGCGCCCACCTCAGCCTGGCCTCCCCTGCACATCTTCCCTCCTTCTGGCCCCTGCTCAACCTCCCGGGGGGACCCCGTGCCTCTTCTGAGCTGCAGTAGCAGCAGCTCCAAGAACGTTTTTTCTTGGACCTAATGCCTCTCTGAGGTTTTAAAACTCATTTCCAGCAGGACTGGATCTTCCCTACCTGTATATGCTAGGGCATTTCCTGACACACAGTAGGTGCTTAATACGTGTGTGGTGCTGGAGAGACTCTAAGTCCATAGCCATCCAAGCATTACCTTTATCGAGGGGTTTTCCAGTAGGAGCGCCCCGAATCCTACCAAGCCATCAGAGCCTGGGGTGGGGGGGGGGAGGGAACAGCCTGGGGATTAAACACGGCTTCCCTCGCCCTCTCCACAGCCCTGGGGAGGAGCGGGAGCCCGGCTCACAGGTGCCTGCGCTGCCGCGCTAGGCGTGCACTGCCCGAGGCCATGCAGCCGAGCCAGGCCCAGCCACACTCTAAACCAGCAAAATACCTCTGATGAGTGAGGTTTCCTCAAAAATCAACATGTGACCCAAAGATTCTATGTTTTGAAAAAAAAGGAGGAGGACAGTATCTTCCACAAAAGTGCTAAGGCTAGAAATTAGGGTGCCGACCCTCGCCTCCCAACCTGGCTGTGTAGTGGGCTACCCTGCAGCCAAGGATGCTTCCCCAAGGCCCAGAGAACTTTCCTGCAGGGCAGCGTGAGATTCCTGGGCGTGCCTGAGTGCGCGCTCTCCGAGGCTGATCATGCAGAGGGGGCCAGAGCTCCCAAGGTGGCAGGAACGGACAGTGACCTCCCAGCCCCACCCTGCATCCCTGCTCCCAGAACCCTGCATTCAGTGGACGCCGCATACATGCTTGCTGAGGGATAGGCCTGGCCACGTTTCACGTGCAGTAGCTCATCTGACCCTCCCAGCGATACCACAAAGGAGGCACCATTAGGACCCCCCAATTATACACAAGGAAACCGGAGCTTAAAAGGTCAAAAGATTTTGCCCAAGGTCACATGGCCCCAGAGTCACCTCCAAACCCAGGAGCCCTCATCCCACCATGCACATACTCTTCCACGCAGTGGGCGGCTGTCACAATCCACTCGGGGGTGATGATGGAGCCTCCGCAGACATGGACGCCCTGGACTTGCAGGCTGACCTGCCAGGGCCAGTCCCCCGGGGCGGCACTCGTCCCGCCCACGATCCGACTCTGCCGGCCCATCCTCCTGTTGACCCCGCACTCTGAAGGCGACAAGCACAATGCAGCTGGTCAGGAGCGGGACCCGGGCCCCTGACCCACCCCGACACCCACCCGCACAGGGTGCGTCCCGACGGCTCCCGTCCCAGACGTCCCACCAGGCTGGTGGACAACCGCTGCCGCCTCTTGTTCCTGTCGGTTTGGGGTCTGACTTGTAGAGAACATGCCCTGGTTTCTTTTTGGTCAGAGGGATGAGAAGACACTCCTCCAGCTCCCCGGGACCCCTCACCACCACCCTGGGAAGCACCACTTCTGCTGACGCTGTGATTCCAGACACCCAGCTGGGGTCCTGCGTGCCCAAGGCCCTGGGGCCGGCTGGAGCCCTAGAGGGACTGAATGCTCAGGATCCCTGAACAAAGTGAAGGAGGGATTCCTCCTGCGTGCTGGTCACACTCCCCGGCAGGTGTCTTGTGGGGCCAGAGGGTGGTGGCACAGGCACCTCTCTGGGTACCTAAAGGAGCTTGAGCACAGCCCAGCCAGGAAGTCTCACCCCTTCGACCAGAAAAGCTGAGCTTTAGGACCAAGGAACCTGAGCCCCTAAAGGGACAGGACATGGCCGTCCCAGAGAGAACACGCAGGGACAGAGCCTTCCCTGCTGCTAACGGGTTTGGAAACCCTGCGCAGCCCAGACTCAGCACGGACGGCACCCACAGGCCTCCGGCTCCCCGTCGGGTGGCTCAGGAGTGCAGCCTCCCCTCTCTCCTCCTTCCCAATGACACGGGGGTACCTGTCTGAAGGTACAGAGTATGTCCTTTCTCGAAACACAAAAAGGAAAAGCAGGACTCCCTTACCTATACAGCGTAAAGACACCACGTTTTTTGAAGAGCAGACATCACTGTGAAAGAAGAAAGAGGATGTTGGTCACAAAGACGCAGGAATGAACATTTTCTTCCGACGTCCTCAGCCCCCTGCCTCCCCGTACATGGCAGGGCCCTTGGTTGAGGGCTCGAATCAGGAGAGTGAACCCGTACGGGGGCAGTGGCGAAGGGCAGACGCCGAGCACGGCTGCACACCCCAGCTGTGTGAGCGCGCGCGAGTTACCTAGGCTCTGTGCCTCGGTTTCCCATATGCAGAATGGGCTGATTGCAGTACCAGCTCATCGGGTGGTTTGGAGGGTGAACACGCAACAATGCCATTATTATTATTATTATTATTATTATTATTATTATCCTCACCCGAGGACATTTTTTTCATTGCCTTTTTAGAGAGAGAAGGGGGAAAGGGAAAAGTCAATATTTTTATTCTGGAATTTAAAATCATCTTCTAATATTTTAAGGGAACCACTGGGACACTTCGGGTTTTTTATGACTGTTTTACACCTATTGCACAGAAAACAACGCTGTCAATTATTTACCTGGGAGCCGAAGAAAAGAAAGTTACTTGTTCAGAAGGTAAACATTCGAGGGGCAGGTGAGAAAGAATCAACACGCATTCTGCGGCACAGCGACGCACTTCTTCCCAGTGTGCTGAGGAGGCACGGCGCTGCCCCTCACCTCCCGGCACTCAGAGCTGGCAGCGGCCCACTGCGCACAAACGGACACAGCGGGCACCAGCATCGGGCCAGCCCTGCTTCGTGAAGGAGCAGGAGACAGACAAGCCCGCCGCCCGCTCCTGCCGGGACAGACGCACCACGAACCTGGTCCACACCAGGGCCCATCTGCTGGCTGCGGCTAATCTGCCCGTCCCGGAGGCAGCCTGGCTTCCCGCCACCCCTTTTAAGAAGAAAAAGCACTAAGATACCCATCCAAGAATCACCCTCAATTCCTGACAGCAGCCAATCAAAAGAGAATCCCTGCTTCATTAAATCTTCCCTTAGGTGACCAAGCGCAAGCCCAAACCCTCGAAGTCCTTCACGACAGAGACCTTCCAACAGAGACGCTCCGCAGTTCCCAGGACTAGGAGTGTGTCCTGGTGCTTTCTGGCCAAGGGACACTGGCAACGCCAAGAGAACACATGCCCATGAACAGATGTTTTCTAGAAATCATGAGGCTGATTCTCCTTTACAAGGCAGCACCGCCGTGCGGCCCCGCAGGCGAGCCCCGCTAAGAGCCAAGAGACTCGGATGTGGACACCTAAGAAACGTCCAAACCTGTAAGAATTTTTTAATGAGTTTATTTGCACCAAACTGATGTCAACTGCCAGGAAGCAAAATCTCAATGGACTGAGAAAACACGCCAGAGAAGGCCAGTTTTGCACCTTATTTTATTACATTAGAATCAGAGGCGTAAGCGGGTTCCATGAAATGCGTTGGTGATGGATGAGGGAGATGGGAGAAAGCAAAGTGGGGAAATCTCTGGAACTAGATCAAGGGAAACAGAGACACACACTTTTTTTTTTACCTTGGTGAGTATAGGATAGTGAAGAGTTAACAATTAACACGATGACAATTGATAATAACAAGGAGGGGATTTGTGGTTTCTATGCTGGTGCTGATTGTGCTTTCAGGGGTCTGGAAAACAGGAAATTACTTTGATATTCCAAAGGTCTGTTGTGCAGTATGTTATCTTAGATGCAAAAAGGCAACAGACAGGCTCAGTTAAGATAAAGATTGGCCTTTGTTAGAGAAAAATACCACCCTAGGACCTGACTACCTTCCCTGAACTACTTTTAATTAGGAAGTTTTACTTGCAGACCCTCCTGTGTGGTTACTTGAGGTCTCTTGAGTTTGTAAAGCCTCGCTGCAGGCCTCCCCTGAGCTTGTCAGGTTTAGCATGTGGCCCCTTTTTCGTCCATAATATCAAAGGGCAACTTCTGGAAGCCAGAGGAAAGTCTTCCCCTCACCAACTACGGACAGGACGCACCACGTGCCAGCGGACAACCTTCTCTCCTTTCCTCCAAAGGCCGGAGCCCCGGCGTAAGCTGCCAGGGCTCTCACTGAGAGATGGCAGCCTCCCTGCCCCGCTCGGCTCTCAATCCGTGCACGACCCAGGAAGACAAAGAAACACTCAGCCTTTGCAAAGAGCCCAGGCAGCTGTGTTTAGCTTCGCTCTCGTGGGCCAACCGCAGCCCAACTGCTCTGATGGGTACACCTGGCAGTGCACGCCCCTCCTCCTGGGCTCACCCGTCACATTCCCTGGGACAACCAGCCTCCAGAGGAAGTCAGCCCCCCAGACACCTGGCCAGGAATGCAAACCTGCTTCCAGCCTCCCACTCACAGGAAAGGAGGGGCGGGGTGATTAATGCGCCCTTCCCTGAAACAGCACCTGGCCTGCAGAAAGGGGATCGCCTGGCTAACCACCTGGGGAGCAGTGAGAGGGACCTGGGAGCTGAGGAAGGCTTATTCACAAAGGACGCTGTGTCTTTTACACTAAAGAACATTCTGACAATAATGACCCCAGGGAGACTGTAAATATTTTAAACATGTGCAAAGCAAGTCAAGTGGCTTAAACCCACCCCTCCCCCACCCCCCTAACAGGTTAAGCTACCAACCATGGGACCCGCTGTTTGGGTTCATTTCCACCCACAGGACACACACTGCAACCCACGCAGGACCACAAGTCAGCACAGCACGGAGGCACGGGAAATGTTGGCTGAACTGAACTAGCCGCTGGCTCCCTGACCCCGCCAAGGCATCAGGTGACACTAGGCTTGGGGCTGGGGGACCGACCATCCCTGCTGCCCGGGGCTGTGGGGATTCCTGGGAAGCAGGACTTTCAGCACTAAAACCGGCCAAGTCCCTGACAAGCGGGGTGAGTTGGTCACCCTGCTGTGACCCGGAGGTGCTCTCGGTTTCTAGATAACCTCCTCAGCACACAGTAGGTACGACCCTCATGTCCAGATAGTGAAGAAAATAATGTGGACTATCCGTTTTGCAATGTCATTCAATGCCATCAAGGGGAGAGGGCACAATGAAATGGCACGTGAACCTTGCTCCTTACAAGGAGAGCTCAACCAAACCCAGCATCACAGCTCAGAAGGGCCAGGCTGGGGACAGCGATGCCCCGTGATGCCGCCTGCCATTCTTGTTACAAAATCTTTCAAAGGAGAACAGGAATCGCCCAGTACCTGTGGTAGAGTTTCTTATACAGATCGGTGTGGCCAGCACTTATGTTCAGTTTCATAAAGCTGGTGGCCCCGCTGTCATCTGCTATTCCTTGGCTAGAATAAAAACTATTCCTAAAAGGGACAGAAAATCGTATTTAAAATTCCGGTTACGCCGTTAGCGATCCCAAATCCTGTGCTATATCACAATACTCCTCCTGCGTGAACTTCAGATTAAGAAACATGCCTTAGCATTTTGGAAAACAAAATCACAAGTTCTAAACAAGTGACTGTGTGATAACCATCTTTTGATCTGTTAAACCTGAAGTGTCAGGTCAAGTCTTCCATCCATCACGTTTCTAATCGAGTTTGGATTAGGATAAAGAAACGAAAATGGGGACAGACTTATAGATGGAGAGCAGGGTGACAGCAGGGGAGGGGAGAAGTTAGGGGGTGGAGGGACTGAGCAAAAAGGAAAAAGGACCCATGGACGTGGACAACGGTGTGGTGATTGCCGGGGGAGGGAGCTATAAGGGGACTTAATGGTAATGGAAAAAATACAACAGAGATTTTTTAAAAAGAAACAAGAACAAGGATGTGTATGCACATAGGATCTAACAAAATTTACAGAGGTTAAAATGTCCCCAGTTATAAATGCAGGTCCGGGACAGGGGCTTCACTATGTCATTCAGCCCTGCAGTGGGCGATGGCATTTTGAAGTGTTTCATTAGCTAAGGTGCCAACGTTCTTATCAAGTGGTCACACAGGGACACTCCAAGGAAGAGATGACTGTATTAAAATCACACAGCCTTTCCTCGTGGAGCCAATGGCTGCCAAGCATGTGCCAGGGACGCTCTGCTGAGCCCTGGCTGGGACTCCCTGGGAGGGGACACTCCCTTCTCCTCCCTCACCTTCCCTGTGGCTGTGTGCAGGAGCGAATTCTCTCCCGTGTGAATCTGATGATCAATTCTCTCTGGTTCAATAGCCTTCATTGCCTCCCACGTGCATGCTGCGAAGGCGCTGCAGGAACTATTCTGCTGACCTACACCATCCAGCCCACCCCCAAGCTCACCCCACCCCCTGCCCCCACCCCGGTGTAGGCCCTCCCTCAGCATCCTGGACCCTGGCGACCGCAGCACTGGATGGCCCTGAGTAACCAGGAGAGGATGGAGGACGACACAGGGCGGGGTGGCAGGGCGCCACGTCCACCGGATGAGCAGCTCTGGGAAGGAGATGACTGTCCACAGCTAGCACTTCCAGGGAGGGGCAGCGAGAACCGCCAGTCTTTCCTGGGTTTCTGCTGCCTGGCGCTGCCCCCGGGGCGCCCCCGCTCCACCCGCGAGGCCGTGCGGCTCCGCACTCACCGGTAGCCCATGTCCTGGCACGCTGCCCGCCCGTAGCTCTCGGTCCAGTCGTCTAGGCACACGGGGTGCCAGGACTTCCTCTGAAACGAGTACACCTGGAGGATGAAGTTTGGGCCGTAGAGACGAACTGCGTGAAAAGAGACGGCCCGTGAGTGCCAAGCGATTGGCCCAACCTCCGCAGGAGCCCCCGCTTCCCCAGGACAGAAACGCGCGGAGGTGGCCGGGTCCCGCTCCCTGAGGCGCCGGCCGCTCCGGAGGGATGCCACCAATCTCTCCTTTCCCAGCTGAAAGGGGCTCTATACCCAGAACAATCAAAAATAGCGGTTCAGACAAAGCCGTGTACGCAGGTGTTCCCAGCCAAAAGGTGGAACCAGGCAGAAACAACCCAGGCATCCGCCAGCAGACAAGTGCACACTATGTGGTCCATGTGCACAAAGGAATGCCACTCGGCCACAAAGGGGACAGAAGCAGCGACACACCAGAAACATCCGTCAACCCTAAAGACGCTGCTGAGTGACGGGAACCAGGCACGAGGGGCTCGTTCCAGCGCTGTGGTGCATCCAGCATAGGAACTCTGCAGAGACCCAAAGGAGGTTAGTGGCTGTTTAGGGCTTAGGGGCTGGCAGGAGCGATAAGGGGGTGCCAGCTCAAGGATCCCTTCTGAAGCAACAAACATAGTCTAGACTTGGTCACAGTGATGGCCACACCTCTCTGAATAGGTAAAATCCACGGAATTGCACACTCCCAAAGGATGAATTTTATGGTAGGGGAATTCTGTCTCAATAACGCAATTTGCAGAAATAAATGAATAAGAGTAAAGGTTTTTGAAAAATGCTCTTTCAATAATCACTTCAAGTCGCACGTGGACCGTCTCTCGCCCAAACCCTGGGCCCAGCCAGGGCACCCAAGGATGTGCCCAGGACCTCGTGTAAGGCTCTGCCTCAAAATTCATCCACATTTTGCCCAAACCACTGCTTTTCAGTTGAAAGAGATCACACTATATAAATACAGTGTGAGCCCCTTCCAGTTCCATTCCTTTCTCTCCCTAGAAGTAGTGGCAACTCCGAATTCTGAGGCTGTTTCGTTGTGTGGGAGAACGGTACGTGGGGACTCACAGAGTGGAGCCCTACATGACTTGGGTTGACCGGAGCATCATGTGAAACCATGCTCTGTGGCTTGGGGGGATGTGTGTGGGCTAGACATGTCAAATGCAGGACCGGCCATCCTCAGGCCTCATTGCCCCCTCCTGTCCGTGGCCCCTGGCTTGCTGGACGGCCTGACTGACCTTCCTCTGTGAACTCTCAGCCTCGACCTAACGATTTCCCAACACTTGGTGATGAGCGACTCCGCATGCCACATGTGAGCTAGCCACGTGTTCGGTGAGTGGATAAACACACTCTGCCGGAGCCGGACAATGGGATATTATTCAGGGCTAAAAAAGAAATGAGCAATCAAGCCATGAAAAAGGGGAAACATAAATGCATATTAACTAAGGGAAAGAAGCTAATCTGAAAAGGCTACATGAAGTAGGAGTCCCACTCTAGGACATTCTGGACAATGCAAAGCCATGGAGACAGTAGAAAGATCAGGCGCTACTTGGGGTTGGGGGAAGCGAGGAGGGAAGGATGAACAGGTGGAGCATAGGGGATGTTTAGGGCGGTGAAATTACTCTGTATGACACTATAAATATGGAGACATGTCATTATACATTTGCCCACGGTATCGAGAGTGAGCCCTACTGTGACCTCAGGACTTTATTTATAATAATGTATCAATATTGACCCATCAATTGTAACACATGTACCACACGCGTTAGTGGGCCAGGTCCCCAGGAGGGGGCGCTCGAGAGGCAACCACACATTGATGTTTCTTTCCCTCTCTCCCTCCCTTCACCTCTCTCTAAAAAATAAATAAATAAAATCTTAAAAAAAGACATTTCATTTTTGATTTGTGGATAATTTGGGAGATTTTTTCCCCTTCCAACTATCGGCATTCAGATGCTGACTAGGAAGACAGTCCATGAACCAGTGAGCTGGTGGCTGGTCTCTAGCAGGCTTTGCTTTTTTTTTAAGCATCATGATTTTTTTCATTTTACCTACGTATAATGGACAAATAAAACTTTTACAAAAAAGTTTTTTATATACGTATTTGAGGTATACAACTTGGTGTTTCAAAGTCTGCATGCATTGTGAAATAATTGCCAGAGTCAAGCAATATATGCATCACTTCAAGTTGTTTCTTTGTTTCCTTCCCTCTTTCCCTCCTGCCTTCCCTCCTGCCTGCCTTCCTGCCTTCCTTCCTTTTGTGGTGAGGACGCTTACACCTGCCCTTTTAGCAAATCTCGGGTGTCCAAAACAGTATGTTAACTGTGTCACCTCCCGTGGTCCTTCCGTTCCTCTGCTGACGTTTTAACACTCACAGAAAGCACAGCAATAGGCGTAGAAAGCAGAATGAATGTTAAGAATATGCATATTATATATTTACTTATGTATGCCCTTGGAAAGAAAGCTCTACACATTCTGGAATGTTCTCCACGGGCTGAGTGGTGTTCTTTAATGTCCGAAGACGTGCACCCCGTGGAAAAGTATTTCCACTCTACAAGGTCAGATTAGAAGCACATCACAAGTGTGTTCTGCTCTACTATAGATCACATGCATCACGTTCGTCTACTTTGTTTTATATGCATAATCGATATGGAAATTAGATAGTACCACCTTGAGGAGGACCTTGCCCATGACAAATGCACGACCCTCCGATGCTGAGGTTTACTTCTGGGAAAGTTTCCCACCATGTGCTCACGTACTTGGCACAAGCATGTGACAGCGAATGGCTGGCAGCACTAAACTTCTACAGGGAAGAGACTGGTAACGAGGGCACATCACACAGGGAGCTCTGGGCAGCTGAGGGAAAGGGGGAGGAGCCCGTGTCCCGATTCCAGGATGCTTGTCAGCAAGTGCCACGGAGTCAGCTGGCTGGGAACCACTGGGAAATGGCCTTAACATGCAAACAATATTTGCTTTTTTTTATGCAAAATATAAGAAGCAAGACACTCATACTAGTTGTCTCCAAGATAAACCGTAACTGGCTGGTGAACAGGCATGTATGTATATATATGCAGTGTGTCTGCATGGCAGTGTGTGTTTGTATATGTGGTATGCATACATGAGAGTGTGTGTGTTTGTATACGTGGTGTGTCTACATGAGAGCGTGTGTTTGCATATATGGTGTGTCTATGTGAAAGTGTGTGTGTATGAGTATGTCCTTTATATGTGTATTTGTATACAGCCTCAAGAACCCCCCACTCCATGTAAGAAAATGGAGACAAATATTATCTATCATCACTAAAATAAAGGTAGGCACCATGTCGAAAGTTTGAGGAGTGTGCAAACACTCCCAACCGGGAGCTCCTGGCACAGAGTCAGAGGCATTCGCTCAAGGACACAGGTGACCACGCAGGTGGGAGAGGCCGCCCCGGGACCCCGGCTTCCTCAGGGAGGAATCCCGGAGCCAGGACGGATGGCACCTCCCATACAGGTGGCCCGACGTGGAAGCGAGGATGTGCAGGAAGGGAAAGCTCGCTGAGGAGGACCGCAGGGGAAGGAAGGTGACCCCCAAGTGGACGGTCTTTCCCCAGCGTAAATTGTGTGAAGCACTATCGGCTCACAGGTATGGCTGTCCGTGACAGCAGTCCAGCCCCGGTACACAAGCGTCACTTCCCCTGTGACAGCCACAGAGAGCTAGTGTGTGCTCCAGTTTGCATATTACCCCGGTTGCTCATTTTCACTGCTGTGCAGGGACATCCTATGCAGACGGGAGTGGGCATGTCCCAGGAACTGGTCCTGTCCTGTCCCTCCCACTGCTGTGTGATGCAAGGCGAGGAGCACACCCTCTCTGAGCCTGTCTCCTCCACTGAAAATTGGGGTTAACCCAAGGGTCCAGGTAGGGACTCAGGGTGGAATGGACCTCTGTGTGGGACACGGGCCTGCGCCATCACGCCCCCTGACATGGCGGACCCCGGCCCCTGGCCCCTTGGCTGTGTGCAGTCCCCCGCTCACCGCACTGGTTCTCGTCCTCCCCGCGGGGACAGTGAAGTATCCCATCGCACCAATGAGAGGCGCTGACGCAGGTCCCCGAGGAGCCGCACTCCATCCCCGACACTGTACACTTGTTCTCCGCTGGCAAAGAGATGGGAGGGAGGCACCTGTCAGGCTCAGAAGCCAAGGAAACCGCCTCGCACCCACTAGAGTTCTGTCGTCCACCCCTGGAAGAACCCTTCCCCTGAATTTTAACAGGGAGGGGACACGTCCTTGCTGCAACCTATCACAGAAAAAGGGGCCGCAGGCCAGTGATGCGGAGCCCTCCTCTGAGGGCGAGGGAAGACTCCTGGCCTTGGACAGGCGGTGCGTCTTCCCTGCACGGCCCGAGGCTCATGGAAAAGAGCTGGTGCCGGAGGGGCGGGGGGTGGCAGCACACCAGGCCAGCAGCGGCCACAGCGGTACACACTGTGATGCAGGGGACCGGGTGTGGCCCCAAGGCGGGGAACCTGTGCTCAGAGTGCCAGGTGGCACCGAGTGCCCCAAAGCACTGGGTAAACTTGAAATGCTTCTCCCACCATGTGTCAACACCACCCAAATGGCACGGGGTTAGGGAGAAGCATGCCACCCAGACAAGGAGATTGCTAGCTTCCAAGAATGGCTACGCATGCCTCACTGTGACTAAACAGAAGCAAAGAGAAGGCAGCTCGTTTTGTAAGAAAGGAAGGTCAGGAAGGGCCATGGGAGGGACCCCCATCCGGGAGAGCAGAGCCACGGAAGCGTCAGCACACGGCGACGCCCGTGCACCCAGCCCCAGCCTCGAGCCGCGCCCTCCCCAGCTTCAGGGTGGCTCCATACTTACTGAACTTCCAGAGCAAGACAGCGGCTACCACGGCCCCGGCGAGGACGGTCACCAGGGCGGCGGAGATGCACAGCGCCTTCTTCGTCTCTGAGGGAAAGACACATACTTACAATTTATTGCGAAGACTTTTTTGAAGTGACACGCTCAAATTTTACCCACTACTTTTATGAGATGGCCTATCAAGAAATAATCATTTTGTATGCACTTAAAAATGTGACTTTTAAGGGTGTATCCTCGGAGGTCTTCACTGCTCCATTAAACTAAACCTGATGCTTTTTGGAGACCAAAAGCAGGAAGCGATGATATAAAGCAACGCGTAATAAAGTTAAGCTCTTTTAAAAAGTATGGTCTTCCCCTGGCCAGGCAGCTCAGTTGATTATGGCATCATCCTGATGTGCCAAAGCTACAGGTTCAATCCACAATCGGGGCACATACAAGAATCAACCAATGAATGCAACAAGTGGAACAAGAAAAATCAATGTTTCTCTCTCAAATCAATAAATGAAAACTTTAAAAAAATTTTGAAGTGTGATCTTTAACAGGGGAAAGAAGGGACAGGGTCAAGGGACGTGTACAAAGGACACATGGACAAGGACAATGGGGTGGGGATTGTCTTTGGGAGCAGGGTTTGGCCCAGGCAGCGGAGAGCGATGGGGGGGAAATGGGGACACCTGTAATTGAACAGCAATAAAAAAATTTGAAAAAAAATAAGGTCTTAAAATTGTTAAATCAATGATTAATGTAAAGGATTGCCTGAAAGGGTAAAAGTACTTTGCTTCAGCATAAGTACAAGCATAAGTAAAATAATAATAATAATGTCCCCCAAATTGTCACCCTGTCCAGGTCAGTGGTACTGAAGGCAGGAAAACTGTCTCGTTCAAGGCGGTCAGTGAGTGATACTACGGACACACACTGACCTGTACCAGCCACTAGCCACGCGTGGGTGTTTGCACGTCTGTTAATTGCAGCCCAATGACTAAATAGTTAGGTAAATTCAAGTGCTCAGCGGCTCCTGGGGGCCACGGGCTACCCTGCTGTCACTGTGCCAAGTTCTGCCAGGAAGCGCTGGCATCGGCCCTTCAGTCTGAGAGCAGCAGCATTTTCAGCTAAGAATGAAGACTCTGGGAAAGGTAACCAGTGTTCGGAGGTCAAAGTTAACTGACATGCTGCTGTGGGTCAGGAGGTGAGCCCAAAGTTGCAGAAAGGTTCAGAGGGCAGCTCCAGACACCCCGATGCCCAGCCGTTCCTCCGTGGGGCGCAGCCCCAGGCCCAGGGGTCCCTCTTCGGAAGGAAGGCGGAGAGGTAGAGGGCAGATGGCGGAGAAGGCATTTAAACAGACCCTCCAACCGCCGCGGTTTACCCAGGAGGACAGCAGGCTGGAGAGGGAGACCGCATGGGGAGGCCTGGTGCGCCCCCAGGTACACATTTGCGCTCCCGAAGGCAGGCAGGGCAAGTTCAGCTCTGGAGTGGACAGACCGGAGCTGAGCCATGGGGTTGGGGCTCACAGCCACGCCTCTGGATGTTATCACATTCTTCGCATTCCAGTCTGTTCTCAGGCTGTAACAAACAGGCTTAGGGACACCTGGGGAGCCTGCGGACCAGTTGCCTGGCGGTGGCCCATCACCAGAGATTCCGATTCAGATGGGGACAAGGGAGGCAGGAATCTGCAGCTCTGACAGGCGGGCGGGTGAGGTCAAGGCCACTGGTCTGAGGAATGCCAAGTGTCACCATGCCACATAGCAGAACTTGGCCCACAGTGACTCCGTCTTAGGCAGGCAGCCTGGAGTCAAAGAGGCCGCGCTCTCTGGAGAAATCCCAAATGGCCCACTGGCCCAGGATAGTCGTTTCCTTTGGGCGATTTCCATGTGTGTCGCTTTATTTAAGAAAAAAGACAGCTTGCCTGGCGGGTTAAGGGATATTAAATTGGGCAGCCGTAACCTCTCGGGTGTGCGGCAGGCAACTTGCCGGCCCTCACGAGGAGCACGTGGGCAGTGCGTACTCCCGGCCTGTCTTGGATGGACAAGCATTTTACAGTCTGTGTCTGTTCGGTCCAGACTTGACTCAGGACTGGCTTGCAGCCGTGTCTGCTGTTGAGTTTAATGATGACCTCCTGTTCACTTAGCTTTATCCTTATCAATTTAGTCGATCGCTGGTTCAGCCCTGCTGTTTCTAGTGCTGACTCTCAATAGCACCACAGGCTGGTTGACCCTCATTCTCCAAAACCTAAATTGCGAGATGTGTATACACTTTGATTCAGTGTGAAACACCCGTGACTGTAGCTAATGCAAACAGATGCATGAAGTCCAAGAATGCCCCCTTGTACTCCCGATGAGGAAATCTTCTGATTAGTGCTAAATAACTTGAAAAGTCTTATCAGGGCTCTGACGAGGCTACACGCTGCACAATTCCAACTCTGACACTTTGGAAAAGACAGGACTATGGAGACAGCAAGAAGATCAGTGATTGCCATGCGTGGGTGAGAGAGAGAGAGGGATGAACAGGTGAAGCACAAAGACTTTTAGAGCAGGAAATTATTCAGTAGGGTCCTGTAAAATGATCACGGGCACATGTCATTATACGTTTGTCAAAACCAACAGAATAGAGGATAAAAATGGTATCACTCTAATGTAAAACTAGGACTTCAGTTAATAATAATGTATCACTATTGGCTGACCGATTTGAACAGGTGTCTCACACTGAGGTAAGACAACAAGAAACTTTGGGGGTGAGAGAAGGAAGTATACATGGACTCTCTGCACTCAAATTTTTTATAAGCCTAAAACTACTCTAAAAATAATAGTATGTTATTTGAAAAATACTTCCAAGGCCAAACATTACCCTTATAAAATATACAGGATCTGAGAGAAGTAAGGCCTGCTTGAGTGCGGTTGTGGGGTAATAATATGGCTGTTATAATTTATAGTTTTAATTTGAACATTTCACCTAACATGTTATACGGTGTGCTTGGGTGTAATAGTGTTATGTCACAGAATTACATGCTTACGATTTTGTAATAAAAAAGGGTGTTATTTGTGCCGGCCCCTGTATGCTTTATATGGTATAAGCCAACAAAATGTTCTAAAAATAATACCAAGGTAAGTTCAGTAAGCTATTTTAGAGTTTAAAAGGCAATTTTGGAATGCAAAATCATACGTGTAGGTTCATAGTCTTCTCTTACAAAAGTAACTGACAAGAGATTTATATTCCTGTCCAGCTGCCTGTGGTTACCAGGTTTTCCCCCGGAAAAGTAAAAACATACGCGGGCTCTTTCGGTCGGCCTGTGTTTTAGTCACTGGTACGACTACCACCCGCTAAAGGTGCTGACCTCAGGAAGGGACCCCTGGTTTCTGAGCAGGGTCCTCTCTCTTTAGGAGGCAGGTACCACTCTCAGGGGTTCCTTAACCCCCTTCACCTGGCCTCCTTCCCACCACCCTGGCCGCTAAAGATCTCAGGCTAGCATCTCAGCTGGATCCTTCTTGGTTTGGGGCCATCTTGTGCACTGGAGGATGTTTAGCAGCATCCCTGGCACCCACTCAGGAGATGCCAGCAGCAACCAATTATGCCCGCCGCCAATTATGACAATCAAAACTGTCTCCAGACTAACATCCCTGGGGATCAAAATCACCCCTGATTGAGGACCATTGGTCTCCACCTACCCAACCACCACCAGAAAGACAGCGTGGGAGACAAGCATTGCCTTGAGCAGAGACAGTAATGGAGAGGAAAGAAGAAGCTCACAGGAAAGGAGAAGAGACAATTGAGGGGGAGGAACCAGGGAGGGGCAGCAAATGCTGGAATAAAGGAGACCAGAAGTTGGCAAAGAGAACGAGCAGCCAGAAGGAGCCCCGTGAAGGGGGAGGGAAGCGGAAATGCAGGAGTGACGGCCAGTGCATGTTGACAGCTGGGGAAGTCAGCCAGGGAACAGGGGTCCCCAAATAACACAGGTGCTATTTCAATTATTTATGCTGCAGGGAGCCCATGCAAATTCACTTTATTATTCAGCGCCAGTTGTATACACATGCATGCACATCTCCCCAGATAGAAAAAAAACGCTGCCCATGCCAACGTTAGTTGGGACAGCCACTGCACTGGTCCTAGGAGAGGACTAGCTGTTCCAGTCCACTGCCCCACTGGGCAGTTCTTAGCATGAATGAAGACAAAGAAGGGGTCTGGAGCGGAAGAAGACAAAGTCAAATGCAAAGGAGATGAATGAGAGGATATAAGAGATGTGCGATCAAATGACGAGCAAAGGAGCCCTGTCTGGTGGGGCTCAGTGGATTGAGTGCCCACCTGAGAACCAAAGGGTCACTGGTTCGATTCCCAGTCACAGCACATGCCTGAGCTGCAGGCCAGGTCCCCAGTAAGGGGTGCGTAAGAGGCAATCGCACAGTGATGTTTCTCTCCCTCTTTCTCCCTCCTTTCCCCCGCCCCCAAAATACATAAATAAATAAAGGCTTTTTTAAGAAAAAGTGATGAGCAAAAGATACAGGGTCATCGATCCCTTAGCTCTCATCTCTATGGCCCACATAGGTCTGTCTATTGGTCATTAAAGCCAAGACAATGTCACATCTCAACAACCACACGAGCCCCTTCATTGCCTAGATACAAAATCCTCATTGAGCATCTTAACCACAACGGGCTGTATGTGTCTAGTGCCCTACACTAGTGCACCACAAGGGAAGACGAGATAGTTTATTCCTGCATCCAGAGCTTGCCGTTTATTTATTTAAGATAAACAACACAGGCAAGGAACAGTGAGAGGAGCCCATCCTGAGAGACCATCCTGGGAGGCAAAGCTGGGACAAGGGAGTTAAGGGAGCACCAAGATCTTTGCAGCCCACACTCCCGAGAAAGGCCCCAGGGCAGGAGGTGACACCTGGCAGCAGCCAGCTTTGACACAGAGGAGGGAAGGGGAAGGGCACACTAAACAGACCTGCCCCCGCAGCAGGGGAGAGCTGGTCACAGAGCGGGTGAGGACAGAGAGCCCGCTAGAGAAGACGATGGACCCCAAACTTGGGTTCCATTATAGGAAATAAATGCAAAAAGGGTCCTACTTGAGGTGCACGGTGTCCCCGATGGGGATTTGGGCTGCGTGCGGATGGCAGGTGTCGAAGTGCTCGTCAGAACCCTTGGGGTGTAGTGCGGTACCGCGGGTGGGTAGTAGTGGGCCGGGTACACCGAGAAGGCTCTGGCGGCCACGGCGGGCTGCGGTGGGTACAGGCTTTCAGGCTGGTATCCGTGGTTTTCGTAGTAAGGCCCGACGCCTGGTGGTAATCCCTAAACAAGTAAAAAGAAGATGAATAATAGGAAACCCTAATGACCCTAAAGGTTGAAGACAGGGTCTGGTACAAATGACACCCCTTTTTTATTACAAAAATCTTTTATTATGAAATCATAAGCACGTAATTCTGACATAGCAATATCACACTCAAGCACAACACATGGCATTTTAGGTGAAATGTTCAACTTAAAACTATAAACTCTTACACCCGTACTATTACCCTACCAACCACACTCCAGCAGGTCTGCCTTCTGCCGGACCCCGTACACCCCCTGGCACTCGGACAACACCCTGGAAGGGGTCAGAGGATTCTTTTAGGGCGTCTATAATTACGCCAGAAGCTAAACTTACCTAGAGTAAAAGCTAACCAGATGTGTTAATTAATCGTCAATAGAGAGTAGTTTTGTTTGTTTGCTATTCATTTTTTTTATTGAGGTATAATTGATGTGTAATATTATATCAGTTTCTGGTGTACCACATAATAATAATTTGATATTTGTACAAACTGTGAAATGATCACCACAACAAATCCAGTTAACTTTCATCACCACACAGTTACAATTTTTTTTTCTTACGATGAGAACTTTTAAGATCTATTTCCTTAGCAGCTTCCAAATATGCAATCCAGTACTGTTAGCTATAGCCACCATGTTGCATCACGTCCCCAGGACTCATAACTGGCAGTTTGTACCTTTTTGACCCTCTTCACCCATTTCATACACTCAGTTTTTATGAAAAAGTATTTACGTCTGGGAATGAGTCAGTACCTTGAGAATGGGGTGCCAAGTGATGAACTAGTGATGCCAGAACTATAAAGACACCCATTTTGCAGAGACATGTGAGTAACAGAGGTTAAGAAATTTACTTATGCATGTTATTTGCAAATTCCTTTTCTATCTCCTCTTATAAAAATGTGTCCTGTTTACTCACCATCTCTTATTAATGGGCATGCACCTGGTTTACAACGGGGGCTGCTTAGCAGTTCTGCCTAAACAATTTCCTTCTATAGCACATGCATTTTTTTGGAGAGTATGGGGACTTCTGTGGCTATGTCCCTGTGGGCGGAATTTCTGGGCCCAAACCCCACCAGCCTACAGTCTTCCCCACATCAGCGGCCCTCAGTCACCCACTGGCTGGGAGGCCACACTTGCCCCATTCTCAGCACCTGAGGTCCCCATGCAAACCTTCCCGCTCATTAATTTCTCCGCCTATTTCTTATTGATTGCGATTTCAGAGAGGACTAGAACTCTGAACAGAGGCAACACAACGCTGAGTATTTTAAACGGAGCCTCCAGGGAAGCGTGATTATAAAGCAGTGAGCCACTGGCAGGTTCTCAGCTTAATAACTCACCAACACTCTCCTTCAGAAGTCTAAAGATTATGCATCTAAACCAGAGCTGCAGACAGGAAGAGAAAATGAGATGCAATCTCCCATCTAAATGGGCCACCAGAGGCAAAAACAGGCAGCACGTGTGTGCGGCCTCTATCGGAAGCATCTGAGAACATGCCGTCCACCCCGAAAGGCTGCCGCAGGCTCGGCCGTTTGTCCCTGCGGGTTCCCGTGCAGTAGACTGGAAATTTAAAATGGGCCCAGGGAATACATATATACCGGTCACAAGTAAAGGAGTGTTGGGGGCCTGGGGGACAGGTGTATTTTCCAGATATAGGATCTAGAAAATGGTTGTTAACCACGTCCCTTTACTAAGTGCACCTACTCCCAGGTATACAAGAGGTAAAATGAGCCAGTGAGAAGTGACGGTGAACAAGGATAGCGCATTTGTCTCCCATGGGCGGCGGTGGGGTTCAGGGAGAGCCCCGTCCTGGTGTATCAGGAAGCTGGGCCACACAAAGGTCTGCTGGCCCAGCCATGCTACCCGCTTTCCCCCCCTGCACTTACATCCTCTTAGCACCATCCTGCCCCCCCAACGGGGCCCTGTCCTCTGCCCCATCCCCACCCTCAGAACAGGGAGAGAATAGGCCAAGGGGAGGACCTACCTCTCCCCACACCCACCCACGGCTTTGAGGCCCTCGTCCGTGCAGCTGCTGTGTGGCCACACCTGACTCCTGCTCACCTGTGATGAATGGAAACCCTTGGCCAACACCCACGGATCATACGCAGGCCCGACAAACAGCTCTGAACGTGCTGAGCAACACACGTCCCAGGAAATAACAGAAGGAAACAAAGAAAAGTCCAGGAAGGTAGTGGTTAATCACTTACTGAGTTTAAAGCCATCCTGACTTTATCAGCTGCATCAGGTAATGGTAGGTATTTGGAATGTTCAAGGTGATCTAGAAGAAAGAATGATAAGACTGTAATATTTCCATACCAGTTAGCTTCTGGGAGATCATTTGAGAAAGAACTAGAAGGCTGTCTAGGTGAGAGGTGCCTTTCTCCGGAACCAACAGCCATGCCCTCCCAACAGCTGGTCACTGCAGAAGTCTGGGGACACAGCCACGCCCTCCCCTAGGCGACCTCTGCCTAAAGGAGATTCTGGGGACCAGAAGCACACACAAGGTGACTCAAAGCCCCGGGTTCAGCAGAGGCTACAGGGAGGCAAACCCCTGGGGCCAGCTCCCAGCACGGCCACTTCCTGGAGGTATCCCTGGGCAACAGCTGGACCTTTCTGAACCTCAGACAGGACGGATGGAGTCACGGGCACTGTCTTGTTCATTGCGGATTCAAAGAGAAGGTGCAGGCAAAGCCGGGCGCGAGTGACGGCAGGTGCCGTCAGACGCTGCCTCACTCGCTGCTGCACAGAGAGCACCCGCGGGCACGAGATGAGGGAGGGACCTCCCGCCCACCCTGAGCAGGTGGCCTAGAACTTAGCACCAGGTAGAGGCCACGCCTGACTTGTCAAAGAAGCCATATGGAATCTTCCATTTCTCAATAAACATATGTAAAAATTAAAATAAAACAAAACGCATCCACACCCACCCACTACTCCATGTACTGGCTTAAATCCAGAAATGAAAGAAATTCAGAACTAGTTCTTTGGACAGTTTCTCAGGAAAAGAAAGCCCTGGGCCGTCTGTTTGCTGATGTCTCTGAATGGTCCACAGTGAATTGTTCCCATCTAGAGAGACCGCCAACCTGAAAAGCTCTATAGGGAAGCCCCATCTGACGTCACTCTCGCTCTTGTGAGCCAACAAGGGCCTTTCCCTGCTTTCTGGCAATGACCACAGACTGTTGCGAGGAGGTCACGCGTCCACCGGCCACGCCTCCCCCAGACCGCGTCCCAGTGAGAAAGCTCTGGGCTTCGAAGCTGGTCAGATCAGGTCTGCCTATGTTCCAGCTGTAAAGTGCCAGGTACACAGTAGGTGCTCCAACGGCAGCAGGCAGCACCGCGTGTGGTGAAGCCTGTGACCCCTGGGACTAGCCTCTGGACCCAGGCCCCAGCTCGGTCCTTCACTAGCTGTGACCTGCGGCAAGTCAGTTAATGTTTCTGGACCTCTGTTTCCTCGTCTGCAAAAAGGAGGTAATAGTAACACAGACCACCCGGCTGTGGACCTCCCGGCTGTGGGGGGTGTGAGGTGAGCTGATGCCAGTGAAGCTCTTCATGCCTGGCACACAATAAATGCCACAGACATTTCTCTTTTATTTATTTTTTAAGATTTTATTTATGTATTTATTTAAGAGGGGAAGGGAGGGAGGAAGAGAGGGAGAGAAACATCACTGTGTGGTTGCCTCTTGCACATCCTCTACTCGGGTCCTGGCCTGCAGCCCAGGCATGTGCCCTGACTGGGAATCGAACCCTTTGGTTCGCAGACCAGCACTCAGCCCACTGAGCCACACCAGCCAGGGCCTTCTCTTATAAATAAAAGTGGTTGAAAGGCTGATAAATGTTGAGCAGTCTGCTGGGGGAGTGGAGGGGAGCCACTCACGGCATTTGCAGATTTGCATCTGGTAAGTGCTCCAGAGCTACCAGTGAGAAGTCAGCGAGCTCTGGGAATCCAGCAAAGCCAAAGGCAACAGAGCCTGCTCCAGCACAGCTGCCTTGCTGTCCTCTTAGCAAAATTATTATATGACTCACTAACCTAAAAATAACAACAGGCCCTCACTGGTGTGGCTCAGTAGACTGAGCACTGGCCTGCAAACCTAAACGTCGCCGGTTCGATTCCCAGTCAGGGCCCATGCCTGGGTTTTGGGCCAGGTTCCCCAGCTGGGGGTGTGCGAGAGGCAGCCAATTGATGTATCTCTTGCACATTGGTCTTTCTCTCCCTTTCTCCCTCTGTACCCCTCCTTCTAAGAAGGAAATAAATACAATCTTTTAAAAAATAAACTAAAAATAACAACATGCTATGAAAAAAAGAAATACAAGGATGGTTTTCTCATCCTGGGAAACCTTGGTGAATAGAGCCCCTCGAATGCACCAGATCATTTATTTACTCTTCATGTAGATAAAATATAAGAACCAGTTCATATTGATAGCATTGAGATTTTTTAAGATTAAAAAAGAAGTTAATAGCTTTCTGGGCAAGAAGAAAAAGAACTGATCAGTATGCAAGGGGAGGGGTCACCATTTAGAATGTAAATATACCATTTAAGCCTTTACATGGTGTGATTATCACATATGCATACACCTTTCCTGCCTATGCCCCCTAAGCAGAGAGCCTTCCAAGACTTAACATCTACGCAGTAAGCTCCTCCCCACTCTGGTCTAAGCAGGAATAAACTCGTCGCCTTCCTAAGATTACTTTCAAAAGAGCCCTGGCCCAGCAAACATTCTTGCCCCTCTGGTTTGTCTGCTCTGGGTGGCAGTCACTGCCTGTGCCTCTGAGCTATCTCACCAGTTATAGGTTTGGATGAAGTTTCAGGAAATGAACATTCGATCCCATTGGCGGCTTTCCCAGGTGAGGAGCCCTCTGAAAGGAATCGATGCTTCAAATCCAGGCTTCCTATTCATTCAAGATCCCTAACAGTGAGACAAGGAAGCCGGAGCGGAGAGGAAGGCACACAGTGGGCTGCGGCCGTGAACGGTCCAGCAAAATCCCGGGGACCCAGAGGAACGGCCGGATATTCTGCCTCATCCAGCGATCCCACAGCCCATGAGACTCAGAACCAAAAACACCGAGCGCGCCTAGAGAAGCTCCCCCGACTTTGGAATAGAAGACTGGACTTGTGCTGCCTACATCGTTCTCAGGCCAAGCAGAAGGGACAGGAATGGCCTCACAGTGGAGCTGGGTCTGAAAGAAGACCCCGAGAGCACCTTCCGTCCGACTCCTCTCTTCGAACGGCCGGCATGTCCAGGCCCACGCAAGACAGCAAATCTCCAGCTGGTTCCTGAAAGGAGCCAGGCCCCTGAGACGGCAGGAGAGAGAGAGAGAAAACACTGCACCGTGAATGTCCTTTCCTGTCATTTAAAGGACATGGGTGATTGTACCTCCTTCCAAATGCCAGCCACAATGAAGCACTTTTCCTTTAAGTGATGAAAAGGCAAATTATGTTTCCAAGGTCCTAACCCCACCGTGTTGTCAACCAGCTCCAGTGTCCTGTGGGTGAGTCACATCCCAGAACACGGTCGTTTCGGTCCGCTGTGGGCCTTCCTTTCAGGGAGCTCAGTCACACCTGAGTCACCTGCGATCGTGCCGTGGACTACTACTAGCTGCACCTCATGACCTAATAGAGCTATTCCCAAACAAGAAGAGTCTCTTCCAATAGTGTCTTTCCCCTGGACATCCCAGCATACAGTGGCTAGAGACTAATTTGGAAAATCCCCAAACTCATACAAACAAGCTCAGTCTCCCAGATACTCCCACCCAGGGGCTCAGCGCTGTTCCTTATAACCAAGGCTCCGCCCACCTCACCACTCGCCCCCAGTCACGCATTCGCTGAGGCACAGAGCCCCACTGGGTGCCTTCAAGGGGCTGCAGGTGTGACAGGCCCATAAGGCCCACCTTCCGGGACCTCAGATTCTATGTCCCTTCTTCAAACTCCAACGCCAGCAACCGCAGCAGATATTCCCTATCCAATGGACAAATGACCCACGAGAGTCCCTTATGCCCAAATGCTGAACAAAATCCCATTATACAAAAAGATGCTCTCATATCCATTGGGGACGTCATACACTGTTAAAGTTCACAAGCAGTGGTCGATTTAACTAACAGTTCAACACCAGCACGCATAAGGGAAGTGGACAAATGGCACACACAGTGACAAGAGAGACAGACAGAAACAGACAGACATCACCTCAGGAGAAGCATTGCCTGCCATGTCCTCATTTCTTTTCTGATGAAAGCCTCATTGTTCCAACAAACTTTTTAGGGCAGGCTTTGGGTGTGGTCCCTTTTTATTTTTACCTTTTTTTTTTTTTTTTAAATCTAGCTGGTATCATCTAAAGGAACTATTCCAGTATTCTTTGAGTTCCAAAGGCCAAATGAGTAAGGTGCAACGTAAGAGCGAGAGAGCTGATAGCCTGTAACTGCACAAAACCCCACAGGTTCCGGGGTGCAAAACTGAGCGCACGCCGAACGCGGCAGGCGGTCCCCAGTGCGTGCCTAGCGTGACGAACGGCCCAAGGTCTCTCCAGGAGGCAGTGGACAAAGGCCACTGGCTAAAGAACTTGCTCCCCTGGATCTGTGAAACAGGGATAATGTAAGTAAGCGGGGTTGTCCCAAGGACGTGCCCAACACACGAGGGGCGCTCAGCAATAACACGACAGCAGCTAGGATCTGCCTTCCTCTATCAAAGGGGCTGTGGTGTGGAAACGGGGCTCTGTTTACTCTGTGTAAATCTAAAAGACAAAACCAGGATCAAAATGGTCAGAGTGTCAGGAAGGTGGGCTTAACTCAACCCAGGGAAACCATGTTTCCAGCCATAAGAAAGTTCAGATGTCCACTGGGTTGCCTTGGAAAGGACAGAGCTATCAATCCTAAAAATGTTTGATTTAATACTGGCAGATCATTTCTCAAGAATATTCTAGAACAGAGCTGGGCTTTCACTCGGAGGCCAGACATGATGACCTTCTCTTCTGTGTGGTCAGAAACTCGAAGAATGAAACCCACCCTGCCTAGGAAACCCAGATGCAGGGCTGAAATGAGGTCAGGTGCGGCGCCCGGCCAGGAAGGCCCCTTCAAAGGCACTGACCTTAGAGGGAACCTGACGCTGGGTCGCGAGCCACATGTGAACCAGCAGCAATAAAGACTGGGCCTCGTTTCATCTTCCAATTCAGCCCTCACTTGGAAATATGTTTCTAGCGAACGTCCACTAAACCACCATTGCCACGCCCTGTCTCCTCACCCTCCTCGAGCGCCTAATTCTTCTGTCCATGCTGTCCTTGCGTGAACTTCCAGCTTCAGCAGACACACCCGCAAACATGCGGTGCCTCCAAACATTTTGTCTTATCACATTTCTGCACCCACGCCCGCTCTTGAATGCCGCCCTCCCTCCACCCCGCACGGCTGCCTGATGGCTCCCTTCCATCTGGACACCCAAACCAAATGCCTGCCATTGTCACCTAGAGAAAATCCTTTCCACCTCCTCCCTGGCTCACGTCCAATAAAAGCAAAAGCATGGCTTTGGGTCACCTTCTTTCTTCAAGCTCCCCTACCACAAAATCAGTCAGCCTTTCTCCCGAGGTGCTTCTGCTGCCGCCGGTGACAATTTCCCCACGTCCCAGTTCCTCTTCTCCTGACCACTGTCCAGTGGCCAGGGCAAGCCAGGTCCCAGGCTGGGCTCTTCTCCATCCTGACCTCAGACTCCTGCTCCAAACGGTCCCCAGGCTGCCTGCGTGAGCAGCCCAGCCCTCTGCGAGCCTCGGGGGTGTCCCCTGGAGAGGGAGTCAGGTCAGCGTCACCGGGGCACCGTGTTTCCACTTGCCTTCTGCCAGGGCCCACTGACCTAGGGACCTGCAAGCCAGATCTTCCCAAGCTGGCCACTGGCGCTCCCGACCGACCCCAAGCCAGGAAGGGGCGCAGCCAGCCCAACCCCATAGGATCTCATCTTTTAGGCCCATGCCCAGAGGCCGCCAGATTGTCCTGGAGCAGACGACTCTCAGAGGTCCCTGGGAGGCACCCTGGAAAGTAAGGAGGGGCCAGGAAGAGCTAAGACGGCTCAGCAATTGTGGGACGTGGGCCGCCCTGGGGCAATCCAGAGCAGCAGGAGGAACGGGTGGGCAAGGCCTCGCAGCCTTGAATGCCCCTCCTGACCCTCCTCGACACACCCGTTCCTGGCAGCGACAGCTTCCAATCCTTAAGTGACCCAAACGAACCAGTTGATAAATTGACCCTGTCGTCTTCCCTTTCTGCGTCCACACCCAAGGCTTAGACTGGAGGGGTATTTTCCGGAAGATTTCGAAAAATAGACTCCCTGCTCCCAGAGTCTGCTGCAGCAGCTGGAAGAGGGACAATGATCCCACATTGTTACAAAGCTCCCCAGGGCTCCTGCCCCAGGTTTAGGTGGGAAAGAGTTGAGAGTCACCAGCACCGTGCGGGACCCAGAGAGGGGCGTCAGGACACTTATAAGATGACGATTATTACTGGCACAATGTCCTGTGTGTGTCTAGGTCTTTGTCTATAAGACATTTCAGCAGCAACTTGTCCCTCGATGCCTCATCCCCCAGGACGGGCAGGCGCACTGCGGGGTCCGGGGCACCCTGCCAGGTCATGCTGGAAGGGGCCAGCACACAGCCCTGCAGGCAGGGGGCTGGTCTCAGGTCGGGGGGACATTGGTCTGGCCCACAGGCAAGCCCCTTTCATGGGAGGACCCCCAGGCCTTGTTCTCAGTTCTGCTTTCTCCTTCTCCCCACTGGCTTTCGTGCATTCACACCCCCTCAGGAAGGCGAGGGACGAGACTCTTGTGCCAAAGGCCAGAGCCAGGTGGCCCGCCCTCATCCCCAGCTCCCCTGGAGGAACTTGGACAAGTTAGCTCACCTCTCTGTCAGTTTCAATTGCATTAAATATGCAAGGAATAATGCTCCTCTAAAAGAAAGAGCCACAGCCGTATTTGCTGTTATTCTAATACCCGCATGGTCAAATTTGCTCCTGCAGCTAATGTGACTGACCTGGGCCAGGCAGCCAGGGTGTGAGGTGCCAGGCTCCAAGGCACTCCAGGAACAACACAACGCCATTGTTAGAAGGTTGCCCTTGGGGGCATCAATAAAAAGGGAGGTGCTGGGAAACTAAACAAATGTCCAAAAAAGCCCATGCTGCTCACCTGCGGCTGGTTTTGAAAAACAGAAACAGAGGTTTGAATGACCAGTCTGCAGGGTGCCCAGCCCAGGGGACGCCCAGCTCCTGGGGGGAATGTTTGCCTGCTCAGGGGAGCCCCCGCCTGCTGCTCTAGCCGCACCTCCCCAGTAGGGTCTGCCGGGGTGGGGGATGGAGACACGTTTCACCTCCAGTAAAGCCGGAGGAGCAGGCAGCCACCTCTGGTGAATTCCTGGGGGGCTCCCCTTTACCTGGCCCACCAGACTCCCCGCCTCACTCAGCCCAGCGGTCGCCTAGGAGACAGGGCTTCTTCAGTGCCTGTGCACTCAGGTCCCCTGTCCGTCCCTGGAAACCTCCAAGCCACATTCCGCGGCCCGGCCCTTAGTCCCTGGAAATTGGCTCTATTCTCACTTCCTGGCGACCCTTCCCACCTCCTCGGCAAAGTCAACACCCGCCCCCCCCCCCCACCGCCACCCTCACTTTAGGTTTTCTAAACATCTTGGAAGGCCTCTTTGCTGCCCCTGTAATTTTCCGTTCTTTGGGTGGCTTTCCCCAGCTGTGATCGCCAGGAACACAAGGATGAGCGCTCCCCTTGGAGCCCTTTGGCGGCCTTCGGCGCCCCTGACCTTAGCCCCAGGATTACCGAGCGTGTTTCAATCGAAGGGTGCTGCAGCCTCGCGGAGGGGCCCTGGGGAACCAGGCCGACCAGGCCGAACTCGGGCACCCGGCGCCAGGCGCCCCAAGGAGCCACTTGAATCCCGTCCCCGGAGCCCCCGCCCTCCCCAATCAGGCCAGTCGCCTCTGCATCCGAAACGGGATTTCAGACCACTGAGCTGTGCGCTCAGGCCGGGCGGCCCCGTGCGGCACCGGCTCAGGGCTTCGAGCACGTAAATACCTGGTCATGAGCCAGTGCCGGCGGCCACCCGCAAACAGGGCCTCTGTGAGTGGACGCGCAAACTTTTAGGCCGTAAAGCAATTCTCCCGCAGGGACCGTGGAGGCTCGAGCAAGGTGCCCATTGCCTGTCTGGCGCGCTCGGCTGCCCGGCCGCTTTCCGGAGTCCGGCATGCGGCGGACCGAAGCTCCCGGGCGCCCGGACTTCTCCTGCAGGGAGCGCGCGCCCAAAGTCCAGGGCCGCTCCGCCCGACCGGTTCCTGCGGGTGCCCCGTGCCCAGGTGGCCGGCTTAGATCGCCGCTGCTGGGGCGCGGCAATGGGGCTCGGGCTAAGGGCAGTCCCTCTCCGGAGGCCGCCGAGCAGCTCGTGCCTCGCGCGGGAACCCTTCGGGAGCCTTTCCCCACCGTCCCAGCCGCGCCGGCCGTATCGCTCCGGGCATCTCAGCGAGTTTCCAGTTTCTCCCCACCTCGGGAGGGAACCAAGAAGCAGGAGTTCAGGTAACACTCCAGGGCTGCTGAGATTTTCCCGAAACAAAGAAACGGATCGACAATCCTCCCGCTTCCTCGTTCCCGAAGGAAAAACGTGCACCCCTGGTCCCCATCTCGGGGCCACAGAGAGCAAGTGGCGCAGGAGCCGGTTCCGACCGAAATGATCTGCCCCGAGAGACCCCCGAGGCACCCTCTTCTTGGATCAGTTGGCCAGGGACTCACGGGACAGCCTGCCCCAGCCGCGTGATGCCGGGGGCCTCCGAGCGGCGCGCCGAGGGGTCCCAGGCGCGCGGCATCCTCCAGGCCCCCACGGGGGGCGCTTCGCCCGGCTCAGCTCCTCCCGTCCGGCACCTGCCGCGCTCGCGCTGCGCACATCTGGCTTCACCGCCGACACCCCTGCCGAGCGCAGGGGTCGCCCTCGGCGCCCAGGAGCCCTCACCCCGCACCCCGCACAGAGACACTCACCTGCAGATCCCCGGACCCGGCGCTCCCGCCCCTCGGCCTTCCGCCGCCTCCGCCTCCGCCTCCGCCTCCTACAGAGCTCGCGTCCTCCTCTGTCCCGCGCGGGAGTCTCCGAACCTCCCCAGCACTCGTTTTAATCCCGGGAGGCGGCGTCCCAGTGCCCAGGGCGACACCCCCAGTGCAGGTACCGGTCACCTCTGGCGAGGGGAGGGGAGGGGATGGGCCGGAGCGGCGGCTCCCGCGGGGCCGGTCCGGGCGGGGGCGGGGCGGGGGCGGCGGGAGGAGGCGGTCCCCTAGGGAAGCCGGAGACGCGCTGCAAGCCCCGGCCCGCGGCGGGACCTGGACGGAACTTCGGGACGGTCCTCGGGCCTCGTTTTCCGACCCGCAGTTTAGGACTGGGGAGGAGCGCTTCTCCCTCCGCAAGTCCCTTGGACCTCGTCTGTCACGGGCGCTTCCAGCCTGAGGACTCGATTTGGGTTGAGGAGGGGAGTTCCGGCGAGCGCTGGTTGAGACCCCTTGTTAAGACCAGGAGCTGCTGCTTCGCGAGGGCCTGTAGACGCCCGGCCCGAACCTGGCCCCCGAGCCCCTCCTGGCCTCTCTGACCTCCGCCAGGACCCAGGAGTCGGCCCCCGGGACCGTTGGCCCAGGCACCAGCGCCGAGGACGCAGTGCTGCGTGCCCAGGACCGTCCGTAGTCCTCCTGGGCCTCCTTGCTCTGCCCTCGGGTCGAAGTCCCTTCCCCCTCCTCATGCCGTCCCTAGAAGTGGCGCTAGGACTTCCTGCCCACCAGAAGCAAGGGGACAGCGGGTGAGGAAAGGAAGGGAGATAGATAAACCTCAGTCCAGAAGGCATGGCACCCCGCCCCCACTCCCATTAAGAGACTCCAATACTGTTTGCAATACACCAAATAATGTGGATTACGTCAGCATAAGGTGGAAACACCAGAAAACCGACTTCATTCCAAGTCACATGCTACCTTGGCTCAGGGCTCCTTCCTGGGCTGGCCTCCCTGGCAGCTGGACTTTCCTAGTAAGCTCTTCCCCCCCCTCCTCTGTCCCTGCCCCTTAGATCCACAATAGGGGATTGTCCTGCACAGGCCCCAGTCCTACCTATCTCTCATACTTCACTGGCGTCCAGCTTGTCCTAAATAGAAGACCCTCCAAGACCGGATAGGCCAGGTCGGGTCCTTTTCTGGTGGCCATTCTCTTATTTGTTTTGAATAGTGTATTCGGAGCCCCCTAGGAATGAATGACACCATTGTTCCCCAAACCCCTAATGTCTCCTCCACACCAGGGAGTCTGTGTGTCTCTGCACTCAGCCCTCCTGTGGTGGTGGTTTTCTCAGCATCATTTCCCCTGCTTTTGGCAACGTTCTGGAATTTTTGTTGAGGTATGCACACCCCCCAGGAGCAGACCACCAGCTTGGGGAGCCAAGTCTGCTCAGTGGTCCTAGGTTGGTAGCGCCCCAGGCACAGGGCAGAAGCACATTCCTCTCCCGTGGAAGGCTGCCTGCAATGGTTAATTTCATGTGCCAGCTCAAGTGCGCTAAGGGACCCCCAGACAGCTGGTAACATGTCATTTCTGGGTGTGTCTGTGAGGTTGTGTTAGGAAGGGGGTTAACATTGCAGTCAGCAGACTGAGTAAGGAAGATCTGTCCTCCCCAGTGGGGTGGACATCACCCCATCCTTTGAGGGTCTGCACAGACCAAAGAGACAGAGGGAGGGTGGGTTTGCTCTCTTTGCGCTCAGTCATCGGCACCCCTGGCTCTCAGGCCTTTGGGTTCACACTGAATGATACCACCAGCTGTCCTGGTTCCAACTTGCAGATCACAGGTCTTGGGACTTCTGGGTCTTCAAAATCATGTGAACCAATACCTATAATACACACACACACATGCCCTGTCAGTTCTGTTTCCTTTGGAGAACCCTAACTAATACACCCCTTAACCCAGGAAAAATTCCCACACAGTCACAATCCCAATGATATTTAATTAAAAGCAATTAAAGTAAGACATAAAAATAGGCAAAACGGCAAGCAATGTAATCATAGATGTTGCTATTATTAGACACAGATGAAAAAATAAGTATGTTTACTATTTAAATAAAATAAAAGAAAGAATCCAAAACATGAATAAGAAGAAAAGACTGTTTAAAATTACCTGGCAGAAATGGGGAGAATATGCTAAAGAAAAATTTTAGAAATAATAATGCAAATTTTCAATAGCTGAAGAAGGAATCAATGACATGAAATATAAACCCAAGAAATTCACATAGAGGGACTAAGTTATTTTTTAATTATATAAAAAAAAGAAGCTAAGTGGTATGAAGAATAGAGTATGATGATCTAAAATATGTCTAATTATATCTTCAAATGTGATAATAAAGAAAACAAGGTGGAAACAATATTTGAAGTAATTATGTTTGAGAATTTTCCAAAATTGATGACAGTCATTAATTTTTAGATTACTGAAGCAAAACAAATCTCAGGCAGGAAAAAAAAAAACAACAGGAATCCACAGTTAAAGATAATATAGTGAAATTGTAGAAGTACCAAAATAAAGACAAGAGCTAAAAAGCATTTTGAAACAAAATGTCCCCAAATGTAAGGCAGAATATGGTAGAATAAAAAATTTAAAGTGTTGGGGAAAAATGATTGTCAACCTAGAATTTTATATCCTGTACAAAGATCTTTCAAGAAAGAAGGAAAAGACATTCCCAGACCAATCAAGACAGTGTTGACCACAATAACAAAACTTGAAAAGGATGTAGTTCAGTAAAAAATGAAATAATCCTCAAAGAAAATGCAAGAGGAAATGGTGAGTCCAGAAAATGGAAAAAACAAAAAGTGGGTGGACCTAACCAAACATGGACAAAATCAACAACACCAAATGAAAATGTTTAATTTGCAAAGGTAAGGAAATGACAATAGCAATAAAAAGTAGAAGTAAACTACTGGAAAATAATAGCATGGATACCTAGTCTCATCCCAAGTGGGATGAACAAAATGAAGACATTTCAATGATGGCATTATTCTGGAGAAGAATAAAAATAATGATTAACTTTAGACTTTGTTGAATGTATTTGTTAAAAGTTTAGTTACAAAAGAATAAAAATAGAGTATATATTGATTGTGTCTAAATCTAAAGTAGAAACAAGGGGAAAAAATTCAAGGAAACCAAGTGAAATAATGCAAAAAAGAAGGATGAAGGGAGGAGGAATAAAACTGAACCCAGAAAAACAAGACAATTCTTAATGTAGAACTACATACAAATTATCAGATTATCTAATTTTTAAGACAGCTGTAAGTTATTTATGAGACATATGTAGAATGGTCATACATAAAAGAAAGTTGGTTTGGCAATATTAATATGGGACAAAATAGACTTTAGAATAAAAAGTTGCATTGAGAATAAGGAGAGTCATTTTATAATGATAAGATAAACAAATCAGTTGAGCAATATAACAGTTGTGAGCATGTGTATACCAAACAACATATTCTCCAAAATATTTAAAGAAAAAATTTCTAGAACCCCAAATTCTTCAAAAATTCATCATCCTCTCTCATAGTCATGACAGGTCAAGTGAACCAACCAACCAACCCACCAACAAAAAACAAAACAAAAAAAACCCAGTAAAAATATAGAAGATTTGAACACCACAATGAGCAAGTTTATCAGTGGGCATATATAGACACCTACATGAAATAATTGGCCAGGTGGTTTTCCAGGTTATTTCTTAGAAACAGCTAAGAACCATACTATTCCAGAGTTTCAAAAATTCTTCAAAGGAATAGAAATACAGAAAATACTGTTCAACTCATCAATGCCTAAAGCAGGGAGGATAGTTCAAGAAAAATTACAAGCCAATCTGATTCATAAATATAAATGTAAAAATCCAAAACAAATATTAGGAAAGTGCATCTAACAACATCTAAGAAAGATTACGACCAAGGTGGTTTATCCTAGGAATGTAACATTACTTTAACATTAGAAAAACAGCTTTCAGTATATTCCAATACAATAACACATTAAAACAGAAAAATTGTAAAGCCATCTTAACATATTTAGAATGAGCATTTAATAAAATTCAACATGCATCCATGAGGACTTTGCAAAAAGTCCTTTGCAAACGTGAAGTAAAAGAAAACTTTCTTACCTGATGAAAGACATCTATATAAATGCCTCAACATACCCTTAATGATAAAATGAAAAAGATTACTTCTAGAACCAGTCGGCTCAACATTGTATTGAACGTTTTAGCCTAGGTAGTCAACGAGGAAAAGAAAATTAAACTAATGAGAATTACAAAAGAAGAAACAGTTCTGACATTACTTGAACATATGATTGTATACCTACAAAAACCTCAAAGAATCAAGAGTAAATCATGAGAATTAAGAAAGTTTAGCTACTTATATTAGATAAATAAAGAGGAAATACACAAAAATAACTTGCATTCTTCCATACCACCAACTAAGTGCAAATTTTAAATGTACCACTGACTGCGAAAATGGTGGTGTGGTTTGGTAGGAAAGTGTCATTCTTGACGAGGCATGTCACAGTGTCTGCAACTCAGTTTCAAATGGTTCATCAAGAAAAAGCCACCGGTGGAAAAGTGTTAATCACTGTTGGATATGGGAGAGGCTGTACATGTATTCATTGTACTAATCTTCGTGTCTTCTGCATCTTTGATATGTGTCATAAACAGCTGAGAAAAATACAAATGTATACCACTTACATGACAACAAAAAAGTAATCACCTTAATTAAAGAGATCTACCAAAATATGTGAAAACTACTATGGAGAAAATTATAAGCCTTCACTGAAAGGTATTAAAGACTGAATAAATGGAGAGATACGCAACCATGGGTAGAGGATACAATATGATAGAAGCTACAGTGTTACAGCTATTGTCTCTTTAAATTGACCTAATGAATTTACTACAATTGCAACCAAAATTCTAATACATCTGTATTGGAGTGCACTGACGAGCTTAGCCTAAAATAAACATGCAAGAGCATGAAAGAATAAAGGGCCAAGAGTCACCAAGACACAGTGGGAGAGCAGCAAAGACATGGCAGGATTATTCCCAAATAAACCATC